TAATTAAATTTTGAAAAAGTTTCAAATTAAAATCATTGAAATTCTTAATTTTTCATATTTTTCACAAACAATTCTGTAGAATTAATTCTTTTGAAAAGTTTAATAGGATTTGTATTGAAATTATTTCAAGTTTTTATTTTTCAATAAATATTTAATTGCGGAATTTCCGAATAATTGAAATTATGTAAAATTGAATTGTAAACGAATGAATTTGAAAATTCTCAAAGAACATTTTTAAAAATTATTAAAAATAATGGATTTATTGACGAATTTTAGTTAAAAAAAACACTAGAAAAAAATTTATTTTTAGAGAAGATATAAATTATTGCAGAAATTCAATTATTTTGAAAAGTAATAAAATTCTTCTTAAGGATTCAATTATTTTTACTAATAATAAAACTCATCGCAGCGTTTCAATTATTTTTCATACAATTATAATTGAATTCCTTGAAAAAAGTAATTATGTTCATGCAAGTTTTTAATAAAATTCGACAAAAGAATTCAATTATTTAAAAATTTGTTAATAAAATTCTTTATGAGAATTGAATTTTGAGAAACATTCAATTATTCAATAAATTATTTACTTTTGTATTTAAATAATTGAATCCTCGTAGAATTTTTGAATAAAAATTGATTTTCATTTCATAAAAATGAATTTCAGTTAAAATTTTAGATTATAATTGAATATTAAAAGCAATTTAGCGTGAATTTTTAGAAATAATTGAATTTTGAAATTAATTTTTTTTTTAAAGTTTAATTGAATTTTCTTTTATATTATTTGAAGGTTTTATTTTCTAATATGCATTTAATTAAAGAATTTAGGAATAATTGAAATTTCGTGAAATTGAATATTGTAAAGAAATTGATTTAAAAATTGCCAAAGAACTTTTTCGAAAATTATTAAAAATAATTGATATATAAGGAAAATTGTAGTTAAAAATTTTTGAAAATAATAATTGAATTGAAATAATGAAAATAATTTTGAAGAAGTATTCTTATAATATAAAATAATTATTTTATTACTTGATCATTTTTAATTATTATAAAACATTAAGAAAGCTATTACTCTAAGTCGAAGACTCGGAGTTATCGATATCTTCATGTTTTATAGTTATAAAAAATTTAATGAACTAAAATTTAATTTATTTGGTGTTAATTTACTCTGCAACACTTTTTAATACCTCACGATTTACTGTGTAAATAATAAATAGAAATTTTCTTTTCTTTAAATAGAAAACAGATTAAGTTCACTGAAGATTCATAAAAGTTGACTAAAGATTAATGAATGATTCATTAATGATTCATTAATGATTCATTAATGATGAAATTCTCTCGAGAAATATTGACACTTGAGAAAATATTGAAATTATGATGTGCACTTAATTTTGAATTTCTAAAAAGATGAAATTCTTTCTTTTTATTATACTGTCATGGTAATATAATTTAGCTGCGCACTTGATAGGTTTTCTCTCTTAGCATTCGCCGATTCGCCGATTCGCCGATTCGCGTTAATTTAACTATGTAAGTTCATTTGTGAATAACGAATATCTAATAAACGATATGATCTTGAGGGAACGCTAATTTCTCATTACATAAGTAGTTGTTGGTAAGTGAAGGTCAATGCCTTATTATTAACGATAAATAGTATCCCATATAAGTACAGGATATCCACTCGCGCGTAATCGCATTTCTCTGAGAAAAATACCAGGAAACCATTATAACCATCGTCCAATGCATTGCTGCAGTGTCGGGATCAAAGGTCTTTTATGAGGCATGTTCAAACAAATTTTAATCGACGACTGTTTTACGATTCTCAATTATAATCATGTTCCCGCCACGTCTATTTTCATTCTCTTTATTCTGTAACAATGTTATTTTCATTTACAAACTGTCGATTTATTCTATTTTCAAGTCTATTTGATAAAAATACTGCTTTACTGTAACTTCTTCTTTCTTTTATTTATGCAGAGCTCGAATTAAATCTATAAATTCCATAAAAGGTCAGAAAATTTGCTTCAAGTCCATAAAAGTCAGTTTTTTGAAAAAAGGTCCTTAAAATCCGTAATTTAATCAAAAAAGGACGAAAATTTCATAAATTGTAAGATTTAATTTGAAGAATATTAGAGAAAATACAAATTATTGCAGAAATTCAATTAATTTCAAAAGTAATAAAATTCTTCGCAAAAATTCAATTATGTTCAGAAATTTAAAACAATTCTCGTCAAAATTCAATTATTTTCAAAATTTTTATAAAATTCTTGGCAAAATTGCAATTATTTGCAAAAGTTTTCCTGAATTCAATTATTTTCAATATATCTACTATTTTAATAAAAAATTTCAAAAGAATTTAATTATTAAAAAAAAATTTTTTTTTTAATTCTACGCAAACATTTAATTATTTTCATAAATAATAAAAATTTCACTGCAATGCAATTATTTACGAATTATTTATAAATTTTTTTGCATTAATTCAATTATTTTCATAACTAATACAATTTTTAACATAGATTCAATTATTTTCGTTAATTAATAATAATAAAATTCTTTTTCAGAATTCAATTATTTTCATAAATAAAAAAAACTTATTACAGAATTTCAATTATTTTTCATACAATATTAATCAAATTTGTCGAGAAATGTAATTATTATTAAAAAATTTTAATAAAATTCTTGTCAAAATTGCAATTATTTTAAAAGATTTTTCTCAATTCAATGATTTTCAGTATCATCTATATTAATAATGTTTTACACAAAAGAATTTAATCGTATAAAATTTTTTATATTTAAGTAATTAAATCTCGTAGAATTTTCTAATAAAAATTTATTTAAAAATTAATTTTACTTAAAATTTTAAATAATAATTGAATATTAAAAGCATTATAACGTGAATATTTTTTATAAATAATTGAATTTTGAAAATGTTTCAAATTGAAATCTTTGATTTCGAAAATAATAAAATTCTTTTTAGGAATTCAATTATTTTCATAAGTAATAAAACTCATTGCAGAATTTCAATTATTTTTCATACAATTTTAATCGATATCCTCGAATAATTTTATTAAAATTCGTCAAAGGAATTCAATTATTTAAAAATTTGTTGACGAAATTTTTTATAAGATTTAAATTTTAAAAAACATTAAATCTTCTTATATATTTTTCTTTTCAGATAGTTTTAATTTTATTATTAATGTATATTGAAAATCATTAAATTCTTGCAAAAAATGATATAAAAAAATTTGATATTCAATTCCTCGGAAGAATTTTTTTATTCATGAAAATAATTCAATTCTCGCGAAGAATTTTAATAAAATTTTAAAAAACTTAATTAAATTCTTTTGAAAAATTTTTTTTGAACTTTTTTAAAATAATGGAGTTTCTTTAATAATTTTAATTAAAAATTTTGAAAGCAATTGAATTTTATGAAGAAAAATTTTATTAAAATTGTATTGAAAATAATTGAATTCCTGAGAAAAATTTTATTATTTATAAAAATAATTGAATTTTTGCGAAGAAGTATATTAAAATTTTTAAAAAGAATTGAATTTCTGCAATGAATTTTACTATTTATAAAAATATTTGTATTACTGCGTTGAATTTTACTATTTATAAAAATAATTGAAATGTTTCGAAGAATTTATTAAAATTTTAGAAAATAATTGAATTATTTTGAAGATTTTATTTTTGAAAATTTGAAAATAATTAAATTCTTTCTAGAAATTCAATTAAAATTGTTTCGAAAATAATTGAATTTCTGTAAAGAATTTTATTAAAATTATGTATTCAAAATAATTGAATTCATCAGAAGAATTTTATTATTTTTTAAAAATAATTGAATTCTTTAAATTTTGTTGACGAATATATTTAAATAAATTGCATTGGAAGCAATTTAATTTTTATATAGATTTTTTTTTAATACTTTCAAAATAATTGAATTATTTTTAGAGAATTTTAAATTCTTGTTGAAATTGAATTTTATGGAAATTTTTAAAAATCACTAAATTCTTTCGTGTAATTTTATTTAAATTGGATTAAAAAAAATTTAATTCCTGCATAAAATTTTAGTATTTATGAAAATAGTTGAATTGTAACGAAGAATTTATAAAAATTTTAGGAAATAATTGAATTATATGGAAATATTTTGAATTCTTCCGAGGAATTCAATTAAAATTGTTTTGAAAAAAATTGAATTCGGGTAAAGAATTTTACTATTTATAAAAATAATTAAATTCATGCGAAGATTTTTATAATATAAAAAAATAATTGTATTGTTTGGAAGAATTTATTAAAATTTCAGGAAATAATTGAATTTTATGGAAACATTTAAAAATATTTGAATTCTTTCGAGAAATTCAATTAAATTTATTTTGAAAATAATTGAAATCCTGCAAGAAGTTTTACTATTTATAAAAATAATTGAATTGTTTTCGAAGGATTTATTAAAATTTTAGAAAATAATTGAATTCTTTTGAAAGATTTTATGACGAATTAAGAAAAAAAATGAAATTCTTTCGTGAAATTTTATTGAAAATAATTGAATTTTTGCAAAGATTTTACTATTTAAAAAATAATTGAATAGTTTAGAAGGATTTATTATAATTTTAGAAAATAATTAAATTTTTTATTGAAATTTTATTAAAAGTTTGTTAAAAATAATTGAATTTTCGCAAAAAAATTTACTATTTATAAAATTAATTGAATTGTTAAATCAAGGATTAATTGTTAATTTTATTGTTTGCAGAATTATGATACGTTGAGTAAGGGGAAAAAGTCGTGGAGTGTCAGACTGGGACTGTCGCGTCAGAGCCAATCTTCGGAGGATCCGGTCAAAGGATGGGGAACTATTAGCGGCGGCAGTGCGCTGTCTCATCAGATAGTTTATGGAGAGCCATGGATTTATGGGACAGTTCGGGCTTCACGTGGATCCGGATACGATCCACGGGCTTTTTTGACTCCTCCCCCGCCTACAGGAGCTCCCATTCTTATTGTCTGCTCATGCCCTGAATTTCTGCGCGGCACCTCTAGAAAATTGGGCAACTGCTCAAAATGTGGAGGTCATCGTCTAGCGGGAATTCCCTTCGGGGGCACCTGCAGAACGCCCTCCAGTTCCGTGAGGACCCGACCTAGTTTAGCAGGTACGCTGAATTTCAAAACAATTGTCACGCACTCCGACGAAAGATACCTAAGAAGCAAAGAAAAAATTTAAGATTTTTATGAAAAGTAGTGAAAAAAATTCAATTTTTTGAATTCATTAGAAAATTCCGAATTTTGGTTTCTTTTTTGTTTGACTCACAAACTGTAAAATTACCACGAATTTAATATAAAACCTTCAATTATATTTCTCAAAAATTATTAAAAAATAATTGATTTACAGAAGAATTTTTGCTTAAAAACACTAAAATAAATTAAATTTTTGAGAAGTTACAAATAATTGCAGAAATTCAATTATTTTTCAAAATAATAAAATTCTTCGCAGAAATTCAATTATGTTCAAAAGTTTCAAAAATTCTAGTCAAACATTCAATTATCTTTATAAATAATAAAATTCTTCTTCGAAATTCAATTATTTCCACAAATCTTAATAAAATTCTTGGAAAAAGTTCAGTTAATTTCAAAAATTTTCCTTAATTCAATGATTTTTAATATCTAATATTTTAATAAAGTTTTTCAAAAGACTTTAATTATTTCAAGAAAATTTGAATAAAATTATACTCAAACATTCAATTATTTTCACAAATAATAAAACTCTCAACGCAGAATTTCAATTACTTTTAAGACAATTTTAATCGAATTCCTAGAAAAATGTAATTATTCTAAAAAATGTAATAACATTCGAGGAAGGAATTTAATTATTTAACACATTGTTCCTAAAATTCTTTACGAGAATTTAATTTAAAGAAACATTCAATTATTCAATAAATTATTTTTTTTGGATTTAAATAATTATTGAACTCTCGAAGAAGTTTCTATTAAAAATTGTTTTAAAACTAAATTTCAGTTGAAATTTCAGATAATTTTCATATTCCAATTTTAGATTATTATCTGAAATTTTAACGGAAATTCATTATTAAATTAATTTTTAATAGAAATTTTATTAAAATTTTTTAGAATAATTCCAATTCCCTAGGAATTTGATTAAAATTGTATTTAAAATGATTAAAATTGTGCGATGAGTTTTATTATTTATGAAAGTAATTGAATATTAAACATTTTATGTTATTATTATTAAAGTATTTAATTTTATATTTAATTGAGGCCTTGGATCCAATAACTCGCCCGACGCTCGGAGGCACGCGCTAATACTAGTCGGGTAGCAGTGAGTGGCCCAGAGGCGCTCACTGCTCACTGACTGGCAGTCGCGCGTTCCTCCGAGCGTCGGGCGAGTTATTGGATCCAAGGCCTCAATTGAAGAAATTCCGAATAATCGACATTTCTTGAAATTGAATTGTAAACAATTAAATTTGTAATTTCTTAACGAATTTTTTCAAAAATTAATAAAAGTAAACTTACTTTAATATTTTCAAATAATAAAATTCATCTCGGAAATTTAATTATTTCAAAAATATTAATAAAATTCTTGGCAAAATTTCAATTATCTTTTTAAATATAAATTTCATTATTTTCTTAGATAAAAAAAATTGTACGGCAATGTAATTATTTACAAATTTTTTATAAATTTCTTAGCAATAATTCAATTATTTTCATAAATAATAAAAGTTATCGCAGAATTTCAATTATTTTTAATACAGTTTCAATTAAATTCCTGGTAAAATATATTTTTGCTTAAAAATTTTATTAACATTCTTCGAAAGAATTCAATTATTTAAAAATTTGTTAATAAAATTCTTTATCATAATTCAATTTTAGGAAACATTCAATTATTCAATTATTTATTTATTTTTGTATTCAAATAATTGAATTCTCATAGAATTTTCAAATAAAAAATTATTTCAAAATGAATTTCGGTTAAAATTTTAAATAATAATTGAATATTATAAGCATTATAGCGTAAATTTTTAGAAATAATTGAATTTTGACAAGATTTCAGACTAAAATCATTAAAAATATGAATTATTATACTTTTAACTAACTATCCTGTGTAAATAATTTTTTTAAATAGTTTAATTGGATTTTTTTGAAATTATTTGGAGTTTGTAATTTCTATTTGTATATTTCTCAAAAATTATTAAAAATAATTGATTTAATGAAGAATTTTAACTTAAAACCACTAAAAAAATTAAATTTTTGAGAAGTTACAAATGATTGTAGAAATTCAATTACGTTCAAAAATTTCAAAAAATTCTAGTCAAACTTTCAATTATAATAGAATTCTTCTTCGAAATTTAATTATTTTCCACAATAATATTAAAATTCGGGGCAAAATTTTAATTATTTTCAGAAATAATAAAACTTTTACAGGAATTTAATTATTTACAAATTTTTTATAAATTTCTTTGCAATAATTCAATTATTTTTTGTAAATAATAAAACTCTTAACGCAGAATTTCAATTATTTTTAATACAATTTTAATAGAAATTCTTTATTAAAATTCGTCAAAGGAATTCAATTATTTAAAAATTTTTCTGATAAAATTCTATAAGAGAATTCAATTTTGTCAAATATTCAATTATTGAATAATCTATTTATTTTTATATTTAAATTATTGAATTATATTTTAAATTTTTTAATGAAAATTGATTTTGTAGAAGGTTTGAATTTGAAATTTTTGAAAATCCTAATTCCTATGGAAAAATAAATAATAATGATTAACTAGATATTTATTTTAAATAAAACTATTGATGTTTTCGAATAATTTTAAAAGTAAAGAAATTAGTAAATAAATGTAATAGAACATTTCTTTAAGTGGTTAGATTTAAATGGTTCGATATAATAATTTTTAGAGTGAATCAGAATGTTCCTTAGGATCAGAGAAGAAGTGAAAATTTTGTCTGGAAATCTGGGAAAAACAGAATTAAATTTTTGTGGCAAACCTGTTAAAATATTTCGCTTCCTGGTACCTTTCTTTGGAGTGCGTTACAATTTCTTTTTATTTACCATAAATATCTTATTTCAATATAAATGTTTGATTTTATTCAAGGAATACTTAAGCCTCCATCGGATGATCCTTACGATCAAATGCGACGAAATCGTCTAGTCGAGCCACGATCAAGGACTAGAAGTATTTCGCCGAATCGTCAAAAAGGACATAGAGACATAAGAAGTCAGAGTGTGATGCGAGGTGCGAATACTCCCAATCAGGAAGCGTCATCGTCGCGACTAGAATGGTACAATGCAGAGACGAATTTCGACGAAACTGACAGACAAAAAACGAATTATTCTAGTTTAAATGACGAGTGGTCAGACTCGAAAAACTTTCAAGAAAATCGAAATACCTTGGGACGATTGGTGCGTGGTTCCAAGTCGCGTCCGGCAATTGGCGAATGGCAGGAAGTGTCGTCAGGTCGCACGTCAGCGGAGGAAAATTGGAAGAATACATTCACGTCGAAAACTACCTCCTCCCCCACCACCGCCGCCGCCAATGATTCTAGAAAAAGTATTTTGGAGTGCAATGTCAATCCCTATTTGTTGGTGAAGAAAAATCCCAAGGACGAAGACGACCTCAGCGATGATCTTTCCGACAATGCTCTCGAGCATTGTTCGAAGGACGAATCGCCCTGTTGTCTTTTTGACTCCTCGAAAGTAAAGTCCATCGAGAGGATACCAAATCGAAGCGCCGTGGCGGCAATCGGCGGTCAAAGAATAAGAGTCTTCAATGAACCGAGAGAAATATCCGACGAGGAAGATTTTCCTATGACTGGTATTCCAATACCGAAAATTTCTCCAAAGAGGCCGCCGAGAAGATTGAAGGAGACCAAGACTGTGTTGAAAAGTATTTTAAAGCGAGGAAGATTCGAAGGTAAAAGAAAAAATGTCCTCTTCAATGTAGATAATGTCATCTTCGCTCCGGAAAAGTTGCTCCTCGAGGCAACAACTAACGTTTCGCGACGAACGAGCAGAAGTTCAATTGGAAGTAAAGAACCCGATGAGTCGGCGGAGGAGCCAATCGTGCTCGAGCCGCAGATTGTCGAGAAACCCAAGTTTATCACCATTCCGAACATTAAAGATCCAGGCAAGCAAGAAAGACCAAAAATGCCGGAAACGAAGATTGTATCCAAAGTTAAAACCCTACAGCCCATTGAGAAGATCAAGATTGACAAGTTCGTGCCTTCCAAGAAACTCAACAATTCCGAGATTCATCGAAAGATCGAAAAGATCACGGATTTGAAAATTGAGACGAAGAAAAATATTCTCCCCTCCGAGACGAGGAAAATGGAACAAAATCGTCACAAGGAAAAGAAAGTGAAAGAAGTGAAAGAGAAAATAATTCCAATCAAACCGGAAGATGAGACAGAGTTGGAGATCGAAATCGAGGAATTAAAACGTCAACTCGGTGATATTGCCGTCGATGAAAAGGATCTTATTCTCAAATCTGAAGGTGAGTGAAAAAAGCGTCACATTTTTTTCTCCTATTTTTTACCTTAAAAAAAACTTTCGATTCACAAAACTCGAAAATCTGAAAAGTATAAAATTTGACGTAATTAATAAGCATGGTGGAAGTCCACAATGTATCGTGAATATAGAGTTGCTATGCTAATCATCAAGATTAATGGTCTGTTAATGTCGACACACGTTATTAGGATCCTTGAGTCTTTGAAATAATTGCAACTCACGGGTTACAATCAAGGATAGCAACTTGTTGAGTATCATTATTACCCATAACGGTGAAGTTGATCACATGATCACGGACTAGAATTAGCAAAGATTGTCTTCTTGTTTTCGGACCATATTCTATCCAACAATTTAAATTATACACTTTATTGTGAGATCTGACAACAAATCTGAGCGGCAAATTTAGATACGTAGAAAAGCGGTATTTTCAACGAAAATATGAGTTCAAAAGTAGATAAATAAATAGATAAATAAATATGAAAGAGATAAATAGATATAAAAGAGATAAATAAATATCAAAGAGGTAAATAAATTTAATTCGTGGCAAGATTTTCATTAAAATTCTTGAAAATAATTTAATTCTTTTGAAGAATTTATTTCAATATTCTTGAAAATAATAAATTAGGCTTTTTTAAAAATAATTTTTACTTAAAATTTTTAAAATAATTGAATTTTATGAAGAATTCAATTGTTTTAAATAATTGTAATAAAATTCCTTGCAAAAAGTCAATTTATAAATAACAAAAATTCAATTATTTGTATATAAATAATAAAATTCTTATCAAGATTTCACTTATTTTCAATTGAATTTTAATTGATTTCTTCGAAAATTTCAATTATTTTTAAAAATCATGTAAAAATTCTCCGAGAAAATTCAATTATTTAAGAAAATAATTGAATTTTTCACAAGAGTTTAATTATTTAAAAAACTATTATTAAAATTCAATTAAAGAATTAAATTATTTTTATAAATAATAAATTTTTCTCAGGAATTCAATTACTTTAAATAAAATTTTCATAAAATTCACTTATTTTTAAAAAATTTGCAAAAAATAAATTATTTGCCGAAATTAAAATCTTGTAAAATTTCTTCAAAAAAATTCAATTGAATTATTTAAAAAAAATAATTGAATTTTTCACAGGAGTTCAATTATTTAAAAAAAACTTTTAATAAAATTCTATGCAAGAATTCAATTATTTTCATAAATAATAAAATTTTCGATAGAATTCAATTATTTTAAATACAATTTTAATTGAATTCCGAGGAAAATTAAATTATTTTTAAACATTTTTTTTAAATTCTTCGAAAGAATTCAATTATATCAATAAATATTAAATTTTTCTCTAGAATTTAATTATTTTAAATAAAATTTTCATAAAATTCACTTATTTTTTAAAAATTTGCAAAAAATAAATTATTTGCAAAAATTAAAATCTTGTAAAATTTCTTCGAGAAAATTCAATTAAATTATTTTTAAAAATAATTGAATTTTTCACAGGAGTTTAATTATTTAGAAAACTTTTAATAAAATTCAATTCAAGAAATCAATTATTTTCAATTCAAAAATATTAAATTTCTCTCAGGAATTCAATTACTTATTTTAAATAAAATTTTCATGAAATTCACTTATTTTTTAAAATTTTGTAAAAATTAAATTATTTGCCGAAGTTAAAATCTTGCAAAATTTCTTCGAGAAAATTCAATTGAACTATTTAATTATTTTAAATATAATTTTAATAAAATTCTTCTCAAAAATTCACTTATTTTTAAAAATTTTCAAAAAAAAATCATTTATTTGCAGAAATAATAAATTTTTTTCGCAGGTATTCAATTTTATTTAAAAAATTTTAATAACATTCTATTCAAGAATTCAATTATTTTTAGAAATAATTAATAATTTGCAAAAAATCAATTTATAAGTAATAAAATTCTTTGTAAAATAATTCAATTATTTTTATATAAATATGTAATAAAATTTTTATCAGGATTTCACTTATTTTCAATACAATTTTAATTGATTTCTTCGAAAATTTCAAGTATTTATAAGTATTATATTTCAAGTATTATATATCTTGTAAAAATTCTCTGAGAAAATAATGGAAGTTTTTTAAAATAATTTTTATTGAAAATTTTGAAATAATTGAATTTTTATTAAAATTGTGTTGAAAATAATTGAATTGCTCTAAACAATTTTATTATTTTTGAGAATAATAAAATTCTTGCGACAAATTTTATTAAAATTTTTTAATAATAGTAAACAAGAATATTTAATATTATGTTCTTAATAAGTGAATTCTTTAAATTTTAAATCTGTATTCATTAGAAAATTGAGAACTGAATATTAAATTAGTTGCTTTATATATTTTTTGTTTCTCTATTCTCTCAGTTTGTATTTAATAAAAAATGTTTACTTCTGAGTAAAGAAATTTATACTTCTTAATCAAAAATAAGAAAGGGAAATATAGACGGATTATAATATAGAGTATTCTAAATTTCATCATTTGAATAATTAGGTTGTAGACTTAATTTCTTGAGAAAAAGAACTCTTTTTTCTTCTTTTGTCATTATTTCGAATCACAACTTTCACTCATTAGTTATAAATGCCAACCATGTAAATTTTAATAGTCCGTTTCTCAATGAACAATACAATTCACGTCATTTCTCTTAAATTGTAATATTTTATTTATGACATTTTTTATTGTTGTTTTTTTATCGTTTCTATTTTTTGTTTTTTTATCTACTATTAATAATTCAAGAATACGCTGACATTGGAATTGAAGGAAAGTTTCTTTTAGACTTAGTTTTAAAAAAAATTCTTTTAGTTCAAAATCCAAATTGATAAAAATAAATTTTATTCGAATTGGTAATTTTTAAAAAAGAATTGTTGGAGTTACACTTCCTTGAACGTATTTTAAATGCTGGAGTCGAGAAGAAATGAGACACGGTTGACTTCCGGCAAGTGTCTTTCCGGTGTAAATGCACTCTAATGTCATCTAGGTCTAGGATCTTTCATGTTACAAACAAGCGATGAGACGACACTCTTCATTTTCAATGTCAACCGCTTCCTTTGTTTGCTAGTCATTAAAACAGTCATAGTAAATAATAAAATAGTTAATAAAATATCAATTATTTAAAATAAATTATCATAGGAGATACTTTTCAGTATTTCATTAGGAGAAAGTTTTATTGAAATTGGTACAAAATAATCACCTGTCGAAACTAAATGACATTTCTAAATTTAATACCGAGTTCACTGAATGCGTCATCGAATTCGAGGATTAATTTTTTGAGTTACTGTCAAACTGAAGGAATATTTTCTTCAAATCGAAACCAGTCTTATTTAATAATTTATGACGTAAAGGAATATTTTCAAATTAACCATTTGTGACCTAGAAAAATATTTTCAAATTAAAAGTACAATAATTTTGATTTAATCATTTCTTGAAATTAAAACTACTCTTTTTCTTGAAAATTAAAAATCAAATTGCCTTTTTCAGGTAAAAAAAAAATCACTGAGGCTGATGAGAAAGGAAAAAATCATCCACAGACCGTTGTAGAGTATTCATATTCTTTTTCTGAATACCAATGGTGTCGATGACGTTCGATGATGTAAACATTGTAGTGAATTATAAAGCGTGAGAATTATCGATGGGGTCGTCTCGGTGAGACAAGAGCAATGTCTCCTTGCACGTATCCTGATTACATTGTGAACATTCCATTAGCAAATAGTGCTAATAATAAAATGCGTAATAAGACATACTCTACTAGTCACTAAAGTATTTTCATATTTTTGCATCTTAATTCGCATATTATATTATCTTAGCTGACTCGACGTTCACCTTCAGTTCAACGACTCCGAGTGCCGACGTTCTCCACTTTCATGACATTTATTCTCGAGAGAGCCTTTGAATAAAACTTAATTTGATTCTTCTCGAATTCCCCCTGCAAAATGTTTTTTTGCAAATTGAATATTATTTTATAATATCGCTTCATTGGATTTTTTCATTTCTGTATTGAGAAGTTTTTTTTTCTCTTCTGTTACTAATTAATAAATTTAGTATAAAAGGGAAAACTTGTAATGATTGAACAGAGTTGCTATAGGTCAGGGAATTCAGGGAAATGTCAGGGAAAGTAAAATTGCTCAGGGAAATTACGGAAAAGTCAGGAATTTTTATTAAAAGTACAGGAAAAAATTAAACTTTTTAGAATTTTTAAGAAAAGTCTTAATTTTGTTGCCTTTTTTGTTTGCCTCATAAACTATGACATTAGCACGAATTCTAATACAAAATCTGCAATTTTTTTATTTTTTAAAATAATTTTTTTTTAATTTAATTCTTGAAAAACTGTAATAAAATTTTTACTTAGAAATTATTTAACGAATAATATTACTTAAATATTTCAAAATTAATTGAATTTTAAAAGAAATTTATTCGCAATAATTCCATTATTTTCATAAATAATAAAATTCTTTTTAGGAATTTAATTTAATTAATTAATAATTTAATTGAATTCTAAAAGAGTAAGCGTTTACAATTTTCATAAATAGATGAACTTCAAAAGGTTTTAATTTGAAAATTTGTAAAATTTCAATTTTGAATGAATTTAATTAGAAATTTTTGTTTAAAAACACTAAAAGAAATTAAATTTTGGAGAAGTTATAAATGATTGCAGAAATTAAATTATTTTCAAAAGTAATAAATTTCTTCGCAAAAATGCAATTATGTTCAAAAATTTTTTAAAATTCCGTTCAAGGTTTTAATTATCTTTATAAATAAAAAAATTCTTCTCCGAAATTCAATTATTTTCAAACATCCTTGTCAAAATTAAAATTAATTTCAAAAAATTTTCCTCAATTCAATGAATTTCAATATCTAGTATTTTAATAAAATTTTCCAAAAGAATTCAATTATTTAAAAAAAATGTTAATAAAATTCTACGCAAACATTTAATTATTTTCATACAGAATAAAAATTTCACAGGAATTTAATTATTTACAAATTTTTTATAAATTTCTTCGCTCTAATTCCATTATTTTTATAAATAATTAAATTGTTTACAGAGATTCAATTATTTTTAGTAATAATAAAGTTCTTTTTAGAAATTCAATTATTTTTATAAATAATAAAACTTATCGCAGAAATGCAATTAATTTAAAATATTTCTCAATTCAATGATTTTTAATATCTAATATTTTAATAAAATTTTCAAAAAGAATTCAATTATTTTAAAAAACATTTTAAAAAAGTTCTACGCAACCAATTAATTATTTTCATAGATAATAGAAATTTTCACAGGAATTCAATTATTTAAAATATTTTAATAAAATTCATTTATTATTTTAAAAAATTAATATTAATAAAAATTTGTTATAAGAATTTAATTATTTTTATAATTATTTATTACAAGAATTCAATTATTATTAATACAATTTCAATTAAATTATTCGCATGAATTCAATTATTTTTTAATAAAATTTTAAATGAAATTCACGAACAATGATATTAAAATTCTTCGAAAGAAATTAATTATTTTCAATACAATTGTAATTAAATTTCTCGAAAGAATTTAATTAGTTTCCAAAGTTTTCGTAAAAAATTCTTCAAAAAAATTCAATTATTTAAAATATTTACATAAAATTCTTCTCAACAATTAAATTATTTTCACAAATAATAAAATTATTCATAAGAGTTCAATGTTTTAAAAAAATTATAATAAAATTCGTTGCAAGAATTTAATTGTTTTGATAAATAATAAAATTTTTCACAGCATTCTAATCATTTTGAATACAATTTTAATCGAATTCCTCGAAAAAAGCAATTATTCTTAAAAAGTTTAATAAAACTCGTCGAAAGAATTCAATTATTTAAAAATTTGTTTATAAAATTCTTTATAAGAATTCAATTTGAAGAAATATTCAATTATTTAATAAATTATGAATTTTTTATATGTATAAATAATTGAATTCTGGTAGAATTAATTTTTTTGAAAAAGTTTAATTGAATTTTTGATTAATAATTAAAAGTTTTTATTTTCTATAATATTTAATTGAAGAATTTCCGAATAATCGAAATTTTTCGTAAAATTGAATTGTAAACAAATGAATTTGAAAATTTTTGAAAGAACTTTTTGAAAAATTATTAAAAATAATGGAATTTAAACTTAAAGGCGAATTTCAGTTAAAAATTCTAGAAAATAGGTCGAAGACTCGGAGTGATCGATATCTTCATTTTTTTAATAAATAATATTCTTATAAAATTGTTAAATTTCATGAAAGTTCGTATTTGAAATTTCTGAAAATCTTAATTCACAGGAAAAAAATAATAATTTAATATTTTCTTAAAAAAGAGATTATTTATGTTTTCAAATAATTTTACAATGAAAGAAATTCGTAAATAAATGTAGTAGAACATTTTTTTGAGTATCAAATAATTTTTAAAGTAAATCAAAATATTCTTCAGGGTCAGGGAAAAAGTCTAAATTTTGTCTGGAAATCAGAGAAAAACAAAATTAAAATTTTGTGGCAACCGATAATTTGTGAACTTTTGGCATTTTTTTAAAAATTTTATTGAATTATTGTCATTATCCTTAATCTAGAAATTGATATTTAGTGAATTAAGTATAATGCGGAAAAGTTTTAATGATTATTATAATTAAAATGGATTTTAAATTAATTGAGAGAAACTTTTTAGTAAAGGTAAATTTGATATGCACACCCACAAGTATTAAATGGCTTTTGCGATAGGTGAAAGTGGCTTGGACACTTGAAGAATTTCTCACCGACGAAAGAAATTCAGCCGCTTTTCTGAGCAATTTGCTCTATTTATACCCATTTATACGATCGTGCGGGAGTTTGTGGAACGCATTTTATTGACTTGCGGTAAATCGCGATTATGTAAACTGCGAATTGCATTTAACATTTTTTTTTCTTTGCGCTGGACTCTTTTTATTATCGAATTAACAAAAATAATTGTTTAAAAATTCCTCTATTTTCCAAGTAGCACAATATTATTTTTTTTCAGCATAATTATTTTCGGAAAATTATCTGCGAAAATTAATATATACACTTGAAAGTTCGTAAAGTTGTGATATAAAATTACCTGTTCTTAAAAATAGAGAAATATTTTAGTCTCGTCATTAGGGGGGAAAAAATTACAATTAATTTATTCGAATGTCTGCTGTATGAATTACTGGATTTTAATCACAGTCAAATAACCTTTACTATTTAGGTATTAAACGAAAAGTGAAACTTGACTTATACATGACTAGTAACCTTTATTGAGAAATGTATTTGTTCCTGCATGATCTTTGCGTTGGTTTATTTGCTATCTTTTTCTCTCCTGTCACTACGATACCATTCTCTTTTCTCACCTGTTTTCTTATTGTCACTTTTTCGTATTATTTTTGTCTCTTAGATGAAAAATTTATTGTTTTTGTCAAACTAAATAAAATATTCTACTAAATTTTCCATTTTAGTAAAATTTTTTTTTTTCAGGAACATTAAGACAACCGTACTTGAGTCGAAGCCAAAGTGATCGTACGTCATCAAAGCCGGAAATTTCCGCTGGGGACATCAATTTTGTAGATACGATGCGTTTGAGTCTCTGCAAGAAACCGAAGGAAACGAAGTCATCGATGTCTCCGACTCCTAATGAAATTAAAGAGGAAGAATCAATCGCTATTCCGATCACTAATGAAATTCAAAACAAATCTCTCGCTGGTCCAATTCTGAGAAAATCTAATGAAATTCTAAATGAATCAACACCAGGATTTGAGAAACAATTATCCGAAATAAATCACAAAGGTGATTCTAACAATTTGCTACAGAATTCGATTCATTTTCGAAAAATGCGTCCAACAAATTGGTCCCCACCTCCATTGAAATCGAAAAATATTAACAGACTTATCAAGACCATCGATCCAGACCAACGACTAAATACAATTACCTCAGAGGTGAAAAAAAACATGAAAAATATCGAAAATGAAAAATCTTTAGACAATTCCCCTGCGATTGATTCGAAAAAAATAGAAATCAATCAAGAAAAGAATATTTGCAAGATAAACGTGAGTCCAAAACTTTCACCTCTTGTTCATCGATTACAAGTTGGATCAAATATTCCCACGGGTTCGAGGCGAACGTCAATTTTAATCAATGGCGAACAACAGAATGCTTCTGGAAATGATGCAGGTAATAAGGTAACAATAAGCGTTGGGGGTGAAAATAGTGTCTGTAATCCCACAGTGATATCAGTGAACTCTGGTAATCTTCCAAAGATCCAGAATTCCTCGGAGAATCGAACCCTCGTTATTTTAGAAAACTACAAATCGAATATTGTCATTGAGTCAAATTCAAAAGAAAAGAACAAATTCGAATCTGTTGAAAATTCCAACGATAAAATAAATCCCAAAGTTTCGAATAATAACCTCGATGTCTTTGATCATGAAGAGACAATAAAAACAGAAGGTAAAAATCGACTTCAAGATCTTGATGATTCGGCAAGATGGTCCACTTTATCGAAAGAATCGCTTATATCAAAGCTCTTGGAAGACTCGCTGAGAAAGGCGAGGGAAAACGGTGAAATACTCGACGAGAGTAGTGGTGAGGCAATTTTGAAAATTCTCAAACAAAGTCTCTTGAAAAGTAAAGAATACGAGAGCTCGGAATCGACTCTTGAACCCGATAATAATTATTGTAGATCATCTAGTCTAAATTCTGAGAATCATTTCATGTCACCGAATCTTTTTATGGAGGAGAATCCCTATGAAGTGATTAAGGAGCCGATCTATGAGGAAATTCCCGATGAACCGCCACCACTTCCAATGAGTCCACCGCCGACGGAGGATTATCTCAAGGATCGTATTTACTTTGGCGATGAATACAAGGAGAATTATTACAAAAAGACGAATGGTGGTCAATTTCTTGGTTTCTATTTATCGGACGAAATGTTCAAAAAACCCACTCAAAGTGAATTGAGAAGTGAAACGTACTTTTCCAAAAGTCCGGAGGATTATTTCAAGAAGGCCTCCTCACCACCGGGCGATGAGAATTTATCGACGAAATTTGAACTTTTTAATTTCCTTATCAATTCCAAAGATCATGTTGTGCCTATGGAGGAGGATGAGGACGAGGAGGAAGATGAGGAGGATACTGAGAGGGATTTGGAGGCACTTTATGAGCAGAAGGAAACTAGCCTCGGTGATCTTAGTTCCAAGAGTTCGCAAATATCCAACGTCTCGGACAGCAGTGAGGAGTGTAATATTATTCTCACCAGTTCTCCGGAAACATTAAAAGTAAATATTTTTCTTGTCTTATTACCAATCTTGTTTCTTATTAGTCTTAATAGTACTCTTATCTCTTATTGATCTTATTACTACTCTTGTATCTTATTAGTTTTGTCTCTATTATTCTTGTCTCTTGATTTCAAATTATTATTCTTTCCTTGGGGGGAAAGAAATATTTTTTTATGAACGCTAACGAAATTGAATTCATTGTAGGCGAGGAGCGTGGATATTGAGAGAACAGACAGTGGCGTAGGTTCAGAAAGCAGCCAAGCCAGCAGCACTCGGGGAATTGGTTGCAGAAGATGGAGAACAGGAAATACTTCTTCAGGACCCGGAAGTATTATTACTTGTCTTCCTCAAATCGCTTCGGACAATAGTAAATTCTGTGAAGACTGTGAACAACGTATCGATCCACATATAATAGACAAGTAAGTTTTTTCTATTCGGAAATAATTTTCTATAGGATTTTATTAAAAGTAATGGAAAAAAGAAAAATTTTTAGAATTCATAAGAAAATTCGCTAAATTTTGGTGTCTTTTTTGTTTCCATCAAAGTATGAAATTATCACAAATTATACAATTACTTCAATTTTGTCTATTTCTGACAATAATTTCTTTATAAATAACTTAATTCTTAAAGAACTATTATAAAATGTTTAAACTTAGAAATTATTTAATGAATAATTTTACTTAAAAATATTTTTTCAAATTAATTGAATTTTAAAAGAAATTTCTTCGCAAAAATTCAATTATTTTTATAAATAATAAAATTTTTTACAAACATTCAATTATTTTAATAAATGATAAAATTCGTTTTAGGAATTCAATTATTTTTATAAAAAATAAAACTCATCTCAGAGTTTCAATTATTTTCATAAATAATAAAACTCATCGTAGAATTTCAATTATTTTTAATACAATTTTAATCGAATTTCTCGAAAAATGTAATTATTCTTAAAAATTTTATAAAAATTCGTCGAAAGTAGTAAATTATTTAAAAATTTGTTGATAAAATTAAGTACCTATAAGAATTTAATTTTGAGAAACATTCAGTTATTCAATTATTTATTAATTTTTATATTTAAATAATTGCTTTATCTTAAAATTTTCTAATAAAAATGGATTTAAAAATTAATTTTAATTAAAAACGCTAAAAAAAATTGAATTTTGGAGAAGTAACAAATGTGTGCAGAAATTCAATTATTTTCAAAAATAATAAAATTCTTCTCCGAATTTCAATTATTTTTCAAAATTTTATTAAAATTCTTGGCAAAGTTTCAATTACTTTAAAAAGTTTTCCTCAATTCAAACGATTTTGAATATCTACTATTTTAATAAAGTTTTCCAAAAGTATTCAATTATTTAAAAAAAATTTGTTAAAATGCTAGTCAAACATTTAATTATTTTCATAAGTAATAACATTTTTATTGGGAATTCAATTATTTTCATAAATAATAAAATTCGATTATTCAATTATTAAATTCAATTATTTTTATAAATAACAAAACACATCCCAGAATTTCAATTGTTGACTCAGAGTGATCGATTTCTTCATGTTTTATAATACTATTCTTATAAGTTGTTGAATTTCAAAAGGTTGAAAGAAAAGTGAAAAGGTTGAATGAATTTCATAATCTAAAAATTAGTCATCTGTAACTTTTTTAAATGAACATATTTTTTTTCTGAATTTCAGCAGCGCCGCGTACACGTCTTTCGTGTGCAGGAAGTGTTTGAAGAAGCGCGCTGAACGGAAAGAGATAATCACCGAAATCGTGGAAACGGAGCAAAAATACGGAAGAGATTTACAGATAATTCTGGAGGAATTTCATCGACCAATGTTAAGCGCCGGTCTTCTCACACCAGAACAACTGACAGCTATTTTTTTAAACGTCGAAGAACTTTTAGAGCATAATTTAGTTCTTGCTGAGAAACTTAAAGATGCTGTTGAATTTGCTCAAGTACGTAAATAATAAAAATCCTATTGAAAATTTTAATACAATTTTTTTTCTAACTAGAATATAATAATATTCTAACTAGAATAGAATTTATAAAATAACAATTTTTTTAATACTAGGAATCCGAAGACGAAGACTTAATAACCGTGGACGTGGGTAAAATCTTTCTTGAATCGGAAAGGATGCTTCACGCTTTTGAAAACTATTGCACGCGTCAAGGAAGTGCTAGTTTACTTCTACAGAGTTTGGAGAAGGAAAAAGAATTACTTAGAATATTTCTTAAAGTTTCACAAATGGAAAATACTGTTCTCAGGAGAATGAATCTTAATTCGTTTCTTATGGTAGATAACATTTTTATATTGTTAACAATCTATTTTCCGTTTTTTGCATATAATAAGTTTTAATTTTTTATTTCTTTTTTTTTCAAGGTCCCGGTACAAAGGGTAACGAAATATCCACTCTTGATAGCTCGACTTTTGAAAGCGACTCCAGCGGTTCGTTTAGACACGTTAGAGGCGAGGAAGAGATTAAAACAGGCTCAAACTAATATTGAGCTTCATTTAGAACACATGAATGCTGCAAGTAGACTTAATTATATAAAAAAAAATTTTATTATTCTTCTCCTTCGAGAAGAAGAAAATATTATTATACGATCAGTTGGAAAAGAAGAAAGTAATTGACAGTTTTTTTTCTCTCTTAATTTTTCCAGGAAGCCAAAGATGTGACATCAACGAAACTCTGGCGAAGGATATCCATTATTCAGGGAAGACGATACATTGGAGAACAGGATATGGTAAACATAAAGTTGAGAAAAGTAAGTGTGCCACCAACATTTACTGAATGAAGTGAATAAACTTTTTTTTATCTCTAACTAAGAACAACAACTAACAATAACCTAATATTAACAGATGGCTGTTGAAGTACTGGAATGGCCGCACGAAGAAGCAAGATTTGTGTTGGAAGGTCGACTTCTCATAGCACAACCAACGGATAATAATTGGAGACGAGGACGGACAGTCAAACTAGCTCCGGTCACTGCTATGCTGGTCACCAATGGAAAAGTAAAAAAGCAATAACACTATTAATTTATCGAAACAGTAGATTATGGCTGAGAATATATTTTTCTTTTTAATTGATTTTTTTTTTAATTTCTAGCCAAACACAGAATTTTTAGACTTTTCTGATGATTCTCTTTTTCCCAAGCAAACTGGAATTAAGGAAGCTACTCTTCTTCTCGTTAAGGAAAAAATTGGAAGATATACATTGCTTCGGGTAAGGATAAATTTAGTATCTATAAACGATTTGGTATTTAGATCTATAAAACGTCAATTCATCCACATTATGAGTTAATGACATTAAAAATGTTATTAACATTTTTAATTTTGTTAATTTATAACTTTCTTTTATAGGAACCTTTATATCTGGACAAATGCATAGTTTGCTGTGAGGCAGATCTTGAAGATTATTTTGAAATTCAGGAACTTTCGTCAAAAGAAACTTTCATTTTTAAGGTATTTAACTGTTTTTTGAAAATAATATATTTTTTAGTTGTATTAGAACGAAAACCAAAAAATTACATTTAAGTCCGTTAGTTCTTAAATAAAATAATTAATAAATATACCTAATATAATATAATAATAAAATAAAAAATGTTTAAATAACTTCATTCTTAAAAAACTATCATAAAATTATTACTTAGAATTTAGAAATTATTTAATGATTAATTTGACTTAAATATTTCAAAATTAATTCAATTTTAAAATAGTTGAGTTTACAATTTTCATAAATAGATGAACTTCAAAAGATTTTAATTTAAAATTTTATAAAATTTCTATGTTGAATGAATTTAATTAGAAATTATAAAAAACTTAGATTTTTTAAAAATTTTAATAATTCAAATTCTTCTGAAATTAGTTACATTTTTTAATATATATTTAATCAATTATTAAAATTAATGGATGTATAGAAGAATTTTAGTTAGAAACACTAAAAAAAATTAAATTTTGGAGAAGTTACAAGAAGTCACAGAAATTCGACTATTTTCAAAAATTGAAATAAAATTCTTGGCCAAATTTAAATTATTTTCAAAAATTTTCCTTAATTCAATGATTTTCAATTTCTATTTTAATATAATTTTTCAAAAGAATTCAATTATTTAAAAAAAATTTGAATACAAGTCTACGCAAGCATTTTGCAGAAATTCAAAATAAAAACCTTCGTATAAATTTAATTATGTTCCAAATTTTTTTTTTAATTTCTCGTCAAAATTTCAATTATTTTTATAAATCATAAAATTCTTCTCCGAAATTCAATTAGTTTCAAAAATTTTCTTCAATTCAATGTTTTATAATATTTACTATTTTAATAAAGTTTTCCAAAAGAATTCAATTATTTAAAAAAAAATTTTTTAAACATTCTACTCAAACATTTAATTTTTTTCATAAATAATAAAATTTTCTCATGAATCAATTCAATTATTTTTTCACAATAATTCCCTTATTTTTATAAATAGATAAATTTTTTACAGAGCTTAAATTATCTTCATAAATAATAAAACTCTTTTTTAGAATTCAATTATTTTCATAAAAAAAAACTCATAGCAGATTTTCAATTATTTTTAATACAATTTCAATGAAATTCCTCGAAAACTTTAATTATTCTTAAAAATTTTATTAAAATTCGTTAAAAAGAATTTAAATATACAAACAGTTTTTGATAACATTCTATATGAGAATTCAATTTTGAGGAACATTCAATTATTCAATCAATTATTTATTTTTGCATTTAAATAATTGAATTCTCGTAGAATTTTCTAATAAAAATTGATTTAAAAATGAATTTCAGTTAAAATTTTAGATAATAATTTAATTTTAAAAGCATTTCTATAGCATGAATTTTCAGAAAAGTCAATTTATAAATAATAAAAATCTTCGTAAAAAATATTAAATTATTTTTATATAAATAATAAAATTCTTATTAGGATTTCACTTATTTTCAATACAATTTTAATTGATTTCTTCGAAAATTTCAATTAATTTTTAAAATCTTTTAAAAATTCTCCGAAGAATTTAAATTATTTAAAAAAATAATTGAATTTTTCACAGGAGTTCAATTATTTTCAAAAAGAACAAAATCATTCGCAGAAATTCAATTATGTTTAAAAATTAGAAAAATTCTTGTTAAAATTTCAATTATCTTTATAAATAATAAAATTCATCTTCGAAATTCAATTATTTTCAAAAATATTATTAAAATTCTTGGCAAAATTGAAATTATTTTTATAAATAATAAAACTTTTACAGAAATTCAATGGTTTACAAAATTTTTACAAATTTCTTTCCAATAATTCAATTATTTTTAAATAATAAAACTTTTCGCAGATTTTCAATTATTTTTTATACAATTTTAATCGAAATTCTTCGAAAAATGTAAATATTCTTAAAAATTTTATTAAATTCCGTTGAAAGAATTCAATTATTAAAAAATTTTTCTGATAAAATTCTTTAGGAGTATTCAATTTTAAGAAATATTCAATTAATCAATTATTTATTTTTGTATTTAAATAATTGAATTCTCGTAGAATTTTCTAATTAAAATTGATTTGAAAATGAATTTCAGTTAAAATTGAAGCTGATAATTGAATATTGAAAGCATTACAAGAGTGAATTTTTAGAAATAATTGAATTTGAAAAGGTTTCATATTAATATCTTTGGAAATTTTAATTTTTCCTACCTACTTTTAACTAACAATTCTGTAGAATTAATTTTTTTTTAAAATGATTTGAAGTTTTTATTTTCAAATATATATTTAATTGAAGAATTACCGAATAATCAAAATTTCGTATAATTGAATTTTAAACAGATGAATTTGAAAATTCTCAAACAACTGTTTCAAAAATTATTAAAAATAATTGATTTAAAAAAGAGTTTTAGTTAAAAATTCTAAATAGAAATAATTTGGAATTATTTTGAAATAAAGTATTCAAAAATGTAAAAAAAAATAAAGGATTCAACTGGAGATCTTTGCTAACTAAAAATAAATTTTTAAAGGGCGAGGACGGTGCGAGAACTAAGCGATGGTGCAGGGCCCTGCAGTCCTATGCACAATCACTCGGTGCTTGGCGTCGACGTCGAGGAGCTCTACCGAACATCATGATCTGCGGTGTATCTAGAAGCTAGACTTGAATTGTTCCTAAAAAATTATTTTTCTACTAAAAGAAAAGAAATCCATTATTAAAAGTTTCATGAAAATAATTTTTAATTTCAAATCAGAAAAAAAAATCTTGCTTTTTACACGCAACAATATTATAGTACGTTGAAGAAACTGAGTTTCCTACGTAACTGTAAAAAAAAAGAAAGAAATGTCAATTTAACGGAATGTGTGTATTGAAAATACACAATTTAATTTTTAAAAAAAACATAATAATATATTTTCTAAACTTAAGTCTATTTAAAATATTTTAATTTTTTTTGTCCACAAAATTATGAGTAGCTGTGATATTGACCGGTGTATTGGGGTTTGCAACTAATATCTGTGAATTTGGAGATGGATTTTCTTCAAATTTCTCAGGCATTTTTTGAAACTGTGTTAATTTATGTTGTGTGCATTTACATTATTGTCAAAATACCGATTACAAGACATTATTGTATATTGTATACTTTTAACTTTTATTTAAAACTTAAGCCATTTTGTACATATCTATCTATATCTATATTCACACTTTAGTAAAAATAAAAATTCATTCATTCGTTACCGACATGTTTTTTTTGGAGTCACATTGTTTTCTTCTTTTTTTTAAATATTGAAACTGGGAAAATTTACTTTTATAAAAGGGCCAAATTGCAAACAAAGTTCTTAATGCGTTTAAAGAATATTCTAAATTCATTTTTGTGTAATTTCGTTATTTAACAAATGAAAATATTGAATATTCAAATTATAAATATTCTTTTTATTTGAGAGGATTTTACATGATTGCTGCTTCCACTTGAACATCTCTCGTCATTGAGGATCTTAGTATTTTGTTTGACGCTCTGAAATTGTAATTAACAATTTCTGGGTGTTTTTCGCAGAGATATTTATAAGCAGTACATAACTTGTCTATGTCTTCTACTGTCAGTTGAGTTGATATCAAATTTGGGTCTATTTCACACAGTCCGAACATCATAAGTGCCAATTGTTTTCGCAATTCAACGGGAAACAGAGTTCTGAAAAATAAAGAAAAATCAATTTCAATATATTTTCAATTCTCGACAAGTACGAATTGATTTACGATTTAAATAGATTCATAAAAATTACGAATCGATATACAATTTAAATATTTTTCCAATTCATAAATACGAATTGATTTGCGATTAAAATATATTAAAAATTCATAACAAATACGAATTACAGACCTCGGATCGACTTTAACGATAAAAAAAATCGCTTTAGTCAATTAAAAATAGAAAAAAGTCGAAAACGTCGTTTATTTAATTCAGTCTTGTCACAAAAAGTTTATTTTGTATTTCTCTGATTCTTCAGATTTATAAATTTAATTAATCAAAACTTGAATAATTTTGCTAAATAAAAAATATTTAAATACTTCTTATTCAAATTACAGGAATAAATAAATAAATATAAATAAATAAATTTAATCACGAGAAATAAAATTCAAAAAATTCCAACTTCTGAAGTTTAATAATTTCAAACAATTACAACTGTAACCCTTAAAAAACTTTAATTATTTTCTAAAATTTTTAACTAAACTTCAACTGTGAATCAATTATCTATATTAATTTTTAATAATTTTCCAAAAGTTCTTCGAGAATTTAATTATTTAAATGCAAAAATTCAATTTTTTATAATAATTGAAACTGTTCATTTTTCTTTTTAAAGATATTTTAAAAAATGTCAATAAAGAAATTCATAATATAATAAATAAATAAATAATAAATTAATAAATAAATTCATAATAAAAATGTCCAAAAAATTGAAATTTGATAAAATCTTTTAAAAATAATTTAAATTTGGTAAAATCTTTAACAAATAATTAAAATAATTGAAATTTGGTAAATCTTTGAAAAATAATTTAAATCTGGTAAAATTTTTGAAAAGTAATTGAAATTTAATAAAATCTTTTAAAAATAATTGAGTTTATAAAAAATATTTAAAAAATCAAATTTTTGAAGAATTTTAATTAGAAATGATTTCTCCGTTATTTTAATAAGTCTAAAAAAGTAATTAAAAAAAACTAATTAATTTTTTGAAGAATTTTAATTAAAAATTTTTAATATGATTATTTACTCCAAAATGTTAGAAATAATAATTTTTTCAAAAATATTTTAATATAATTTTTAGAAACTAATTTTCATTATTGCATTTTTATTAAATTTACACTTGAAGATTTTTCATTAAAATTTTTGAAAATTAAATTATTTTCAAAATTTTGTCAATTAAAATTCTTCAAAATTTATAATAAAATACTTGAAAAAAACCAATTATTATTTTCAATTAAATTTTACAAAATTTCAATCATTTAAAAGCTTTTTAATTGTATATTTCGAAAATTTAATTTGAAAAATTATTCAAAAGTAACTTTTCAAAGATTTGTATGTTATACTTTTTATTCTAATAAAAATCGAAATAAGTTGCAGTTTTACTAAAAATGTGGTATTTTGTCGCAAAATTTGTAAAAAAAAGTCGCAATTTTTAATATAAGTCGATAAAAGTCGCATTATTTGAAAATAGTCGAAAAAAGTCGAAAAAATCATAATATCCGAGGCCTGGAATTAATTTTAATAAACAAAAATGCTGAATAGACTTACTCAATGCATTTTATGTTGTATTTTTGTCGATAGCAGAAAACGTGACGTGTTATTTTTTCAAACAATTTAAAATCGTGACTCGTTCGCGGCTGAACTAAAGGTGTGAACGTAACTACGCCAACATCTACGTCTGGTCTAGGTACAAAAGCGTTGCCTGGGTTGAAAAATAAAATAAGATCAATAAAATTATCAATAATGTCAAATACTTTGTTTAAATAAGAAAATAAATGGTTTTAATTAACAGTTTTGAATTGCAATTAAAGAAATTTCATTTAATAAAATTGTTCTTTGAATATTTCTAAAATTTAACTTATTTACCAGGAATAATGAACTTGAGTCTCGGCTGTGTCCAAGCCTGAGCCATAACAGACAATCTGCATCGTTGAGCATCACCAACGTCCGCACATAAACGTTCAGCGACTTCCTTTTGAAAAGTTAATGCCATTCTCGCTCTTCCCATTGTCCAAGGACCCCGTCTTTCTGATATTTGATGCAGCCATTTAATAATAAGAGGCGTCGAAATATTAAACGGTAAATTACCAATTAAATGAATATGAGGACAATCGTCCGTCCACTTTCGCCCCACTTCGTCGGGAAACATATTCTCCATGTTAACTTTTAAAATATCATCGAATATTACATCCATTTTACCATTGACAGCCGCATAACTTTCCTGCAACATTCCCAAAAAGGGTCTAAATCTTGTATCCTTTTCAATGACAATAACTTTTTCCGGGAATTTTCTCAAAATTGCTCTTGTTATCCCTCCTGGACCCGGTCCTATTTCCACAACGTGTGCGTCTCTCACTTTTCCAGCTTTTTTCACAATTTTTGCAATTGTCGGCTCATCCATCAAAAAATTTTGCGACAGTTGTTTCACTGCATTTAAACGATACATTTTGACTAGATCACGTACTGTTGGAAGTGGAGGCAATCTTAGAGTTGTCATTTTGTATTTTTTCTTTTTTAAAACAAAAAATAAAAAATCTAGACACCAATTATTAATTAATTAATTAAATGTATTTTTAACAGATAATAAAGTTTTTTCAACGAGGCACAAGTATAGCAAAAGTTACTAAAAACAGAGGCAAACTTGCTGTCTGGTCCAAAATGTTATGGGGATCCAACTTTTTCAGGTTCATTGAAATCATCTAAAAATTCTTCCTGCTTCATGGTTCTAATAGTATAGACATAAACTCCTCCTGCAAATAGTGCAAGAGACAATGCGGATATAATATTCCTCTGTTTTATTTTTCTCACACTTGCTACTCTTTTTCTATTGATCTCTTCAATTCTTTTTATGTTAATCAAATCGGTGGTAGTCAGCTTTTGATCGGTTTTTACATTCACCTTCTGCAGAGTATCAGACATAATGATGAATCTTTATAGAAAAAAGTAAATTACAAATAAGTGAATTAAAAGAAATGAAACTTAATAAACTGTGATTATTAAATTAATCAATAGTTATTAATTAATCGATATCGATATTATTACATAATTGTTAAATTGTATTTTATCTTAAAGTTTTTAAGTATATTTTATTACTCTTTTAATCCTTTTAATAAAAATTATAGGTTAGGTTTTCCTCTAATATTTATCAGAATGGGTCGACAAGACCCGAAAAATATAAAAAATGACATTATTCGTTTATTGATTGTTTATTAATTTAATGTAACAAAAAGGAAATATTTACCTTATTTTTCTCAAGGATTATATTAATTTTTGCCCTCAAAATACACAGTAAAATTGAAACACATATTTAACACGCATGCTCCTTTAAAAATCAGCTGATATTACCTTGTAGTAGCAGGGTTGGGTAGGTTGCTTCTCGACCTTTTCGTAAATGATTGTAGCAACTAGTTTCCTATTGGTCAATTACTGGACAAATTGACTATGTAACCAATGGTAGATAGTTCCAGCGGTAATTCTCGTTACTGTTATCTTTGTTTACTTCTAGCAGACAACATTTTTTTAAATTTATATCATTTATCTATTTATTTTACTCTAAAAAAAAAGAAACAATAAAAATTCAGGTATGTTTTACGAATGTTGAAGAATAATAATATATTACATTTTCTATTACTGATCAACGTGTAAGCAAAATAAAAAATCGTACATAGCAGACAATAAAAAAGGCGGCATCGAGCGGGAAGCAGAATAGAATTATTAATTGTGCAAAAAGTTTATTTTACTCTACTACTACTTTATAGTGATTTTATAATTTACGCGAAATTTTATTGTTAATAAATTTTAAATTTGTCGAATAATTTGAAATAGTTTTCAAATAATTTTTTGATTACAGACAGAAATAGACTTTAAACTTCGTAACATCCGTTCTCAGTATTGAGTATTTCCCGCCTATTACTGTCTTTACTGCAAATAGAATCTTTTGTTTGCAGCATTTTCGTTTTGATTTCGTAGAGTGAGTTCACATTTCGCAAGTAGCGACGAGAGAAGACAGAACAAGTGGATTTTTAATTGTTTACCTATTATCTTTTCGAACAGAAGAAATCAAGATGCCAGTAAGCACAACGAGTGTTTTGAAATTCGCAAAATTGACTGACAAGGCCTTTGCTCCTGTTAAAGGAAACGCTTTTGCTGCCGGCTACGATTTACGAAGGTGAGATTTTGTTTTATAGTATTTTTGAATTGATAAGTATGAAATTAACCAGGGTAATAAATAAATTATGTAAATTTGAGTCTAACGGAAAAAATCATGGTTATGTTTCACACGTGACTTTCGTATACCTTTAATTTAATTATTTTCTTTTATTATAAAAAAAAAAATAGTGCGTACGAGTATGTGATTCCTGCGAAGGGAAAGGACCTGGTTAAAACCGACTTGCAAATAGCCGTTCCTCCAGGAACTTACGGCAGAGTTGCACCCCGTTCCGGTCTTGCTTGGAAAAACCACGTGGATATTGGCGCTGGAGTTGTTGACCAAGACTACAGGTAAAATTCTAATTCTTATAAAATTGCGAACGGTTATAGAATCATAGCAAAAAAATTTAAGAAGAATTGAATTTCTCCGAAGAATTTTATTATTTATGAAAATAATTGAATTCATGACCAAAATTTTATTAAAATTTTTGAAAATCCTAGCTAAATTCTTTTGAAGAATTTCTTTAAATTTTTATAAATAATGGAGTTTCTTTAATAATTTTAAACGCAAATTTTTACAGTAATTGAATTTTATGAACAATTTATCACAAGTTTTTAAAATAATCGTGTTTCTTAATTGAAACTAAACAATTAAATTATTCAATATTATTAAAATTTTTATAAAATAATTACATTCTTTTCAGAATGTTATTACAATTTCCTAAAATAATTTAATTTACTTAAGAAATTTCATTAAAATAAAATATAGAAATTAATTGAATTCTTTCGAAAAATTTTATTAAAAATTTAAAAAAATGGAATTCTTTCGAAGGATTTTTTTTAAATGTTAAAAAATAATTGAATTCTTTTGAAAAATTTTATAACGATAATTAAGAAAAAAATTCAATTCTTTTGTGAAATTTTATTGAAAATAATTGAATTTTTGCAAAGATTTTACTATTTAAATTTTTGAAAATATAAACAATAATATTTAATTATGTATAAGTGAATTTTTTAAATTTTGATTATGAAATTATTCAAAAATTTATATTTGAAAATAAAAATTTTTATAATTTTAATAATAATAATAATAATAATAATAAATTTAATATCTCGTTCCGCGCGTAACATTTGCTAGTTTAATAATAATTTAAATAATAATAAAATTAATTAGATTCGATTACACGAAGTCATTTTTTTAGGGGTAATTTGGGCGTCGTAATATTTAATCACGGTGATGAGGATTTAAAAGTTCAAGTTGGTGATCGCGTGGCGCAATTAATTTGCGAAAAAATTGAGTATCCTGAACTCGAGGAATTGAGCTCCCTAGACGACACTGCAAGAGGCGAAGCTGGTTTCGGTTCCACTGGTATGAACGAAATAATAAAGAAATAATTATTTTCCACTACATATTTCCACCGCTCATCTTATCATAAACACTATTTATTTTAAATACTAAGTCCAAGTCATAATTATAGACAGTAAACTATATTTTTATATGAATTTCTCAACGAAGTAAAACTTAATTTTTTTATTTTATCTGAATTTGTTGACTGACATTTGTTTTTTATATTAGTTTTTTCTCTGAGAATTATTTGTATGAAAAATTTCTTTTAAAAACTTTTGTATATTTTTCCTCAATTTTAATTAAACTGTTGTTTACCATTCTCTTGTTAATGTAAAGAAAAAAATTTCTAATTTTGAAAATTGTAAAACATTTTTCTTGTTATATGTCTCATTTGGAGAAATAAAGTAATTTTTCTATAAGACACTGCGGCATAATAATTATATTATTTACAGAAGAATAATTTTATTTCAAAAACAGTTTTTAGTTTTTGCAGTTATATTTTCGACATAGGTACTGAATGAATGAAATCTGACGGTTTTTTGACTAGGGCCTGAATGTTTTTGAATTCCGAATGTTTTGCGTCTGCCAAAAGTTTGAAAATGACGTTCTCTGATGTTGTTATCTGACAGCCGAATTGCTTCATTCTCTGTGTTAATAATTATATTAATATATTAATCTAATATCAATAGTTAATTTATAGAATTGAGTGAAATGAAATAAGTGATGAAAAATCGAAAAGATAGGAATATAAGTAGAAATTACCTCCAAGGCTAGAGTCATGTCTTCGAGAGTTCGTGATGAGCAACAATCAGCGACGGTATGAACTTCAAATCCATTTTGCTTGAGATCAATGGCTGTGTTTTCAACGCAAACATGTGCTTCGATGCCAATTAATATAATCGACTCCGGAGGTTTGCCACTGCAAAGTGTTGACAGCTCCTTTCGAACCTACATTTATTAATAATTAATATAAAAATTTCTTCTTTTTATTAATTTATTATAATTATAATTTAATAATTATTTATTTACTTTATTAGTTTCTTCTATTGGTAAAATTGTCTTTTAATCAAATTTTTACTTGCCTCAGGAGTATACATACTGAATTGTGTTTTTGCGAAAGGACCTTTTGCTCCCTTTACGTCCAATTGGGGAACTATTCTTCCAAGAGCCTTCGGATTCTGTTCTGTCACTAGCATGGGAATTTTCAAAATTTTCAAGGCATCTACCTGTCAAAAAGCAAGTAATATTTTTCTTTTTTCCTGATTTCCAGACAAAAATTGGACTTTTTCCCTGAGCCTAAAGAATATTCTGATTCACTCTAAAAATTATTAGATGCTCAAAAAAATTTACATTTATTTACGAATCTCTTTAATTGTAAAATTATTAGAAAACATCAATAACTTCTTTTTTAAATCGTTATTTAATCATTATTATTTTTTCATAGGAATTAAAATTCTTCAAAAGATTCAAATTAATAGTTTATGAGGCAAACAAAAAAGACAAAAATTCAGAATTTTTTTATGAATTCTAAAAATTAAATTTTTTTCAGTACTTTTAATAAAATTGCCTGATATTTCCCTGATTTCTCTGACCTGTGGAAAACCTGTTTAAGAATCATTTCTTTCTTTTTTTTTTGCTTTGAAAATATACAGAGAAGAATTAATTATTATTGAAATGAAAACAAGACAATTTTGTGATTTTTTTAAAAAAAGGACAAAAATAGAAAATAATTACCAGTTTCGAAGAATTGGAGACCATTTTATCAAATTGAAAAATTGCTTTTGAAAACCTTTCTTGCACATCGCATATAAATAGAGCTGTTTTTTCTGGTTTTAAAACAGCTTTTGCTGCATTGATAGCCATTTTTGTTTTTCTAAATAAAGCAAAAATGTAATTTCTACTGAAGTCTTACGAGAGTGTTAATATTTTGGTTTGTTGTTAAATAATTTACGAAAATAAGAGAATTTAGTCTTGTGTTGATCAAAGTTCACATTTTAACAGGGTTGGATACAAAATGTTATGGAACGAACGGAAAGAAATTATACGCACATAACGTATTGTATTAATTCCGCCGCGTTAAATTTAAAAACAATGTTTGTTTGTACTAATTAAAAAAAAATTTTACACTCTTGAAAAATTTGTAATATTAGTGCTTGCAAAAAATAACTAAAAAAAACCTCTATGGTTTTATTGATTTATTTTATTTTATTACTTTTAGGTATTTCGTTTAATTTTTTTACTTTTGAGTTCTAAAAGTTAAAAATACAAAATAAATAAAAATTCATATTATGTAAATTTAATTAAACGAAAAATTGCGAAGTTTAAATTTCTCTTTTACTTTCTAATTTTCTTTTTACTAATTTCCTTTTGCTAGAAACGCATATATTTGTATAATTAAAAATTTTTATTTTCTAATTTCGATCAATAATTATTAGAACTTCAAAGAGAGATGAAAATTTAAGTCTTCTCATTATTTTTCATCAACTTGAAAATTAAATATATCTATAATCTTTTGACAACAATTATATCGATCGGCGAAACCGACGCATGCGAAAATTCATCATCAAGAATAGAAGGGAGAAGAAATGAAGCTATTGACAATGAACTCTGGAGTTTCTTAGTTTGCAAAACAAATTTTTTTGAAAATACAACAACAAAGGAAAATGTATTAACGATAAAAGCACAGGAAGTAATTTCAAATAATGGATAAATTAAAATCCACCATGTTTACAAACAGTTTAGTCGAAAATTACGTTTACATTTCAAAAAATAAATGGATTTGTCTTTTCGACGAGCAGTAATGGTAAGAAATTTTTATTTTCTATTAACGATGATTTTTTAGATTCGAAAAAAAGAGATTTGAAAAAGAGATTAGAAAAAAGATATTGGAAAAATAATTTTGATTGTGGATTAAAAATAATTTTTTCGTTTTAGATGACAGTGAGAAGAAGAAGACGATTACGAAGACGTGAAATGACAGACTGATGATCTATGGACCCAGTAGTGTTCGAAATAGATAGATAAAATAGAATAAAAAGAAGAGGATAGTTAGTGAAATAACTATACAAGAGTTAAAATTTCTAAAATTACAAATAATTATAAACACGTGTCAGAGAAAATGAGTCACGCGCAACAACATGTACTTGCCAGTGCAATAGTTCTCGCTCTGATAGTGGTTTTCGGTATCCACGTCTTCCTGTTCCCGATGTACACATCTAATCCTGCAACGAGGCGCACGAAAATCTCCGTTTATGAGCAGGCTCTTTGTCACTCGAATTTGAGGCCAAGTAAAATTTCACTGCAAAATAAGACGCCTTGTCCGAAATATGGAATTGTTTCTGCCGTACAAGGCGGGAGGCTGGGAAATCAAATTTGGGAGTACGCATCCGTGTGGGCAACTGCGAGGTATTTTTTCTCTTTTTTTCCATCTACTGATGGAATTTAAATTCTATTTCTTATAAATTTCTTGATTATATGAATTTAAAAAATATGAATTTTTTTGTAACAGGAGAACCGGTCTGGAACCGTATGTTCCAAGATGCATCTTGAAAACGCTGGAAGAACATTTTGAAAAATTGAGCATACCACCTCTGAGTAATATTGGATATTGTACATTGGGTGTCGATCAAATTGTCTCCCTCAGTGAATGGAACAGTACCCATCAGAATATCATAATTCCAAGGTGATTATTTTCTAACAAATTAATTAAAAATATATTTTTCTAAAGTTTCGAACGTTCAAGAGAAGGATATTTTTTTTTCGTGTAAATATTTTCGAAAAATTATTATACTGAATCAAAAAGTAATATAAATTTCCAAATTTGCTTAATTAATAATTGTTTTTATTATAAATGATCATTTTTTAAAAATAAAATACAATTTAAAAGAAATAATAAAAGTATCGACATTCATTTGAACGTTCAAAATTTTATGGACTATAGACAACCTCGGATCGACTTTAAGAAGCAAAAAAAAAAAATCATTTTAATCGATTCGCAGTAGGAAAAAAATCGAATAAGACTATTTTTAATTTCGGATAATAACAAATATTTTATTCTGTATTTTCTTTATTTTTTTCTAATTTTCTAGAAAAGGTTTTTAACTGTTACCCTTATTTCAATAATAACTTAAATTTCTAGTTTTTGTAAAAGTTAATTATTTTTAATACATTTTTCTTGAAAAACACAATTACTTTTTAAAAAAATTGTAAAAAAAATTCATCAAAAAATGAAATTTTAATTGAATTTTAACGATATTTACAATTATTTGCCAACTTTTAAAAATTATTTACTAATTACTTCTGAAATTTTATTATTTCTAAAAATTGCTAATGTAAGATCTTCAAAATTCAATTATTCTCTAGAATTTTTAACTACAATTAATTTCTAAATCAATTATTTTAAATAATTTTGAGAATGTTCGTTGAGAATTCAATTATTAAAAAAAAAATGGGGAAATTCACTTAAAAATGCGTCTAAATTACAATTTTTAATTTTAAATTTCGATTATTCAAAAATCCAACTAAAAATTCGAATTAAAATTTTTGAAATTCAACTAGTTTGTTGAGATTTTTTAACTTTAATTATTAAAAATTTAAATCTTGAAAAATTTTAATTCAAAACCTATTGAAATTTAATTATTTTAAAAAATTTCTTTTATAACTCCTCTAACATTTAATTATTTTCTCAAATTTTTGAATTTTTAAAAATTTTCAAAAAGTTCTTTGAAGATTTAATTATTCAAAAAATAAGAAGAAAGTTGAATTTAAATACAATTTTAAATTCAATTCAAATTTAATGATTTTAAATTGAAATGAATTCGCTAAATTCAGAATTTAAAAATTTGTTTCTAACAATTTCTACTAAATATAAAAATTAAATTATTTTCCAGAGTTTTTAAATAAAATTTTATTAAAATGTTTAAAAATAATTTAACTCTTTCGAGAATTTAATTTCTTAGAGAAATTTAAATAAAATTAGAATAAAAATATTTAAATTCTTATAGAGTATTATCAAAAATTTTTAAAAAGAATTGAATTCTTTTTAGAAATTTTAGTAACCTTTTTTTAAATAATTGAATTCCTGTGACGAATTTTATTACTTAGGAAAATAATTCAAATCTTCTTTCGAATTTTAGTTAAAATTTTCGAAAATAATTGAATTCTATCAATAAATTCCATTCAAATTATATTGAAAATAAGTGAATTCTTATAAAGAATTTTAGCAAAATTTTTCAAAATAATTATATTTTTTCAAAGATTTTACCGAATTAAATTTTTTTCTTATACAGAATTTTATTAATTATGAAAATAATTGAAATCTTGCTAAGAATTTTATTAAAATTTTAGAAAATAATTGAATTTTTTTGATAAATGTAATTGAAATTGTATTGGAAATAATTGAATTCTTATAAAGAATTTTATCAAAATTCTTAAAAATAATTGAATTATTTCGAGAAATTTTATTAAAATTTTGTTTTAAATAATTGAATTCTTGTGATGAATTTTATAAGTTAGGAAAATAATTCAAATCTTGTTACGAATTGTATTAAATTTAAAATTTACGAAAATAATTGAATTTTTTTGAGAAATGTAATTGAATTTGTATTGGAAATAATTGAATTCTTTTAAAGAATTTGAGCATAATTTTTCAAAATAATTGATTTTTTTCAAAGTAATTAATTAAATTTTTTTATTATGAAGAATTTTATTAATTATGAAAATAATTGAAATCTTGCTAAGAATTTTATTTAAATTTTAGAAAATAATTGAATTTTTTCGGAGAATTTTAATTAAAATTCTATTGGGAAAAATTGAGTTCTTATAAAGAGTTTTATTCAAATTTTTCAAAATAATTTAAATCTTGCTAAGAATTGTAGAATTCTTATTAAAATTGTAGAAAATAAATTAATTTTCTTGGAAAATTGGAATTAAAATTGTATTGGAAATAATTGAATTTTTTTGAGAATTGTAATTAAAATTGTCGAAAATAATTGAATTTTTTTGAGAAATGTAATTAAAATTCTATTGGAATAATGAAATTCTCATAAAGAATTCTGTCAAAATTTTTAAAAATAATTGAATTCTTTCGAGAAATTGTATAAAAATTGTGTTTAAAGTTGAAAATAATTGGCTTCTTGCAATAAATTTTATTATTTATCGAATTGACTGAATTTTTTCGAAAGTATTTAATTAAATTTATTTTTTATTTAATTAAATTTTCCGAAAATAATTAAACTTTATCTGTATTTATGAAAATTTTCCAGACACGCGGCCTATTGGTCTCAAATTTTAATCTGGTTGGATGACTTACGACAAGAGTTTAAATTCAAATTCAAATACCGTTTGTATGCACAAATGGTATTAATGAAGGCAGCTTCACGATTCGAATTAACAAATGCAACATATATCAGCGTTCACGTACGCAGAACCGATTACGTGGAATATTTATGGCAAAAATTTAACGTTCGACCAGCACCAGTCAGATATTATTTAAACGCAATGGATTATTTTCTAAATAAATTCAAAAATGCTATTTTCTTGGTTGCCAGTGACAATATTGCCTGGTGTAAATATAATTTAAAAAGCGACCACCGAATCACCTTTATTTCCGATTCAAATGGCAAAGGACCAGGTAAAGATCTCGCAGTTTTGTCTGCGTGCAATCACAGTATCATCGATTATGGAACGTACGGTTCATTCGCTGCCATTCTCGCTGCCGGTGAGACTGTTGTTTTTAACGTAAGTTCTCATTTCACAACTCTTATTGCCGAAGCTCTATCCAACTGGATAATTATGAGTTAAATCTTTTTTTTTTTATTTATCAAAAACAAAGATATATATAATTTACGGACCGAGGGTACATTGATTCACATATTGACAATCTTTATCTAGACAAAAAAAATAGTAGTACTTTTTTAATAAGAATGCAAATTATTTATATTTAACAAATTTTTAAACTATAAAAAAGTATAGCAAAAAATATCTATTCAATATTAACATGGAAATAATTACAAAATAAGAAATTAATAATTATCTTTCTGACTCATATGTACAATTGTTTCAACTGTGATTTGTGCCAAACTTCTTAATATATCGCAATATATATAAACTTTACACTAAAACATTAAATTCTATTTACAAAGTGAAAGGGGTGTTTATTTAATTGAAATTTAATACGTTGATTGTTAAATATATAAAGTCATGTTATTACAAATCTTATACAGGTAATAAAAACATTATTTACACTGTTGACAAAACTTCTAAAAATTATTTATAAATTCTAATTACAAAATATATATTTACTGTACAATCTTGTTTAATAATAAAATTAGTCATTCTATATATTAGTGTTGTAAATGTTTAGTAAACACGATTAAAATATTTTATATGTATGTTTAAAAAATTTCTTCTTTTTTCACAGAAGAATATTTAAGTGAAAAATGAATTTATTGCATCTGTACAATGTAAAATACTGTAACAAAAAAAAAGTGCACTCTTCTGTATCTAGAATTCTAGTCTTAAAAAAACCAAATTCGAAATATTTCATCTCCAAAAAAAATAGTATTAGCAGGAGAAATATTTTACAAAAGAAAGTATTATTTCGAAAAATTTTTTGACACAACCTCGTGACCTGATTACTTCGGAGAAAACTTATCTAAATGGAGTAGAAAATTTAATTTTTTACCAAGAAATTGAATTGAAGAAATTGAATTGTTTTGAAATTATTTGTCTTTTCAACAACAATCAATTTGGTAGTTTAAAAAAAAATGTATGCATGTTAATTATAAAAAAAAAATGCGTATTTGTGCCTGTTAATCAAATTCTCTTCGTGAAAACATTTTTAAAAAAAAAGAGACTGGAATCAATTTCTTTTTCTAGCAATTAATCAAATATTCGCTTTTTATGCGATGTTTCGGCTTATTCAAATGAAAGTAAACACAAAGACTATTTAACTTCCAGGTTTCGACGCTCTATTGTAAACATATATACGTTCTCTGTGATAAATTTGTCTAATATCTGTCGTTTTATTACTCGTTTAAATGTAATAAATATAAGTAAATAAATATATTTCAGGTCGCAAAAGAAAAATAAGATGGTTTGATGGAAATTTTATGTCCCTGTTATAATTTGCGTTTGTCTTTGTTCTAACAAATCGGACAGTTTTTCCACTTTTTTCTCGAGTAAAACATTTTTCAGGCCCGTTTTTTGTTGAAGTTCCAAAATTGCCGATACAAATCGAGCGTGTAATTCGTCTCGTTCAGATTTGCACTGTAAAAATTATTAAAATATGAATTGAATTAGAATTTTTGACATCTTATTTAGAATGTTAAAAATTATTACTGATTACTATTTAGGTAATTATTACTAAAAATAATTGTTCTTGAATGAAATTGAGAATTCAGCGAACCTTATTGTATCTTAATTCGCATACTTCATTTTCCCACTTCATGGCTTCGATATCTTTTAGAGCGGTTGATAATTTTTTTCTAGTATGCTGAAAATTAGTCAGATAAATTATTATTAAATTAGTGAATTAGATAATTAATTTTACAGTTATTTAAGTAAATCAATTATAATTTTAGTTCTTACTGTTAATAATTGTTTATCTTTCTCATAATTCGTTAGTCGTCGAGTAAAATCACTGATTTGATTTTTAGCCTCTTTTAACTCTTCGAAATTCTTTTTATTCTCGCTCGTTACTTCTCGAACTTGTTTCGTCATTCTCTCTTCATGATTTTTCATATTTTCCAATTGTTCCTAAAATGAAGTATAGAAGAAAAATTAGAACATCTTTATTGTTATTAATAAAATTAATTATTTTTAATCTAAAATCAATTAGATAATTTTTAATCTAAAATTGAAAATAGAATAAATAAATTTAAAAAATGAATTAAATATTTTTTTGACTAAATTTAAATGTTCAATTTTATAGTTTTAACTATTTATTTTTCTAAGTTTTAAATATTTGTTTTAATATTTTTGATTTGTGCAAATATGGAAGTAAATAAATAAATTAGATTTATACTATTATTATGCACCTTGAGGCTTTTGATTAGCGATAGATTATTCAATGTAATATCATTGTAATAATTTTTTATATCCGCAAATGCTTTCTCGTGATTATTTATTAAAGTCGAAATTTGCAAATTTCTTCGCTCTTCAGTTTCGACAATTTCCGTTCGATGTTTCAACATTAATGATTCATACAAAGATGCCATCTTTTGTTCGTACTTTTGCTCCAGTTCAGTGGCTTCAGACTCGAATTTTTTCATCATATTGCTCATTTCTTCAGCCGATGTCTATTAAAATAAAAAATATTTAATTACATATTTTTTAAAACAAATTCTTGTTGACCACTACTATTAAAATTTAGTATTTGTCTTTCCTTTCGATTTTGTAATTCAGTTTTACAATGGAAAAAAATTTGCTTGATTCAAAATGAACTATTACTTGTCCGTTAGCAAATAAATATTTATTTGTATAAAATATTTTTGATTTAAATCAAAAAAATATATTAATTAAATCAAATAAATTGCATTTGCTTCAAATACAGAAATTATTGATTCAAACAAAATATATTTGATTTAAATAAAAATTATTGGTTCAAATAAAATTTATTTGATTTAAATAAAAATTAACGGTTGGAATAAAAGTTATTTGATTTAAATAAAAATTATTGGTTCAAATAAAATTTATTTCTATTAATAAAAAATTATTTGATTCAAGTAAATATTTTTTTGATTTAAATAAAAATTATGGATTCAAATAAATATTTATTTGACAATAGACAAGTTATTTGAATCAAGTAAATTTCTTTTCAATTAACTTACTAATTTCAATGATCGAATTTCGTTCATATGCGAAAGTTCTTTTTCATTTTGCGCTCTCTTCAATTGTCTTTTATCTTGAACAAGTTCATTTTCTTGTGATATATAATCGTCTTGTGCCATTTTTAACGCAACCATGTGTTCAGCTTTCGATGACGAGAGATTCATTTGATGTTCGTACATTAAATGTTTTACTTTTTGTTTATATAATGTTAATTCCGCTTCATGTTTTTCTATCAATTCTTCTTTTTCTCGCTCTTTGTTTCTAAAATTGATGAAACATAAAAATATTTTAGTTTTAAATAAAAATAAATATTTTATTTTTTTCTATTTTTATGTTATTACAAATATTAATTTATTTACCTTGTCACTGCACGAGCTTCTTCCAATTGATGGCGTGTTATTTCCCAAAAAGTTCGAAGTTTATCTCTCTCCAATTGAAAAAAATTTCTCTCTTCTCTCTCACGTTCCATTTCTTCCAGGATTTTATGAGAATAAATTTCCAATTGTTCCCTGTTCATTTTTGACGTATCCACTCCATCCACAGTGTCTGCTGATTTTCCTTTTCCTTTCTTCGGTGCCTAATGGTATTAATATTTAATTTATTTTCCAAAATCATTAATTTCCAACTAGATTTTCATTTATGAAGCAATGGCAACTTACCATCTTTACGTTTCCAATCAACGAAGTTTAAAACTTTATAATTTAGTCCCCGAAAAAAATGTAAATTTAATAATAATTCTTCCTTAATTATTTAAATTATCAATATTCCGCATAATTAATTATTTAAATGATCAATATTCCGCATAAAGTTAGAATCGAAATAAATTTTTTTATACTGTCACTTATCAATATCACCGCATAATCACAAAACCATGGCGTGAAGTTGCTAAGCAACGTTAAATCAAATTTAATTATCCGCCTATAACTGTTCATTCAAAACTTGATTTTAATTTTTATCAAATTTAATTTAAACATGATTAATTTGAAACTTAGATTTTTAATTTATGAAAGAAAAGTGAAAAATGTCTTTTAATACTATAAAAAGTGATGTATTGTTTATTATACATATTTATATATTTATATTATGCACAGCAGATAAACAATGACGAATAAACAATATTTTGTTTTATATATAAATAATGACAGCAGACAAAGAATTTTAATAATGTGCTGTATGTTTTTTTTTCTGTATATATATAAAGACGCAGAAAACATTGTTTAAAATTTTCTAAAAAAATACATTTTCTTGTACACTATAAATGTTACATGTTAAGCAACGCGTGTATTTCTAAACAAGTGTCATATTCAAATATAAAATCTAAAGAAATCTCTTAGAAAATTTGTTGATTTAGTAAAAATGAAAAAAAATTACCTCTACTCGTGTAAAACTTTCCTTGTCTGTATCCTATATATGCTTGACACATACACAATTTTTTTTTTGTTTTTTTTATATAAAGTTGTACGCATTTTTCTTTATAAATTAATCGGACAACGTAATTAAAAATTTACAATTTCTTTTATACAATCAGAAAAAAAAATTAAAAGAATACCCCAAATTTGGTCCATTATTTGAGTGAATTCTCTTTACGAAGGATTTTGTTCTCTAAATCTGGTGTAAGATACGTCGACATCGTGTGGTTTAAAATTCATATTTTTAAAAGTTGTTAAAACAAAGTTTTAAAATAAAAAAACAGTTTCAGTCTAAATGTAATATTCTTTGAGCGATATGTTGGCTTGAAAGAAGAAACTATTTTATTTGTGTCTTTTTAATGTACGTGTTAATGTAAATTTATGATATGAAATAACGTAATTTGTTACACGAGGTCGTCGCATCGCTAACCAGGAGTCTAGAGTATACTAATAGTAGAAAAAATAAATGGTTTAATGCAAATTTGATAAATTTCTTCAATCTGGTACCTCAAATGGAATGATGCTTACAGTGCAATTAATTTTCCAACACCTTCAATTAGTATTACCGTTGAACTGTAGTAGACATCCCACTGCCCCAAAATAACCCTGTAACAAAATAATAATCTATGTTAATAATTAATAATATCAGGGTGGTGACAAATTTCAGTTTATCAATTTCCCTGACAGTTTACTGATATTAAAATTATTTTTCCTGACAAAATTGACATAATCTATTTGAAAACAAATAAAAAGACTTGCCTCATGCTCTAAAAACAGAGCTTTCAATGTTCCTTTTGACCAATAATCCATAGCATAAGCTAATAGTTTCATCGATATTGGATTAACTCTCAAAAAGTTGCCGACAAACACAACCTAAAACAAATAGTTTTAATGTATAAAAAATTTTAACGGATAAATATTTTTTAGAATAGAAAGAATTACAAGAAAGTAATAGAGTTTATACAAATATATAAAAAACATAACAAGAAAATAAAATAAAAAATAAAATTCATATACAAATATATAAAAAAAATGTAGAATATAGTGAAAAATACCCTTTCAATTTTCTCGTTGACTGCACACATTCTTGCAATGGAGCCAATATTGTTCGTAATTGTTACAAGGGTGGCTCGAGCAAGATCTTCTTTACTAACCACGTTGCGTCGATCTTTTGAGTTCATTTGGCCAAAGCTAACGTCATAAAAATTGCTATTAAGAGTATTTACAAATTTGTTAACATTTATTGCTAGAAATTAAAAAGTAATGTAATAATATTTCCGATGTAAAAATTATAAGAACTACAAAAACTTGTTCCGAGATTTTAAAAATGTAAAATTAATTTAAAAAAAGTAGAAAATGATAAATATTTCGATTACATTAAGCATACCTGCTTGCCACAAGATCGCCAGGAAGACAAAAAGGTCCATAATCTCCACCATAAATATCTCTTACTAATTTATCTACTCTAGTGTTATCTCCGCTAGTTGCCAACTCAATTGCCTCCTCAAATGTGTTACATCCCGTTAATAAACAACATAATCCTAAAAATGTTCCACCACCTAAGCTGGAAAAAATAGAAAGGATAATGTATACTCAACTCTTTTTTTTAATTTACAGAATATATTTAATTTTTTTCTAATTTAATAAATATTTTTAACCCTTCTTTTTCATTTAGTCTAATTTATCCTTTATGTAAGTTACCTTGTTCCAGATATTCTTCTAAAATTGTCAGGACCATAAACGGCCAATATGCTTACACCTGATCCTATATTTACTAGCTGCAAAAAAATGACAAAATAATTAAATTTAATTAAAATGAAATAATTTAAGAATTTAAAATGAATAATAAGATTTATTTACCAGAAACGGATAAGGTTCCGAAAAGTCATAAGGTATTTTGTGACATTTACTATCATCGGTGGGTTCACTCCAATAGTAGCATTCGTGTGGATTTGTCGTTTCTATGTAGAGCATCCCTCGAATTAAACTATCAAGTTCATCAAATTTCGCTAAACTCATATTCACTTCCTACAATACAAAGATCGCCAATTATTTTGACGACCTAACATCTTGATGATAAAAAATGATTTCAACTATTTCTTGGTTATTTGAAATATTTTAGTTAAAAAATAGTAGTAAAAAAATAGTACTAAAAAATAGTTGTAATATAATAATAATAATAATAATAATAATAGTAATAATAAATAAATAAAATAGTAAAAAATTGTAAATATTAATAATAATAATGATGATGACGACGATGAGAAAAGTGTAAATAATGCTGACCTTCTTGAAGTTTTCTTCAAATTTAAAAGCTCCACCTCCTGTGGCACAAACGGTAGTAACTAAATTAGCCATTCCCTTCGATTTTGCAAGTGCTAAAAAGTTTCCCATTTCACTGGTTGGAAATCGTATAAAATGTAACGTGCCTCTTCTTCCTCTAATAAGAATATTGTCCATCTAGAATTTGAAAATGATAGAAAATCATTAAAACGATCTTAGTTTGTAAGAATAATTTAAAATTCTTCTCTCAAAGCAAAATAGCGCTATAAATATTTTTTCTTACTTGTAAATGAGTATCACGATGACCTGTTTTGCCGTAAGCGGAATTTTTTGTAAGATACCGTCTAATATTCTTCAAGATTTCGACTTCTGCGTCTGCTTCGTCTCTTGTTATGTCTTTAGGCTCGAAATACACTAGTTTACACAGAGTGCCTCCAATATCCATTCCAAACCAAGGCATTGCTGAAAAAAAATGATAAATAATTAATTATTTCGTTGACAAATAATTAAAAAAGTGAAAAATTGAAACGGAAGAAAGAGAAAATTAATTACTATCTGTTTGTAATTTGTAAATAAGAGCAAAATTTACTATTTTTTTATCTAACCAAAAAGAATGAAAAATTGTATAATTAGTTTATTAATAATCTAAACGGGTTAATAAAAATCAAGTGTTTGCACAAATAAAATACTGTTTTTCAAAACATACATAGTATTTTTAAAAAAAAATTGTTAATAGAGCTCAAAATAATAATACACTCGGGGAACCAATTTCGCATATTCTATAATAAATGCTAATGAGGAAAAATTGATAAATAGTTTAATTTTAGAATTCCTGCTTTATTATGCTTGAATTTCTAGTGTAAGAAAACATTTAGATTATAATCTTGACGTAATAAAACTCAATTATCGTATTTATAGCAAAAGTGTTGGAATACTGTAATAAATAAAAAAATTGTAATAGAAAAATTGCAATTTTTCTATTACAATTTTTTGTATTTATTACAATATTCCAACACTTTTATTGACTAAAAATTTTAATAATAAAAAGAAAATTAAAGAAAAAAAATAATAAATAATGAAAATTATTAATTAAGTCAAGTTAGAAAATATTAAAGTAAACTTTTAGGAGAAGGATGTAGTCTAAAGCAAAATAATAATGCAGAAAAAAACATTATTAGATATACTTTAAAACGCAAAATTGCAAGCAACTAATTATCTGTCTTACCAAACAATTAGATGGGCAACTGAAATAATAAAATTAAACAATGGCTAATCTAAGCACACATACAATTCACGGACTCACAGGGTGGTGAGTGATCTTTGGACTGCTTGGCCATAGCAGTTGAATTAGAATAACCATTTGAAGCCATGACCCTTCTGTTCAAATGATCTTCACAACTTTGTAAGCCCATTGTCCAAATTAAAATTATTCAACAAGATCTTCAATTCAATGGTACTTAATCTTCGATCTGAAATGCAAAACATTTGTATTATATTTTCAAGAAACTACAACTTGTACAAAAGAACAAAATATTATAGTTGAAATAACGTGCTATTATTTACACTGTTTTTGAAAGAAAATACATAAAATAAATTAATTGTAAAATTAAAGTGTAATTTAGAAGTAAAAAAATGGTTTTATTTTACTGTAATACGACTAATTAAAGAAATAAAGAAAATAAAATAATTACATTAGGAATAATTAAAAAAGGAAGCATTAAATAATTTTTCTGAACTTTTTTTACGAATACACAAAATATACACTCTTTTTTAAAATTCGCGTTTCAAGTCAAAGGTTGACACTTAATTATTATTCCTCTGGGTGAAGAATGCGTAAATAAAAATTTGCATTACTAAAACTGAATATACCACGTGCTTCTTAGATTATAAAGATTAAATAATTCAATTATCGCAAATTTAAATTCTTTAGGGAAGTAAATTTTGTTCACCAGAAAAAATTCTATTTGATAAAAAATTAAAATTTCCTTAAGTTTACAAATTTTTAATATAAATTATTAACAGTAATTTAATATTATTAATAAAATAATGATTTTGGAAAAGCGATATTTTCTTAAACAAATTCTCGACATCATTAAATTTAATTACCCACCACAAACATGGAAAAAAAGGAGTCTTGTCACTTGTAAAAAGTGTTAATAAATATTACGTTATATTGACAGTAAAGTTTGTAATTATATTCATAATTTATGACATGCTTGGCAACTTGATAACTTAATGACTTATTTTTGATTTAAAAACCATTTCTTTCTGGAAAAATTAGTTAAAGAAGGGGAAACACGTGGAACATCGTCAGATAATAGTCATTCTCGCATATTTCAACAGTTCAAGGTTAACAATTAATTTTTTCCGTCTACTGATTTCTCGTAAAGAATAAATTATTTAATTAAAGAGTAGCTATATTTCTACGCAACTCATTAAATACATATATTTTAATTCCTCTCTATATTATATTTAAAAAAATTTAAATTACTTTAATGAAAATTTAATTATCAACAATAATACTACAATCACTGATAAATAATTATAAAAACATAAATAATTAAAAACACAAATAATTATAAAAACCATAAATATATAAATATTGTTTTTATTAAGTATTTTTATACCTGAAATCATTGTGAAGGAAGATTTCCTGATACTTATGATTAACGATAGTTGCTTGTGGAACTTAATAAAAAACTGAGATTTATGCCGTAGAAAAATGAATGTAACTATTTCACTGTCATTATAAATGAGACTGATAGTTTCATTGTGCTTTTATAACATGTAGACACAATAAAGAATTTTTTATCTATTAATCATTTAGTAGTGAAATAGGAAATACAGGAAATATAATTAAATAGCACTGAGATCATAAATCCAAACAAACACAGATAATGAAAACTGAAGACTGGAATCAAATCGAGTAATTTTAACAGCTCCCTCTAGACGAAAATATACAAATTAAGAAATGTCAACTCTACAACATATAGCGGTAAATTTAAATGTAATTTTATAAACACAAATCTCAAAAATCGAATTTTATAATAATTAAAAAATCGAAAAAGAAGTCGAATCTCCAACTCCAACTCTCAAAACCTCGAAAATTCAAATCCCCGAATACTCAAAACCTGGAAAGCTGAAATCCTCGAATGCTCAAAACCTCGAAAGCTGAAATCCCCGAATGCTCAAAACCTCGAAAGCTGAAATCCCGAATGCTCAAAACCTCGAAAGCTGAAATCCCCGAATGCTCAAAACTGTTACGAGCGGTACTATGGGTACTGTGCAAATTCACTCGTATTTGATTCGCGGATTCATTCTTAGTAATATCCCTGAAAAGGGACCGGGAAATTTCAAATAAATACAGAAGTAATTCCGTTAAAACGGAGGGAAAAACTCTTACGAATAGGAGGAACCAATTAATGATTAATATTTATATTAATCAATTATTAGTTCTACTTGCTTCGTGAGGAAACCCTTTTAGTTTATTATAAAAGTCAACTTTACAAAATGCAACCTTTCGGTTCGAGATTAGTCTTAATACTAAAGAGCAACGAGAGGAGATCTGCGACTCCGCTCTAAGTACATAATAATGTTCACTGCGCAAGTCCTGAGTGACGTACGTTCATCACCAATTCACTGTACATTTCTATACACTTCTCTTCTCATCAACTGTACATTTTACACTCATACAGTCATACTCATTGTTTCTAAAAGTCATACATTTATCAGACATTACAAATCAAATATATTACATACTGTCTTATTCTATTTCATTAATTAATAACAATTATTGTATTTTATACGCTAATAAGTTTTATAGTTTATTTACACTTAATAGTTTAAACATTAATTAATATTTATGAATATGATTACACATATTATTAACAAATTATTAACATTAGTTATGAATAAAGGAATGAAACGCATTTTGCCGAATTAATGCGTATTTCAAAACTTCTTTGTCAAAGGAAAAGATATTCGATACTTATTTAGATTTTGTTTATATGAAGTATTCCTAAGTGGAAATACCAAGAAGACTTTAGGGAAATATAATAGCTTATTTTACGAGTTAATTCTCGGAGCAGATAAAGAGGTTTTTGTGTATATATTTTCCAATATTTATTCTATTTAATAAATTGAAAGACGATTCGTTTTATAATTCGAAATCTAAAAAGCTGTGCCATCTCTCACGATTTAGAATTAACATTTTACTTAAAATTATTAATTTATATTTAAATTAATTAAAAGAAATCTCATCGATATATCGAGATTCGATTTATCGATTATCAGTAGAGCGAGATAAACGTCGCTCGTTACACCTTCCCCCTTTAAAGAATTTTCGTTAGAAAATTATTCAATTTAAAGCTAGTGGAATAAAATACTAATAATAATCTAAAAAAGATATTTACAGTTTACCAAATACTTAAGAATAATTATTTTTAAATTTGATTTTTGAAGTTTTTCAAATATATACACGTTAGTCATTGTGTGTAATAGACTTAACAATTTGCATATTCAGGACTGTGGATTGCATTTAAGCAAACAGCTGTTTTTCCACAGGTGAATCAAATTTATAGGTTAGGTCAGTACTGTAATATGTTTTTGTTTGGATGTAAAAATTGTCAATTATTTTATGGAAATTCAAAGGAATAATGTTGCATTTTTTTACAAATTAAAATTGAGCAAGGGGAGTTGCTCATGTCTCTCTCCCCCCTTTTACCAAAAAAAAAAAATTTCGAATTTTTCTACTCGATTTGTCTCCAAGAAATTTGATTTAAACCATTTTCAATTCTTGAAATGCTAACGGAATCAATTTTTAATTGATCCATTAAAAATTTTTAAGACATTCAAAACTGAAATCACATCTGTAAAAGTAGGTTTTGAATCAAAAGTCGGTTTAACTATCATGTTGAAAACACAAAATTCTTCATATTGAAAAACAATAACATTACCAACTCTAAACTTTCAGAATCTTCGTTAAGTAAGTCGTTTAATTTCATTATGTTTTCGGTTAGTAATTGCTTACTTATTTCTGTCGTGAATTTTCTGTTAGCTGGTATAAAAATTGCAAGATTATTGTCTCTCATATATAAACTGTCTCGTGAAATTTTAATGCAAGAAAATTGTTCGTCACGTAAAGTATTGTCTTTTGTCTTGTTTTGATTGTTTTTGCTAGTTGAATTAACATCTAATGGAAAGCAATTTAAATTTGTGTTTTCAGGACTTACACGATTAATAGAAAGAAAATTATTTCCCCTTCTAGTAATCGTTGTAATAATTATGTTTAACGTTATTACTCGACTTTGTTTCAGAATTAATCATCAATTCAAGATCACTTAAAGTTTCATCATCAGAAACATCAAAATTAACTTTTTCAATACTTTTTTCAAGTGCAGCCTCCCCGTTTACAGGATAGAGTGAAGGACAATTTTCCCTACACTCAGTTCCAATATGATTATTTTGTAATAACAACACATTTTGAAGGACCCATATCGCCTCATCGCGATATGAGATTTTTCAGAATGGTAGTCAACCATGCTACCACACTTATCTGACGAGTGACGGATGTCACTACGTACAGACCAATTAACGTTAACGTCAGGATGATTTTTTTTGTTTTTGACTGCAGTCTCACCTTCTGTGTTGCGGAGTCTGTCACAAGAATTAAGTTTACCATTTTTATTGCTTTTTGATTCATTATAATCGCTATCCCATTGAATGCCGAGAAAAGCAGCTTCGATTCGAGAAACAGTTTCGTCGTCGTTTAAGGAATCATTGGGAAACACAGGTGTCATATGCACCTTATGTAATGGGTTTGGATTATTTCAAGTGGATCCACTTTGTCATTAAAGGAAATGTCATTTCTGCTCTCGAGCTGCTTACCTCCACTCATGTCAATAGGATTTCGCGACAAAGCATTTGCGTTAGTGTTAGTAACGCCCTTTTTATAAACAATTTTATAATTATATTCACTTAATCGATGACGCCATCGAATCAATCTTGAATTGTGATTTTTCATATTATGAAGCCACACTAGCGGCTAATGATCAGTTTGAAGTATGAATTTTCTGCCAAAGAAATATGGTCTAAATATTTCTACACAAAAATAATAGCAAGAGTCTTAGAAAGAGGTAGGTTACCTCTTTTCTCAAGAAAATACATTTTTCCGGTTGTAAGGTGAGTTTAGCAATTTCGAGACGTTCGAGAAGCAAAATTAATTTACGTGTATGTTCTTCTAGGGAGTTCGCGTAGATGACGATATCATCCATATAGACAAATAGTTCTATATTTTGGAATCCGGATAATACTCTGTCAATAAGTTTTTGGAAAGTGGACATACAGATCGATTCTTTTCTAATTCATCAACACGTCTTTGAATGCAAAATTGTTGAGTGTGTCCAATTTTATTACAATAGTTACATTTATCTCTATTCCGTTTTCCATTACCTTTATTAGAATGGTTATTATGTTTGTCTTTATTATTTTTTTCTTTATTGTCAGTTTGTCTGTTGTCTTTGTTATTGTTGTCTTTCTGTCTGTCATTATTCTCGTCATTTTTGTTGCTATCGTCTGACTCAGAGCTAGCACGATGCCAACAGTTCCTTGAAATGTGTCCTTTTTTTCCACAAACATAACACGTTAAATTTTTACCTTTTTTATCAATGTTATTAACTTGTTTTACTTTTTTAGCTTCAGGTTCATCTTTCTTGGAACCGTTCGCACACTGCTGCTGAGAATCAGCTGAGCGTTTACCAAATTTATTTAAATGGTGTTCAGCCTGTAAAGCAAATTCAGCTGCTTGTTGAAGGCTAGTTGGATAACGCAAATTAACACGAATTTCGATTTGTGGGAGAAGTCCTCCACAAAAAGACTTTGTCACATATTGGTCATGCTCCAATATTTTTACATTGTTATTTAGAGTAGGGTAATCTTTGCGAGCTAATTCTGTTAATTTAAAAAGGAGTTTTCGGGCCTTGGCCACGTAAGAAATCATAGATTCGTCATCGCTTTGCCGTAAATTGGCAACATCAACAAAAATGGTAGAATAATCATCGGCAATTGAAAAACCTTTTTCTAATTCTGAAAGGAACTGCTTTAAACTTATGGCTGAAGAGTGTGCCATAAATTCTTGAGCTTTTCCTTTGAGTTTTCGTTTTATGTATTTTAAAAGAATTGGTTGATTTTCGGGTCTTGTGTTGTCGAATGCTTGTTGGCATTCTGAAATAAATGTTTGAAGGGCACTGGATTCCCCATCGAATTCTGGAATCAATTCTACAGTTTGTTTCAGGGAAACTTGTGGTAACTTGTAGGATGTTGAAGGATTGTTAGAACTTTGTTCTTCGTTTACTGATTGATTTGATTTTGACTTATAAGATTCTGAAACTCTTGATACCATTTTAGCTAAAGAAAGCAAATCATTATTCGTGAGAGTTGACACAATACCTTGAGATTCTGTATTTTGATTTGGATAATTATTTGCATTTGGAGCGCTATTTTCGTATTTTTCAATGTCATCAAATTCTAAATTTTCATCTAAATATTCTACACTCATGTTTGAATCGTCACTCTCGCACTCATTATGATTAACATGCTCCATTTTGTATACTATATATATGAGTATCGTAACTTAAAAATATAAATATTTAATATAATGTTAGCGTTTTTGAAATATTTAAATTTTACTGTATGTACAAAAGTACATGAAAGTTTTCTCTAAAAATATTTATATTTATTTTATATATATATTAAAAGTTCTTATTTGTAGTCAAACCTTTTAGTTGATCAGTTCAAAATGTTTAAAGTTTCTTAAAAATTATTCACTTCACTATGAAATGCGAAAATGACTTTGTTTTCCTTTAAAAGGATTCACTCCCGCACTTAAACTTTCACAAATGGAGTAGTTGGCAAGCAGCAATGAAGATCAGGAACATGAATCATCAGTCTGTAGTATCGGTTTGTAATCAGGAACTATTTGTAGTTACAGGTGAATATATTTGCAGAAATACGAAAAAGCCACCAGGATGTTTTAACAAAAGAAATAAGGATCTCAATAATGTTTTCAATGTCTTTATAGCAATTAAAATAAATATGAAAGTTTTAAATTTAAATGTCTCTATTTATTTATTTTAAAATGTTTTATCACTTGATAAAAGATAAATGTTATAAAATATCACTTTTAAAGTTAATATATATTTTTTATTTGGGTTTCTCACTGTTTTAATTGTAATCAAGTTCAATGTTCACTTTAGAAGAAGAGATTTTCACTGTTTCTTTTCACTATTGTCCAAAAATGTCATTTTTGAAAAATTTTAAAAGTTCAAAATTCCCGTACTAAGGACCGGACGAGCCCCCAATTTGTTACGAGCGGTACTATGGGTACTGTGCAAATTCACTCGTATTTGATTCGCGGATTCATTCTTAGTAATATCCCTGAAAAGGGACCGGGAAATTTCAAATAAATACAGAAGTAATTCCGTTAAAACGGAGGGAAAAACTCTTACGAATAGGAGGAACCAATTAATGATTAATATTTATATTAATCAATTATTAGTTCTACTTGCTTCGTGAGGAAACCCTTTTAGTTTATTATAAAAGTCAACTTTACAAAATGCAACCTTTCGGTTCGAGATTAGTCTTAATACTAAAGAGCAACGAGAGGAGATCTGCGACTCCGCTCTAAGTACATAATAATGTTCACTGCGCAAGTCCTGAGTGACGTACGTTCATCACCAATTCACTGTACATTTCTATACACTTCTCTTCTCATCAACTGTACATTTTACACTCATACAGTCATACTCATTGTTTCTAAAAGTCATACATTTATCAGACATTACAAATCAAATATATTACATACTGTCTTATTCTATTTCATTAATTAATAACAATTATTGTATTTTATACGCTAATAAGTTTTATAGTTTATTTACACTTAATAGTTTAAACATTAATTAATATTTATGAATATGATTACACATATTATTAACAAATTATTAACATTAGTTATGAATAAAGGAATGAAACGCATTTTGCCGAATTAATGCGTATTTCAAAACTTCTTTGTCAAAGGAAAAGATATTCGATACTTATTTAGATTTTGTTTATATGAAGTATTCCTAAGTGGAAATACCAAGAAGACTTTAGGGAAATATAATAGCTTATTTTACGAGTTAATTCTCGGAGCAGATAAAGAGGTTTTTGTGTATATATTTTCCAATATTTATTCTATTTAATAAATTGAAAGACGATTCGTTTTATAATTCGAAATCTAAAAAGCTGTGCCATCTCTCACGATTTAGAATTAACATTTTACTTAAAATTATTAATTTATATTTAAATTAATTAAAAGAAATCTCATCGATATATCGAGATTCGATTTATCGATTATCAGTAGAGCGAGATAAACGTCGCTCGTTACAAAACCTCGAAAGCTGAAATCCCCGAATGCTCAAAACCTTGAAAGCTGAAATCCTCGAATGCTCAAAACCTCGAAAACTCAAATCCCCCGAACGCTCAGAACCTCGAAAATTCAACTGTTCGATAGTTCGATTATAGTTTTAGCGCGAAATTTAAATTCAATGTAAAGAAAATAATGAATTTGTAAATCCTTAATGAATTTTTAAATAAAATTTATTACTATAGTAATATTTTGAACCAATATATCATAATTAAATCTTTATTTTATAATTATTTCATTATTTAAATGAAAAATTAGCAAAATTTGTAGATTTATCGAATTTCGATATATCGAAACCTGAGCCTACATTCAGGTATAGCAAAAGCATGAGCAAAAGGTACTTGTTTGTTGTTTTTATGCTTTTTTAAATAGAATATTTATTCATTATAAAAGGGAATAAACAATAATTATTTAAAAAAACAAAATGTCACTAACTAAATTATTTTCTAAACTAAGTCTATCATGTAAGTATGAAGAACAAATCATCTATTAACTTGTTTTTCCTTCTGAATGAGGTTATGTTCTTTCTATAAAAGAAATTCTAAATTGTTTTTAATAAATTTTGTATTTTTTATTTACAGTGACAATAAATAAATCACTTCCTCGTTTAATACAAACAGCAGGACTTCGTGTTTACGAAAAACAACCAGTCTATGGTAAATTAGAGAGAAAATTATGTTTTTTAATCTGTCTATTACATTTCTTTTTTTATATAAAAAAAAGAGACTTAATTAATTAAATAAATTCGGACAATAATAGAATTATTTTATTCTATAGATGAATTTGAATATCCGGAAAGAAGAAGACTTAAAATTTATGAGAGAGTACCACAATATCCAGCCTCGTTAAAACCATTTAAAATGCAGAAAAGATTACGTTTAATGCGTGGCCCAGAGCCAATTCATAATTTTTTACTACATAAACAGTATGGAGTAATTGTATGTATTTTTTTAATTCTATTAAATAGTTGAAAAGTTTTCAATTCTAATGAAGAAGTTTTTTTTCCATTCTAGGCGGAAATGGGTGGTCGATTGAGATTCGGTCATTTTGAAATGATACGTTTTGTTGTACATCGAAAAATTCCCAGTAGCTGTTTTGCACTTTATCGAATAGATCCACCGTGGCAGCCACTTACCAAAAAGGTTAAAACATAATTATTCAAAAAAACTATTTCAACAGCAAGTTTTGATTAACTATTATTTATTACTAATATTTTTGAAAGAAATTGAAGATTTTATTTGCTAAAGAAAAATATTCTTTTCTCTAAATTTAGAATCCAGGAACAAGAATGGGAGGTGGAAAAGGTGCAATCCATCATTATGTTACACCAGTAAAGGCAGGACGTGTCATTATGGAGATTGCAGGACCGGTTGAATTTGAGGAAGTATGCAAATAATTTATATTAGGAACTTTTTCATAATAAAAAATGAAATCAAGAAAACTTAAATGAATAAAAAACCTATTCAAAAAATAATTTTTTTTTAGGTGAAGGCGCAACTTGATGAAATAGCACACAAATTACCATTTAAAGCTAGAGCTGTAAGTCAGGAATTAATGGAAAAATGGGCAAAGGTGGAAAAAGAAAAAGAAGAAAAGAATTTGAATCCCTATACATTTAAGTATGTTGTTCAAAATAATTTCGTTGGTTGTAATAATTGGATATCACCTGTTGATAGAAAATGGTTTGGAAAGCATCGGTAAATAATCCATTCTTGTAAATATATTTCAAAGTTGAATACAAATTTTACGTTATAAAAATTATTTCTTAATTCAAATTTCCAGAATTTTATTTTCATTTTAATGAGTGTCTTTTTTGTTTGCTTCATAAACTATTAAATTACTACGACTTCTAATACAAAACCTTCAATTTTTTCTATTTCTGACAATTTTTTTTTAAATAACTAAATTCTTGAAGAACTATCATAAAATTGTTACTTATAAATTATTTCATGAATAATTTCACTTAAATATTTCAAAATTTAATTTTAAAAGAGCTGCATTTACAATTTTCATACATAGATGAACTTCAAAAAGGTTTTAATTTGAAATTTTATAAAATTTCAATTTTGAATGAATTTTAATTAGAAATTTAAAAGAACATAGATTTTTGGAAAATTTCAATAATTCAAATTCTTTTGAAACTTGCTAAATTTTTTAATATATATTTAATTAATTATTAAAAATAATGGATTCTTAGAAGAATTTTAGTTAAAAGCAATAAAAGAATTGAATTTTGGATAAGTTACAAAATGATTACAAAAATTCAATTATTTTCAGAAGTAATAAAATTCTTCGTAATTCAATTATTTTCAAAAACTTTCCTCAATTCAATGATTCTTAATATCTACTATTTTAATAAAATTTTCCAAAAGAATTCAATTATTTAATTAAAATGTTGTTAAAATTCTACGCAAACATTTAATTATTTTCATAAATAATCAAAATTTAACAGGAATTCAATTATTTACCAATTTTTTTAATAAATTTCTTCGCAATAATTCAATTATTTTCCTAAACATAAAAACATTTTTAAAGAGATTCGATTATTTTTATAGATAATAAAATTCTTTTCAAGAATTTAATTATTTTGATAAATAATAAAACTCCTCGCAGAATTTCAATTATTTTCATCGAAAGAATTCAATTACTTAAAAATTTGTTGATATCATTCTTTATGAGAATTTAATTTTAAGAAACATTCAATTATTTATTTTGTATTTAAATAATTGAATTCTTACAGAACTTTCTAATAAAAATTCATTTAAAAATAATTAATTTCAGTTAAAATTTTAGATAATAATAATTTAATATTAAAAACATTGTATCGAATTGTATATCATTCAGTCATTTTTAATTTTTATTAGAAAACATGAAGATATCGATCACTGTGAGTCGAAAAAAAAATAATTCTTATAAAATATTCTTATAAGTATTTGAATTTGAATGTTTTGAAAAATTTTAATTCCTACGGAAAAATAATATTCAGGGGTCAGGGAAAAAGTCAAAATTTTTGTCTGGAAATCAGAGAAAAACAAAATTAAATTTTTAATGCATCCTTGAAGAAAAAAATTGTGGAATAAATAATTTTTTGAAAAATCGGAGAAAAATGAAATGAAATAAATGACAATTATTTTTTTTATAGTACAATTACAATATTTTATATATCTTTGACGACGGTTTGGTGGTAACAACAGGTGAATACTACATATTGTACATTGAGTAGGCAATAGTCGTATCTTAATATATATTCATTAGCATATCATTTTTTGAGGACGATGACGACAAGTTTCGATGATAATGAGGGATGACCAATGAATAATGATTTTCAATGAATTAATGATGCATTTTTTAATGACAATGAAAATGATAATTAATTAGCAGCGTTCGCATTATATAATATTATTAACAATAAATTCCTTATGATTATTGTCGTCATCGTCGTCTTGAAAGTAGCGCTTGATAACATACTGATAATTGCTGCTTTTTTTTGGATTCGTTTTTTTTTTTATTCTTATAATTAAGTATAGTGACGCTGTGTCAAAGGAATGATTAATTCGTCTTCGATTCCTCACCAGAATCTCTTTTTTTTTTAAATTCAAGAAAGAGCTTTTTCTAGTTTAGTAAAATTATTTATTCGATTTCCATTTTTAGGCAGTCACCCATTTCCAAAATAAAAACAAAACAAATTTTCTAATGTAAAAAAATCTTATTAAAAAAAAAGTTTTTTTTAATTAAAAAAAGAATCTACGAAAACAAAAAAGAATTGTTCCCAAAATTTTATTAAAACTAATTTTTTTTGAGTCGTTATTTCGAACACGATCTTTGGGTGTTAAAATTGACTTGATATTTTTATAATTCTAACTGAAAATTTTTTTTTGATATATTCTGTGGCAGTAGAATTCGATAGAATCTATAGAAACCTAATTCTCTTTTTTTTTGTGCGAATTTGAATTCTTTATTGACGAATCAATCGTCATCTCTCTTTTTTATAAAATGAATATCGGATCAATTCCTAAATAATATATTTATGCATTTTGTACTTGAACGAATATTTTTGACACTTATAATCAAATCGTGTGTCGAAAAAGAAAAAACGTCGCAATTCGAAATCTTGAGACGATATGTTTTTCATTTTTTTTTTTTGTCATTTTTATATAGATTTTTTTTAATAGAAAGCTATAGGGTGATAAACAATCGACGACCCGTTACACCCTGGGAAATTTATTTTTTGATAAATAAAAATTCAAACGACACGTTCCTTTGATAAAGATGGAAAGGTCATTTGCGATTTAAAATATTTTTCGGAGAATTAATAAATTACAATTCTAAAAGAACCGACATTCCTTCTTTCTTTTCATTGACAATGAATTTTTTTTGCGGCAAGAATTAAGCAAAGAAGCGAAAGAGAAATCCCGAAAAGAGAACAATAAATCGGGAGGGAGAAATATTTTTTTCTATTTTCTATCTCATTTTTTGTGGAATTAAGAAAAATTATTAGGTATGTAATAATTTTTTTTGAGATTACGACACTGAGAGAAAGTGGAAAAATTGATTTGAGTGGCGATCAGTCGTCAACTGTAGAAGTACAGGGAGTATTCCTTTTTTTCTTAGTTAATTTTATATATATATTTATATAATATATTGTATATAAATTTTTTTTTCGTCTTAAGTCGCGTACGCTACACAACATTGCGATCTACGTTTTTTTTTTAATGCAGGACACGCGATAGCGAAACGGCAACCTGCACTGGACTAGATTCTCGAAGGGGAATTCGGCGCTCTATTTTTTTTGTAGTAAGTTTGTTCCTTTTTTTTCTTTATTTTCTTTTTTTTTCTTTAATCGTCTCGCAGTCGCCGCGTTCTTATCGAAACGTCGCTTTCGCATGTACACACTACTGAGTGCCACACACAAAACTTACGGCGTGCTAAACACACACATTTACATTATTTAGATAGATACTTTTTTCGACACGCATTTTTTTTCTCTCTCTCTCGTTCTATTCAATTTTTTTTGTTTGTTCACAAATTAAACCCTTTTTTCCCCTCAATATTATTTTTTATTCGTTTTTAATTCCTAACGGCTTTCGTCGTGTCACTTAAAATTTATATTATGTCGGCGCTTTTGCGTTTCATTCGATGGATGCGAAATTTATTTTTTTCAAAAATTACCAGAAATATTAATAATTAATTAATTATCAAGGTTTTCTTTTTAAAAACCGATTATCAATTTTGCAAAAGTAGTGTTCGAAATTTCGCAGCAATCAAATTCCACGCGGAATATTTCTTTTTAATCTTAGGCAATATTTCTCGGAAGCAAACATCGATTTTCAAAGCTGAAAAAAGAGAATTTGGAAAAAAATTTCTCCGCTTTTTTAAAAGTAGTTTTTTAGTAACAAAAAATTCTCTCAATTTTCAGACTTGTAAATCAACTTTTCATGGCATGTATAGAAAATTTTTCTGGAATCGATCGCAAGCTATTTTTTCAGTACTAGTATTAAAATCCTTTTTTTAAATTAAATAATTCAGACTTGAATCGATAATTCACATTCGATATAATTAAATTCAGAAAAAAAAAATAATTGGAGCAATCGATTCCGAATAAAATGAAAATGGCAGACGTTCTTAAACTTGTCGCGAGAAAATATAATTTTCTTAAATACATCATTTATTCTCGAATATTTTTTTGAGTCTCTTTTTCTGTTTTTAATTCGAAGTGTTTTTTTTTCAGCGACAAGTTTATACAAATTTAGAGATCCTTCAAATTAGATCAATTTTTGTCCTCTTGAATAATAATTTATTATTATTCTTGGCGCTGACGCGTAATATATATTTAATATAATATGTATGTTTATATGTACACAGTCTTATAAAGCAAAATTTACAAACATCACAACGCACGGTAAGATCGAACGAGTATTTTTCATTTTCTCGAACGTAACTTGGGACGTAGGCAGACTTTTTCTGATTTGTAGAAGAGCAGATTTTCAAGTTTAAAAAGCTCTCTCTCTCTTTTTTTCCGCATGAGAAATGAATTTTTCATGAGAAAATGTCGAAATTTGTTAAATATTAATTCTAGAAACTAAAAATCTAATTAACGTAATACTGAGATGAACTGCGAAGATTCGAGGTTAATGAATTTAGCTCATTTATGAAAAAAAGGAATCGAAATATTTTTGCGAATACGAAAGAATAATTTGATTGAGAAATGAAATTTCAGCTAAATTTAGTATTTCTAAAATAAATTTTTTAAAAGTTTCTTTTTTTTTTGTTTATAAATGAGCTTTTAGCGAAGGATTCGTGATGTCGATGAATTAATTTGATAACACCAAAAGAGTGATATACTTCATTTTGAAGAATTTTGTATATACAATCGACAGACTTCGATAACAATAAATTTATATTAAAAATTGACAAGTTTTCTTGCTGATAACTATAATCAGTTCAACAGAGATGAGCAATTAGAAAGTACAATAAAGAAATTGTTTTCTTTATATTTACTTCTATTATTTGCTAATTGAAAAATAGAGAAAAGTTAAGATCATAATTTTATGCTCAGGAAAAAGAATTATGTTTACGAAGAATAGAATAAATACAAAAAAAGAAAATACAAAAATACAAAAATAAATATTAAAATTATATTAGATATTAAAATCTATAAATAAAATAAAAATTTAAATATAAAAAAATATTTTTGAAAAATATAAATAATAAAATATAATTGAATAAGCGTGAATAAAGATTAATTTATGCAATTATCACAGGAATCGTATAGTAGAAACAAAATTTCAAACCTTTTAATCTCTAATAAACTTTTCAATATAATTTTTACTTTTATTCAATATTATTTTTAATTTCATTTGATTCATTAAAATTAATTAAATTATTAAATTAATTTAATAAAGAATAATTTCAAAAAAAATTAGTTAAAATTAAATTCATTTCAAATATTCCGATCGTATAATTTTACAAAACTTCTTTTTTCCCGGGCATAAAAAAGAGCTTCTGTTAAAAATGTGTCTCTCGATATTTAATTACCATAATTACAAATAGCGATTTATTCTTGAAAATTGAGATCAATTCTTAAAATTTCTATTTTTACTATAAATGAATTATTATTTTCAAGTTTGACATAATTAATCGGTCTATCTTGCAAAGATGGAATTAAGAAACACATTAACTTTTTTTCAATTGAATCATAAAAATTTAATTTTTTATTCTCCTTCTACTTTTCACTTAATTTTTCCGATTTTACTGTCTGTGACCTCACGTCCTTCACGTTTAGGAACCTTTTTTTTGTCATTTAAAATGATAAATCAAATTTGGATTTTCTTTTAAAATCCTTAAAAAATCACGATTTTTTTAAAAATCATTGCTACGTCTGTTGATCTTTTTTTTCTCTCTTTTATCCCATCAGTCAAATAGAGCCAGTTTTTTTTTAAAGATCGATTATTTAAGAGTGTAATTTGATGTGCTGCTAGGAAGCTGACTAGAAACATAATCTACAATAAGTTTCGAATTTCCCTGCTCAATTCGCTCTACGCAACCAAAAAAAAAGGAAAAAATATATATAAAAAGATGAAATTCTAATTTTTATTTGCGTGCAGCAAAGCGTCAGGGAAATCGTTTATTCGCGTCTATTGCTTTTTTTCTTTTAAAAAAGTGATGCTTTCCGATTAGCCGCGACTCGTTCCAAGTTTCGGTCTTGATGAAAAAATCAGTTTTTCTTAAATGCTTTAAACAAAATGCTTTAGATCAAAGCTGAAAAAATTTATTTCTGAGAAATCGTATCAATGATTGAGAAAACTAGAAAATAGTTTCTTTTTGTTGGTAGAGTTTAAAGAGTAAAAGGAAAGACTATTATTGTCATTAAAAAGGTTTTTTTTGTACTGTTTGAACTCTTCCTTCGGTTCTCGATTTGAATCGACGTCTCTGAGATTTAATTTTTACAGCTTTCACAGTTTTTCTCTAATTTGGAAAAAAATTGCAAAAATTGCTTTTTGAATCGAAATTTTTTTTTATAAAACTCAAACTTTTGTAATTATCGAAGTATTCTGAATTGTAACATATTTTTCAATATTTAAAATTAAAATTTAAAAATTAATATTAAAATTAAATTCAATATTTAAAATTAAAACTTAAAATTAATATTAAAATTAAATTCAATATTTAAAATTTAGAGTTAAATTTAAAATTAATATTAAAATTCTCTTTTAAATAATTAAAATTTTAGCGTGAAAAAATGACTGAATTTTATTAAAAGAAAAACTTTGCACAAAGCTAAGGGACCGATTCTCGTGTGATAATAAAGAAAAGCCGGTTTCAGCGGCTTTTTGACGAGTCGCGGAAATTCGGAAAAATCAACACGTCTACAAACTCTGATCACCTGAGCGATCAAAGGCCCTTTTTCAGGCATTCGATTCCTTCAGGTTATCGAAGTACTGCATAATCTGATTATAATCCATGCCAAGATTGAGATCATCCATGGGAACAGCTTCCTCTTGTTCATGATTCGATGAACATGAAGACGAGGATGATGACGATGAGAACATTGGATTACCAATGACAGTCGCTCTCTTTACCTCCCTTGATTTTGCGCACTTAATTCGCTTTTCGTCATTATTTCTAAGCTCAACAAACGCAAGTTCATTATCTTTAGTGTTTGACGTGGAATTTTTTGAACGATAATTTTTCACGTGCTTCTCATGATGTCTATCGTGATGTTTCTCGTGCTTTTGATTATGTTTATCATGATGCTTATCATGTTTATCGTGTTTATCATGATGCTTATCGTGTTTATCATGTTTATCATGATGTTTATCGTGATGTCGATAATTACCATTGTGACTTGCACTTGCCGTTCGATGATGACGTTTCCGCGGTGTCTCCGGAAGTCGAGCTAGAACTCCCGTATTTCGATGAGGAGGAACCGGAGGTTTATAATCGTCATTTCCATTTGCGTCGTCCGTCGTTGATGTCATTGCTGAGGGCGGTAAAATTCCGTGCGGTGGTAACGGCGGCGGCACATCGTCATTACTACAAAACAAAAAGAAATTTATCATTTTTTCTATTTTGTTTTTCGAATTTCATGAAATTGATTAAATTATTAAATTCTTCTTTAAATAAATTATTTTTATTAATTTTTTAAAAAAAGTTCTTTGAGAATTTTCAAATCCATTTGTTTAGACTTTAGAATAACTCAATTTATACGAAATTTCGATTATTCTGAAATTCATCAATGAAATATATTTTAGGAAAAATTCATATTTGCAAAGATTTTAAGATTATAAGAATTTTTAATGAAAACCCTTTGAAGATGTGAAAATTGTAAACCTAATTCTTTTAAAATTCAATTAATTTTGAAATATTGAAGTAAAATTATTCATTAAATAATTTATAGGTAATACTTTTATGATAGCTCTTCAAGAATTAAGTTATTTAAAAAGAAATTAATGTCAGAAACAGAAAAAAATGAAGGTTTTGTATCACAATTCGTGGTAATTTCACAGTTTATGAGGCAAACAAAAAATGCACCAAAATTCAGTATTTTCTTATGAATTCTGAAAATTAATTTTTTCCATCACTTTCAATAAAAATCCCTGACTTTTCTCTGAATTCCCTGACCTGTGGGAACGCTGTTCTAGAAAATACAAAAATTTAACGAATAAAGAAAGCGAATTAAAAACAAAATTCTAAAGAAATAATTCATAAAATAAAAATTTTAATTTTTATACAAAAATTTATCATGAAATTAAAAAAAATATATTCACGAGAAACAGAAAACGTTTTACAGAAAAAAAAGAATCGAATAGAAACATTTCACGAGGGAGAATTGTTGATAAAGAAAAGCGTTTTACAAGGAAAGGATTATCTCTTTCTCTCTTTCAATACAAGAAGTGAGAGAGCGCAATTTTCTCGTGAAGGAAAATATAAAAAGCGTTGTTATTCTTTGAAAAATGCACAACAAGAGAAGAAGAGCTGTGCGAAATATTATTTATTCAAGGGAAATCTCTTACTTATTTTGTGCGAGAGCATTTGCTGTTGGTGCAGTTGGAACAATGACGGGCTTCGTTGAGTTCTGTCCGTCCATGGACTTTTTGATGAAGCTATATGGCATTTTATCCCTCTTGCAGTAAGTTGTAGTGTCGATGGGTGCCGAGGGAGTTGCTCGTACCACCGAAGGTAACTCGATGTGATTAGGATTATCAAAACTTGTACCCAGCTCAGCAGCATCCGTAAGCGGATTATTCTCTCCGGCGAGCGGATTGCTGGTTACACGAACCTTAACAAGATAATCAATTAATTTTCGACAAATTTCTAGAAAATTTTCAATATATATGCACAATAAAGCAATTTCCCTTATATCGGAAACATTCCACGTTTTAGTACTACACTAATTCTAATCAAAACAAAATTTACATAATGAGATTCATTAAAAAAATAATTTTATATTATTAAAATAACAAAATTAGATCTAATTTAAACTAATTTATTTTTTAATTTAATAAAACTAGGTTTCTTTGACCAAAAACAGAATTATGAATTAAATTATTAAAATCTTGAACTCGAAAATTTCATGTAATTGAAAATGAAAAATGTTTACTTTCTTATCCTTTTTACAATATAAATTCAGGGTTGCCACAAAAATTTGAATTCAAATAATTACAAAAAAAAATTCAATTAAACTTTTTTAAAAAAATTAATTCTATACAATTGTTAGTTAAAAGAGGAAAAATTCATATTTGAATTTGAAAGCTTTTGAAAATTCAATTATTTATAAAAATTCATGATATAATGCTTTTAATATTCAATTATTTTCTAAAATTTTAACCTAATATGATTTTTAAATCAATTAATTCAATAATTGAATGTTTCTTAAAATTTAATTTTTACGACGAATTTTATTAACAACTTTTCAAAATAATTAATATCTTTTAAGGAATTTAATTAAAATTTTGCTGAAATTTATTAAAATAAAGAATTTTATAACATTTTTTGACAATAATTAAAAACATTTTGAAGAATTTTATTACAATTGTTATGAATTGTAAAATCTTTCGTAAGAATTTAATTATTTTCATAAATAAGAAATTTCTTCGCAAGAATTAAAATATTTTCATAAATAATAAAATAATTTGCAGGAATTGAATTATTTTATAAAATATTTAAAAATTCTTGGAAACAATTAAATTATTTTTATAAAACGTAAAATTCTTGTTTAAAAGAATTTAATTTTCTATGAATAATTTTAATATAATTTAATAGGAAAATCTTCAATTAGAATTAATAATAAACACGATTATTTTAAAAACTTAAAAAGAAATTCTTCTTAAAATTCAATAATTTCAAAATTTTCAGTAAAAATTATTAAAATAATCTTCATTAATTTTTAAGAATATTGAAATAAATTCTTAAAAACAATTCAATTATTTTAAAGAATTTTAATAAAAATCTTTACAAGAATTACATTATTTTCAAAACAAATTTAATTTCATTTAGTCGAAAGAATTCAATTACTGAAAAAAATGTTGATAACATTCTTAAAAGGAATTCAATTATTTTCAATTTCTTTGATAAAAGAATTCAATGATTTTCAGTACATTGACAATTAAATTATTTCTGAAAATAATTGAGTTCTTCAATAAAATTTTATAAAAACATTTTTAAATAAATGAATCTCTGGGAAAAAATTTATTATTTCTACAAATAATTGAATTTTTGCTAAATATGATAAAATAAGTGAATTTTTGAAAAGAATTTTATAAAAATATTGTATTTAAAATAATTGAATTCCAACAAAAATTTTATTATTTTTAAAAATAATTTAATTCTTGACAAGAATTTTTAAAAAATTTTGAAATTAATAGAATTTCTTCAAAGTATTTTATTACTTTTCAAAAGAATGGAATTCTTGTGATGAATTTTGATATTTATCAAAATAATTGAATTTTGGAAAAGAATTTTATAAAAATTCCTTAGAATAATTTATATTATGGGAAGAATTTTGTTGTTCGTCAAAATAATTGAATTCTTTTGCAGAATTACTTAAAGATTTTGAATAATAATTGATTTTCTGCGGCGAATTAAAAGTATTTAATTAAAATAATTGAATTATGGCAACGAATTTCATTATTTTATTGAATAATTGAATGTTTCTTAAAATTAAATTCTTTCGTCAAGTATTAATAAAATTTTTAAGAATAATTGCATTTTTCGAGGAATTTATTTAAAATATTTGATATTCTGCGATGAAAATAATTAAATTCCGAAATGAAATTTAATTATTTATGAAAATAATTGAATGTATTTGTAAAATTATATCAAAAACTTTTTTCAATAATTAAATTTTGTAAAAATAATTGAATTTCTTCAACGAATTTTATTATTTTTGAAAATAATTGAATTCTTGTGATAAATATTGTTATTTATGAAAATAAATGAATTTTTCAAAGAATTTTATTAAAATTCCTAAAAATAATTGAATTTCCGTGAAGAATTTTGTTTTATTTATCAAGATAATTGCGTTAAAACTTTTGAAATAATTAAATAATATTAAAAAATTCATTCTTGTCAGAAATAAAAAAAATTTTGAAGGTTTTGTATTAGAATTCATGGTCGTTTCATTGTTTATGAGACAAACAAAAAAGAGACCAAAAATTCAGAATTTCCTTATAAATTCTAAAAATTAAATTTTTTCCAGTACTTTTAATAAAAATCCCTGACTTTTCACTGAATTCCCTTATTTTCCTGAACGGTGGCAACCCTAATTCTATATTGTCACAGGTGAAAAATTTAAAAACCTGTTGAGGTCCAGTTCCGGCTCTTTCGAGAGTGGCACGTCCAAGCCAGACCCAATCGTGAGCGTTGGTTGTCGATTCTCGGGGTCGTCGATTTTGAGCGAGTTGACTGGCAGCGGCTCTCGCTGCTCCAAGGCCAGGAAGTCCAGGTAGCGGTGAGTCCGCCGACTGTGGTTTGAATTTACTCGTGTAGACGACACAGGACACGACAAAGACGACGATAGCGAAGCAGAAGGCCGCCAAAAGCACGTACAGTCCAATTTCCATGGGCGTCATTCGCGGTCCACCCTGATGTCGAATGCCAACGCCTCCCATTCCCCCTGAAGACATGCCATTATCTATAGCCATGCGGTGCTGTCTTGCCTGCATCGTTGGTGTGTGGTCGTTTTCGTCTTTTAGTGGTAAACCTTTGCACAAAAATTAGAGAAAGACAGAGAGAAAGGGGGGGAGGATGCGTGCAAAGCGTGTTTTCAAACTAGAAAGCGAGAAATTCAAGCGCTGCTTTTGCCAGATCTAGATCCTTCTTTCTTCGAATTAATTACTCAAATTGCAATTTACATTTAATAATGATAAATATTCAAAATACCAAAAAATATTTGGTTATAGTAATTAAATATATTTTTAATGTTTGGAGAAAGTTTACCAAAAATCCAAATCTGGAGGAAATAGAGAAGAAACGAGAAAAAAGAAAATGTAGAAGAAGAAGAAGAAGAAAAAGAAGAATCAAAAGGTAAAAAAATAAGTTTCTTTGGCGGTTTTTTAAAAGTCGAATCGACTGACGACACACGACACAAACAAGAGTTGAACGTTTTGTCAATAATTACCAATTAAAATATCATTAAGATCGGGTGCACCGTCTTTGCCATTTTTTCGCTCTCTGTGATGAGAATTGCCGCCAAGTGTGCCGCCATCGTTTTGCACGAATTCAGGTCGATTTGGTAGATCGCTGGTAGCGAAATCAACCTCGACATTGGCGGTTGATGTCGCCAGTGGCAGACTTGGCGTACCTCTCGTCGTTGGTGTTTTCAATTTTCTCCCCGACAATCGACACGAGTCGGCTAGATGAAGGGTCACTTTCAACAGATCACCGCGACCTTCGCCAACGGCAATCACTCGCGGATGATGCGACGCCACCATTGGCGCAAAGGCCACAACCTCTGGATCTAAACTCTCCACAACGAGATGATAATCCGACACTGCAATCTCCCTCAAGGGTGTTCGAGAGCCGTCCGAAAATTCCACGTCAATGTCCAACAAACCCTCCTTTAAAAATAGTAATTTTATTTTAACAATTTTAATTGTAATTCAATAATTGTAATTGTTATGATTTAGATTTAGTAAATTATTTTAGATTTCGATTCTACACACCTGATATTGAGCGGTGAGTTTCCTCGTGACCGACGTTTCAGCGATGTATCCATTTTCAATAGTCGAATCAGGATTTATCGTGAGTTGCAGGCCGGAAACGACTTTCACGGATAATTTCGAAACGGCGATTCGATCATTCCCAACGCGCACTTCTTTTGCCCCAATCACACGTCCGGTGATTGGCGACAGAACTTGAACTTCCGCACGACCAATACTTCGACCCTGGACTATTTTTCCCTGGCTTAGCGTAGCAATTCGTGGATCCGAGACTCTCAACATCGAGAGCACCAGGTCCGTAATTCGCAACCAAGTTCGACGATTCACGAAATAGGAAACTCTTCCCGAGTCGTGATCCGCCGCGAAGAATCTGTAATAAGAAAATAGATAAAATACATAAAATAAAGAAAAATAAAAAGAAATTGTAAAAAAATCTGTTCGCAGTTTGAAGTAAGGTGCCGTTTGCTTTCTTGTTTCCTAACTTTTTAAATAATTTTCCTTTTTAAATGTTTTCAATTTTAAAATTAATTTACTGAAAATCATTGAATTCTTGCAAAGTATTTATCAAAAAATTTGAAAATAATTGAATTCATTTCAAGACTTTTATCAACATTTTTTTCAATAATTTTATTGAATTCTTTCGAGAAAATGTAATTAAAATTGTATTGAAAATAAGTTAATTCTTGTAAAGATTTCTATTACAATTTTTTAAAATAATAATTGAATTGTTTTTGAGAATTTATTTCAATATTCTTAAAAATAGTGGAGCCTTTTTTAAAATAATTTTTACTGAAAATTTTGAAAGTAATTGAATTTTATGAAGAATTCAATTATTTTAAATAATAATTATAATAAAATTCTTTGCAAAAAGTTAATTAATAAAGAATAAAAATCTTTGTAAAAAATTTGATTATTTTTATATAAATAATAAAATTCTTGTAATAGGATTTCACTTGTTTTCAATACAATTTTAATTGATTTCTTCGAAAATTTCAATTATTTTAAAAAATCTTTTAAAAATTCTCCGAGAAAATTCAATTATTTAAAAAAAGTAATTAAATTTTTCACAAGAGTTCAATTATTTAAAAAAATTATAATAAAATTCAATTCAATTATTTTTAAAATAAAGAAATTTTTGTTGGAATTCAATTACTTTAACAACAATTTCAATTGAAATCCAAGGAAAATTAAATTATTTTTAAAAACAATTGAATTCTTCGAAAGAATTCAATAATATCAATAAATAGTAAATTTTTCCTAGGAATTCAATTATTATAAATACAATTTTAATAAAATTCTTCTAAAAAATTCACTTATTTTTTGAATTTTTGCAAAAATCAAATTATTTATAGAAATAATAAATTTTTTCGCAGAGATTCAATTATTTAGAAAAGTTTTAATAAAATTCTATTGAAGAATTCAATTATTTTCAGAAATAATTTAATTGTCGATGTATGTACTTGAAAATCATTAAATTCTTGTTAAGTATTTATAAAAAAAATTGAAAATAATTGAATTCATTTCAAGACGTTTATCAACATTTTTTTAAATAATTTAATTCTTTCGACAAAATGTAATTAAAATTATTTTGAAAATAATTTAATTTTTGGAAAAATTTTTATTAAAATTCTTTGAAATAATTGAATTTTAAGAAGAATTTTTTTCGAGTTTTTAAAATAATCGTGTTTATTATTAAGTGTTAATAACGATTTTCCTATTAAATTATATTAAAAGTATTCATAGAAAATTAAATTCTTTTAAACAATTTTATTGGAGTTTTTGTAAATAATTACATTTTTTTTCTTGAAGAATTTCATTAAATTTCGTAAAAATAATGTAATTTTGTAAAGAAATTTTAATTTGAAAATATTGAAAATAATTGAAATTTACAAATAATTTTATTAAAAGTTTTTGAGAAAAATGGTATATATTTTAATTCTTGCGAAGAATTTTCTTATTTATGAAAATAATAAAATTCTTGAGAAGGATTTTACAAATTCATAAAAATAATTAAATTGTTTAGAAGAATTTTATAATGATTGTTTCAAAAGAATTTCATGAAAATTGTTGAAAATAATTAAATTTATATTAAAATTCTGAAAAATAATTGAATTTAATTATTATATTTAAATATATTTAATATTATGTACTTAATAAGTTAATTCTTTAAATTTAAAATTTGTAATCATTCAAAGATTGATGTTTATTCTTGAAAATATAATATTTTTAATTTACAAAATAATAATAAATGGATCATTTGCTAGTTCAAAGATAAAATTTAATATTAAAAAAGTAAAAAAAAAATTGAACATACCTAGCGTGAATTTCAACAGGACTTTGTTGAAAGCGAAGACGACAATTCGCCGATGGATTTCTGTCAATGGCATTGATCTCGTCCCATTTGTGTCCGCGAAATCTTAAGGAACCATCGTCGTCCTCATCCTCATCATCTAAATCGTCGTCGTCGATTTCCTCATCCACCACATCGTCGTCGCTCTCTAAATCCGACGATTCAGTTGCCAAGTCCGAACTTCTTTTTCTCACTATCGAATCTCCATTACTTTTCGTTGAAGTTTCGTTAAGACTTCGCTTGTTTTTCGAGATTAAATGCTCCTCAGGGACTTTCCAACTTTTGATCTGATTAAGCCGAGGATCACTCACAGTCACCTCGAGCGGAAATTCGGGCATCCAAACAGTGAATCTTGCTAGTCCCGTGTAGGTGCCATATTTCACTAAAACTGACGCGTTACTCGAGCCGCGAATCTCCGAGCCGTCAACGTAAACGCTACTGCATGACGAGGACACCTGCAAAAGAATTTTAATCTTTGAGTTCTATTCTTGTTCTTTTAATCAATTTGCTGTAATTTCAATGATTTTTTAACGCTTTTTTCAAATAAAAAAAATTCAGAAAAGTATATTAAAAATTGAGGAAATCAAATTTTGAGGATAAAAATAAAGAAATAGAAATTTAAGTACTATTCAGTCGATAATTGGTCGATTATTAAATATTATCTATAATTAATTTAATAAATTACGAAATTTCCTGGTAATAATTAATAAAATAAATATAAATTCAAAAAAACTACCAAAGTTTAAAATTCCAGAGAAACAGTATACGTAATTTTAGAGAAATAAAATGAAACATTTGAAAAAATATAAAACAAGAGGGAAAATTGGAAACTAAAAGAATGATTGCTCTTACCTTAAGAACACTTTCGTCTTCGGAATGACAGGAGGATTGTAGTGTAACATCGGCAACTTTACCAGCTTGACTGACGATAAAAACTTTCATGGCCTGAGAGACTTGTCTGCCGGTGAGAACCGCTGTATTCATTACTTCCCAGTTCTAGAAAGACAAACATACCACAATTCAAAATGAGTACACTGGGTTATAATGAAAAATGAGAATTTGCCGCGCATAATAACACATTATTTCAGAAAGAAAAAAAAATTCTCCTCTAAATCCAAAGTATTTTGACACAGTTTTTAAGCTCATTGTCAGACCCATTAAAACATAATATTCGCTATACATATATACTCAACTCGTTTTCATTTTTAATCTACTCTGCTGTTAGATAATTTCAAAATCATAATGCTGAGAGTTATGATTTTTAAATTATCTGACGATTAAAAATTAAAACATTAGAATTGTTATTTTATAGATTTTTTTGTTAATGGAGACATTTATAATTAACTAGCAGATATTACGCACGGAACGTTATATTCTATTTATTATTATGGAAATTACAAAATTTTTTATAATCAAATATGAATTTTTGAATAATTTCAGATTCAAACTTTAAAAAAATTAATTATTAACTAATTTACTAATTAATTTAATCTTGTTTATTAATTTTAAAAATTTTAATAAAATTCTTCGCAAAAATTCAATTATTTTTTAAAATAGTCAAATTTTTTGCAAGAATTCAATTATATTTAAAAATCAAATATTTTGCACAAAATTCAATTATTTTTAAACAAAATTTTAATAACAATTCATGAACGAATACAATTATTTTCTACAATTTTAATAAATCCTTCGAAATAATTCAATTATTTTTTTAAACAGTAAAATCTTTGCAAAATTTCAATTATTTTCTAAAAAAATTCCACAAAAGAATTCAATTTTCTTCATAATTCGTTATAAAAAATTTCAATAGAATTCAATTATTTTCGAAAATTATAAAAAATTCTTCAAAAAAATTCAATTATATTCAAAACAATTTCACGAAAGAATTCAATATTTTTGTTAATTCGTTACAAACATTTTCAATAGAACTAATACAATTATTTTTGAAAATTTTAATAAATTCTTCGAAATAATTCAATTACCATTTTAAACAGTAAAATATTTGCAAAAATTGAATTATTTTTTAAAAAATTCCACGAAAGAATTCAATTTTTTTCTTATTTCGTTATAAAGGATTTCAATAGAATTCAATTATTTTCTAAAATTATAAGAAATTTTTCAAAAAAATTCAATTATATTTATAAATATTAAAATTCTTTGCAAGAATTCAATTATTTTTAATAAAATTTCATAAAAGAATTCAATTATTTTCTAAAATTATAATAAATCCTTCGAAACAATTCAATTACATTTATAAATAATAAAATTCTTTGCAAAAATTCAATTATTTTCTAAAAAAATCCACGAAAGAATTCAATTTTTTTCTTAATTCGTTATAAAGGATTTCAATAGAATTTAATTATTTTCTAAAATTATAATAAATTTTTAGAAAAAATTCAATTATTTTCTAAAATTTTAATAAATCCTTCGAAACAATTCAATTATATTTATAAATAAATAATAAAATTCTTTGCAAAAATTCAATTATTTAAAAAAAAAATTTACAAAAGAATTCAATTATTTTCTAAAATTTTTAAAAATTCAATAATTAAATGTTTAATTTCAATTATTAACAAACACGATTATTTGAAGAACTTAAAAAAAGTTGTTCATAAAATTCAATTATTATTACTCCAATATTTAAAAAAAATTCAAAGAAATTCTTCAAAAATAATTTAATTAGAATTTTCAAAGGTTTTTAATAAAATTCTTCGTGAGAAGTCAATTATTTTCTAAAATTTTAATAAAATTCAATAATTAAATGTTTAATTTCAATTATTAACAAACACGATTATTTTAAACACTTAAAAGAAGTGGTTTGAAAAACTTCAATTATTTAAAAATTTTTTTGTTAAAATTATTAAAGAAACTCCAATATTTAAAAAAAAATTTTAAGAAATTCTTCAAAAATAATTTAATTATAATTTGCAAAAATTTTAATAAAATTCTTCACGAGAATTCAATTTTTTCCTATATAATAAAATTCTAAATTATCAAATTCTTTGCAACAATTCGATGTTTTTCAATACATTCATTTTAAAATTGAAAATATTTAAAAAGAAAAAATATTTAAAAAGTTACGAAACAAAAAAGTAAACAACAACTTATGTCAAACTGCGAAGAAAATTAAAGTTTTTAATTTTTGAATATATTGAAAATATTTTGTTCATTTGAACGTTCCAAAATTGTGGATAATATTTTTGTCAAACATTATTTGACAAGTAATTTCAGCTATTTTAATTAAAATAAGGAAGACAATAAATTCAGCAGGAAACATCGAAGAATATTCAAATTTTCAAGCGATGGGAGAAAGCAAAGAAAAAAGAAAGAAAAGGAGATGATTCTTTTTTTCGGTTCTATTGGGAAAAAAACAAAGAGAAATGAATAAAAGATATATCTGAGTGTAAATTGATGTCGGAGAGAAATGGGATAGTTAAATTCACGAGAGCGAATGCCTGGTTATCGATCCAAAGAAGCCTTTGCACTATGGCTACCGGCCTCTCTTGGTCCATCTTCACACACCAAGTACAGGGCGAGACTCAAGTTTTGTCGAGATCCTAAAACCCCCTTAGGGAGGGGAAATTTTCTCCGAGACACGAAGTAACTTGATGTCCCCAAGTACCACTGACGTGCCATCGTACAAACATTGTACTTGGAATTTCGCGACCGAGTGTCGGAAACGATGTGTCTGTAATACCCTTTTAACAAACAGGAGAGAGAAAAGGAGAAATACAGAGAGAAGAAAAAGAAGTGAGCGAGAGAGAAGAAAAAGGAAGCGTCTTCACGGTGAAGGCAAAAGGGGCTGCTTAATTAAAAACTTTACTGCTCTCCATCGACTAAGAATCAGGCAATTACAGAACCAGATATGCAGGAAGCTACGAGATTCTAACGAGTTCTTCCAATCAGTATCTCTGAACAGCAAATAATGTGCTGCATTTTCACCTACTGGAATTCTTAATCAAATCTTCTGTATTTTTCTTTCCCTTCTTTTTTCCTCTCCTTTCTCATTTCCCTTTATCTTCGCTTCAATGTCCTTTTCATTCTCTCTACATTCAAACATTGTCAACAAAATAATAAATTAGCGAAAATAGTAAATTCGAATTCAGTCAAAAGACAACAAATAAAGTTAAACGAATGGTAAATAATGAAAAAGAAAAAAATAGAAATTAAAAATAAAAAAGGGTTTTAGCCTTTTAGCCTTTTCTATTTTCAGGGCTTGAACTATGTCCGTAAATCCCGCAAAGGTCCGTAAATTTGATTAAAGTCCGTAAAAGATAAGTTTTTTTAAAAAAAAATGTCCAGTAAAACAAATGATTGCAGAAATTCAATTATTTTCAAAAGTAATTAAATTCATCTCAGAAATTCAATTATCTTTCTAAATAATAAAATTCTTCTTCAAAATTCAATTATATTTAAAAATTTTTATGAAATTCTTGGCAAAATTACAATTACTTTCAAAAATTTGCCTCAATTCAATGAGACTTAATATCTCCAATTTTAATAAAATTTTCCAAAAGAATTCAATTATTTAAAAAAAATTTATTAAAATTCTACACAAACATTTAATTGAGGGGCTGGATCTTAAAACAACACATAAAATTTCTACAGCGGTATTCGTTAGTCCCTGACACCTCTAAAAATAATTTTTTTAAATAAAGTTTTTCATTATCTTATAGGAAATTTCCTTGCGCATTTTTTTTCTTCTCATGATTTTTTTTATATTTATAACAGTTTTTGAAAAAAAGCCAACGAATACCGCTGTTGAAATTATATGTGTTGTTTTAAGATCCAGCCCCTCAATTATTTTCGTAAAATAATAAAAATTTTACAGGAATTCAATTACTTACAAATTTTTTTATAAATTTATTCGCAATCAATTAATTATAATTTGTGACTATCCACGAGAAAACAGGGCTTAGCTTTCACAGGGCTAGTGATTGAAAGAAGCAGAACGAAGGAATGCATACAATATAACATCTTTAAAACGTTGTATTGTCAAAAGTAATTGACAATTTACAACTTTTGATATTTGCATTTGAAAAAGCAATAAAAAATCTACCGATTAGCATAAAAAACTCAAAATGATTTTTTAGAGCTAAGCCCTGTTTTCTCGTGGACAGTCACATTTTCAGAAATAAAATTTTTACAGAGATTCAGTTAGTTTCGTAAATAATAAAATTCTTTTTAGGAATTCAATTATTTTAGTAAATATAATAGAATTCTTTTTAGAAATTCAATTATTTTCATAAATAATAAATTTTTTCTACAGTGAATTTCAATTATTTTTAATACAATTTTAATCGAATTCCTCGAAAAATGTAATTATACTTTTAAAAATTTAATTAAAATTCGTCAAAAGAATTCAATTATTAATAATTTAAAAATTTGTTGATAAAATTCTTTATGAGAATTCAATTTTAAGAAACATGCAATTATTCAATAAATGGTTTTTTTTATTTAAAAAAATTAAATTCTAGTAGAATCTTCTAATAAAAATTAATTTAAAAATGAATTTCAGTTAAAGCTTTAGATTATAATTGAATATTAAAAGCATTAGAACGTGAATTTTTGAAAATAATTGAATTTTGAAAAGGTTTCAAATCAAAATCTTTGAAAATATGTATGAATTTTTTATATTTTTAACTAACAATTCTGTGGAATTAATTTTTTTGAGAAAGTTTAATTGTGGATTTTTGGTAAAATTATTTGAAGTTTTCATTTTCTAATAATTATATATATTTAATTGAAAAATTTACGAATAATTGAAATTTTGTAAAATTGAATTGTAAGCAAATGAATTTGAAAATACTGAAAGAACTTTTTCAAAAATCATTACAAATATTGCATATATAAAAGATTTTTAGTTAAAAACACGGAAAATCTTGTCAAGATTTTCAATTATCTTTATAAATCTCAAAATTTTTCGCCGAAATTAAATTATTTTTAATCATTTTTTTGTTAATTTTCGTCAAGATTTTCAATTATTTTTATAAATAGCAAAATTCTTCGCAAAAATTCAATTATTTTCAATAATTTTTTTAAATTCTCGTCAAGGTTTTGAATTATTTTTATAAAAAGCAAAATTCTGCTTCGAAATTCAACAATTTCAAAAAATTTTATTAAACTTCTTGGAAAAATTTCAATTATCTTAAAAAATTTTACTAATGATTTTCAATATCTAATATTTGTAAAAAAATTTCCCAAAAGAATTCAATTATTTAAAAAAATGTTTTATGAAATTCTACACAAACTTTCAATTATTTTCATATAAACAATACAAATTTCTTCGGAAATAATTCAATTATTTAAAAAAGAATCGGCATAAATTTTTTATAAAATTCTTCGCAAGAATTTAATTACTTTTATAAACATTAAAATTTTATACAGAGATTCAATTATTTTCACAAATAATAAAACTCATCGCGGAATTTCTATTACATTTAATACAATTTTAATCAAATTTCTCGAAAAATGTAATTATTTTTAAAAATTTTATTAAAATTCGTCAAAAGAATTCAATTATTTAAAAATTTGTTAATAAAATTCTTCATGGGAATTGAAGTTTAATAAACATTCAATTATTAATTCAAAATTATATTTGTGTCAGTAATTGGTCCGTGAATGGTCTGCAATTTTTCATTTTTGGACCGTAAAGTCCGTATTTTAAAAACTTTCACTGGTTCGAGTCATACATTTTTAATTTCTATTTATTTCTTTTTCATTTTATCGTTAATTTATATTTTCATTCTATTTTATCCTATCCTATTTAGAGAGAAATAGAAACTAGAAAATATGAATAATAGACGAAAAAATAGAAATTAGAAATAATAAACAAGAAAAAATAAAAAATAGAAAAATATTGTTCCCCGAAAGTTCAAAAGCTCGAAAGTTCAACTCCTCGAATGTTCAAAACATTGAAAATTCAACTCTTCGAAACTTCAACTTCTCGAATATTCAAAAATATCGAAAATCCAAAATCCCGAAAGTTCAATTAAAAAGAAAAAGAAAAAAAGCAAGATAAAAAATTAAAATTACAAAAAAAGTGTCAAATTTAAAAAAAAAAAAAATTCCCCGAAAATTTCCTGAGAAAATGAAGACGAAGCGTACGTATATTGTATATGTGTTGATGAGTGCCTGATTAAATAATCATACTCGGGGGATATTTTACCTTTGAAATGGGCAGAACCGCTTGAATATCATCCTTCTGAATCTCAAGACGCGCTTGCACCTTTCCTCTTTCCACATGATGGTGATGATGATGCTGCTGCTGCTGTTGGCTTAACTGATACATGCCAGGTATGGAAACGTTATCTTCCTCGCCTTCGAAGGCATATCGTACGCTCCACACGATTCTTCCCCCGTCCCAGTTGCCTCCTGCACCCTCGTCACTCGCCTCCAGTAGCATAGTCATAATCTCTTCGGCTGACCTGCCAACAAAAGAGAAACATAAGTGGAGGGTAAACACATTTAAAAAAAAAAGAAAAAACCCCCATACACCTTTCAAAAGGAATCTCCCGCACATACAAAGATCATTTCAACTTAATGTCTCTCGCCTATATATAAAGGGCACTTATCGAATTATTTCCACCAGCTCTTTAGTCACATTATCCCATCCCCAGATTGTGATCTTCCATCATTATCATTTTTTTCTTTATCAGATTTCATTTTATGTTATGTTTCATTGAAATTACGCAATTACGTAAATTACCAAAATACAAACTAAGGGGAAAAAAGAAAAATAAGAAAATAAAAACGTACTCTAAAAGCGCTAAATTTAATATTTCAGTTCTTTTCTCCAAAAAAAGGGAAATTTAATTTAATTTTTCTGTCTCTTACTCTAAAAATGGTATGGGTTTAATTTAATCTTTCGGTCATTTTTTACTCGAAAAACGGTAAATTTCATATTTGAAACTTCATTTTCTTGTGAACTCAATTTCTATTTACAAAAATTCTATAAATATACCCATATAAATTATAAAATTGTTAAAAAGTAACTCTAAAATTAACAGATACTCAAAAAAATGTTCATTTATTTACATTTATTTACATTTATTTACAAATTATTTTATTTATTGGTATAGGTATATTATTATTTATTATTATTTTATTTATTATTTATTTAATTAAAATTATTGAGAACATCAATATTTTTGTTTAAAATAAATAAATTTAAAAAAAAGTCACTGCAAGTCTTCGACACGAAGTGATCGATTTCTTCATGTTCTATAATAATAATTAATTAAAGTTGATGGAGTGATAAAATCATTCTTTCATATTATAAGAATATTGTTATTGTAACTTCTTCAAAATTATTTTTATCATTTTCAATTCAATTATTAATTTCTAGAATTTTTAATTTAAATTCTTCTTTAAATCAATTATTCTTAATAATTTCTGACAGAGTTTTCTTTAAATAATTTTCAAATCCATTTGTTTCCAATTCAATTTTACGAAATATAACCAAATTTTGATTATTAAAAAATTCTTCAATTAAATAATTATTTCAAAATTTTTATTAAAAAAGTTTATTAAAATTTTTGCAAATGATTGAATTTCGGCGAAGAATTTTGCTATTTATCAAAATAATTGAAAATCTTAACGAGAATTTTGAAAAAATTATTGAAAATAATTAAAACTTTATAATTTCAAAAAAATTTGAATAAAATTATTCCAAAAAAAATTAGTTTTAAAGAATAGTTAATTAAAAGTATAAAAAAAATCAGATTATCAAAAGATTTTAATTTAAAACCTTTTCAAAATTCAATTCTAAATATTCACGCTACAATGCTTTTAATGTTCAATTATTATCTAAAATTTTAATTAAAATTAATTTTTAAATCAATTTTTATCAGAAAATTCTACGAGAATTCATTTATTTAAATACAAAAATAATTAATTTGTTGATTAATTAAATGTTTCCTAAAATTGCATTCTCATAAAGAATTTTATCAATAAATTTTTAAATAATTGAATTCTTTTGACAAATTTTAATAAATTTTTAAGGAATAATTATATTTTTCGAGGAATTTGATTAAAATTTTAATAAAAATAATTAAAATTTTCCGATGAGTTTTATTATTTTTGAAAATAATTGAATCTCTGAAAAAAAATTTTAATGTTTATGAAAGTAATTGAATTATTGCGAAAAATATTGTAGAAAAATTTTATTAATTGATTTTTTTCGAAATAATTTATGCCGATTGTTTTTTAAATATTTGAATTATTTCCTAAGAAAATTGTATTATTTATGAAAATAATTGAGTAGAATTTCATCAAAATTTCTTTTAAACAATTGAATTAATTTGAGAACATTTTTTCAAATAGTAAATATTAAAAATAATTGGAAGAGAAAATTTCCTGAAAATAATTGAAAATTTTGATAAGAATTTTATTACAATTTTTAAAAATTATTGAATTTCTGCGAAGAATTTTGCTATTTATAAAAATAATTGAAAATCCTGACGATAATTTGAAAAGTTTTTGAAAATAATTGAAATTCTGCGCTGAATTTTATTACTTTCAAAAATAATTGAATTCATGTATAAAATTTTAATATTTATGAAAGTAATTGAATTATTGTGAAGAATTTTATAAAAAAATTTTAATACTTGATATTTTTCGAAAAAATGTTTACCGATTCTCTTTTAAATAATTGAATTAATTCCTGTGAAATTTTTATTATTTATAAAAATACATAATTGAATGTTTGCGTAGAATTTTATTACATTTTTTTTAAATAATTGAATTCTTATGGGGAATTTTTTGAAAATAATTGGAAATTTTGTCAAGAAGTTTATTAAAATTATTGAAAATTATTAAATTTCGAAAAATATTTTTGCTATTTATAAAAAAAAATGAAAATCTCAACAAGAAATTTTTAAAATTATTGAAAACAATTGAATTTTGGTGAAGAATTTTGCTATGTATAAAAATAATCGAAAATCTTGACGAGAATTTTTCAAATTTGTTGAATATACCTTATTAAATTTCTACGAAAAATTTTACTACTTTAGAAAATAATTGGATTCTTGTGGGTAATATTGTCATTTACTAAAATAATTTAAGTTTGCAAAGAAGTTTATTAAAATTTTTGGAAATTGTTGAATTTCGGTGAAGGATTTTGCTATTTAAAAAAAAAAATTGTAAATCTAGACGAGAATTAAAAAAAATGATTGAAAATAATTTAATTTCGGAGAAGATTTTTGCTATTTATAAAGATAATTGAAAATCTTGACGATAATTTTAAAAAAAATTTGAAAATAATTGAATAAGGAATGTTGTAAAGAAATAAAGATTTTAATTTAAAGTAATTTTGATAAAATACCAAGACAAACTTTTATATAAATAAAAAATCCATATTTCACACTTCGTCTATCAACATCAATATACATTTCTCTATTTTCTATTAAACAGAATTTTTAATTTCCTAAACATTCTCCTTTTTATTCCCCAGCTAGAAATGATTTTTTGTCCGATAATTTTCGAGTTCCATCTTCTACTATTTTGTTTTTTGACCTGCGTCTGAAAATTCCCTCGTCTCTGCGATAATATTCTAGAATTGTTGCTAAGAGATAATTTTCTAGAAGGGGTTAATCTCTGCATCGATTAATTTAAAATTGGTTCTGGGAAAAGAGATGGTGTGTCTGTGTAATTTTGGTTTTTGCGCCAGACGATAATATATACATATTCTTTCTGAATTTTTTCCCTTTTTTTTTGTTTTTGTTTCTCTCCGTCGTTTTGAAAGAAAAGAAGGCGTCTTTTTTGGGGGGTAGGGGCTTTGAAGATAATTATTAGACATTGGTGTGGTTTCTGTTTCATCGATGCGAGATGGGCGCATAACTGGTTTGGAACTTGCGCAACAGGACGGTACAGAAATTTTTATTAACTCGTTCGCAACAAAACTTACTTTAAAAAGAGAACATGTTTTCTTATTAATAATGACAATAATAATAATAAAGATAATAAAAATAAAAAATAATAATAAAAATGAAAAAATAAGAATAATAATGGTAATGATAATAATAATAAAAATAAAAATAATAATAGTAAGAGTAATAATGATAATAGTAATAAAGAAAGAAAGGAAAAGATTTTTTCTGTAATCAGAACATGACTATTCAGTATTCATTAATCACTGTTAATTTCTCGTCTCTCATTTATACTCCGGCCTCAAAATGAAAGAAACTGCCTTGAAGAAACTTGGTCGATTTAATAATTCATATTTCTGAAATCTCGGGCTTTTATTCGCGAGAAACGAATGCTCAATTTATGAAGAAGTATTTTCTCTATTTTTCCAAGTAATTAAATTCATCAGTACACGTCGATAAGATAATTGGAATGTAAATTTAATTAACGCAAAAATAGAGAAAAAAAAGTTCCTTCAACAGCTACTTAGAAATTTCTTCAAATAAGAGAATCGAAAGAATTTTTCAACACTATCATAAAAAAACACTATTTTCGAAAATTCTATTTTTTATTCTCGAATTTATTTGCAGACGAAAGAAGATTGAAATTGTATTTTTATAAAAAAAATAACATTGATGTTGATGGACGAAGTTACATGTGAAGTATGGATTTTTCATTTATTTAGAAATGGGTTTTTGTAATGGAAAAGAAAAATTGTTCTTACGCGTTTGGTAAACGTGACACGTTTTCCTTCCTTCTGGCCGTGAAGGTGGCCGTGGTACTCTTCATATTGATCTTAGATTCCACTATCCAATCCGGATTGCTCGATGTTGCATCTAGGATTTTAACGTCAGACTTGACCCGAGCTCTGAAAGTCAAATAAAGAAAAGTCAAATGAAAACGAACTTTATAATCCGTCGTTCAAGGGGAAAAAAAAGAAAACCTTTCCCCCAAAAAACATTATACGAACGTCAAAAGAAATTGGAAATTTTACAGTCACTTCATTGCCATTTTAAATTGCTTCTTTTGTCGTCGTATATAAGACGCAAACTTCTTTTTTACGAACTATTATATTTACTGCCACCGACTTTTATGACAAAAGCCAAAAGAAAAAAAAAACAGAAAACATTTATAAATAACAAACAGTCAATGAACTTTTCTATTTAAAATTTAAATAAAACTTTTCTCTCCTTCTCTTCTTTCCGAGACAGTTTTCTCAATATTTATAGATAAACTGAGAAATAAAACGAATTAAAAGAAACCGAAATGGAAAATATTTTATACAATCAATAAATTATTTTTTAATCTATTTTTCTATTTCAAGTTATTTTCAGTTATTTTTAGTTCTGCAAATTCTAAAAAAAAGCTAATGAAGCAATTTCTTATTTCTCTATTAATCGAGTAAAACGGAAGTTTCCTTTTACAAATAATCTAAAAAGTTGTAACTTGATAATAAAAAAATAGCAAACGTAGCAAATTACATCTCTTATTATAAAATTTGATGATTGCCATGTGAAAAGTTTAAATTGTTAGTTTTTTTTAAATTTGAAACATCCTGTCATTTTAATTTTGAAAAGATAGAAACGTGAGTTTGATGTTATACAAATGAAACTGGGCAATTATCGAAGGTCCGAGGTTGCGTGAAAATTTCAGTGAGATTGCGACATTTCCATATAAATTGGTCATCGATTTCCTCGAGTTCTGTGTATACAGAGAGAGAAAGAGAGAGAGGGAGAGAGAGAGAAAGACTATGTGTATATACACACTCGACACTTTACATTCTCGAACGAATAAACTATGGAATTGCGAAAATTCCAGGCTTTTCGAACAAGAGTGCCCAACAATTTTTTTTTTGTTTTTTTTCTATACTTCGATGCCAGATAAAATACAGAGATTTACAATAGATTGCTCTTTCTCGTCATTTATGTAGTTTTTACAGCTTTTAAAGTACTAGAATTTATTTTTATCACTTCATTTTCATTTTATAGGAAAATATTAATAATCGAGTTAAATTCTTTGAAAATTGGATCATCCTCACCAGCCTGCTATTTATACAAACAGAAAAACAGTTCTTTAATTATTCACAATTCAATTTTTTAAGATTCTTATTATTTATGTAAATATACTTAATTATAAATTAAATCAATAATCGTTTACTTATTGTTTTTTATTTATTATCTTCTATTATTTATTTATTTATTATTTTAAATTATATTATTTAATATTTTTAAATTTATTATTTTATTATTTTGAAAACTTTCAATAAAAATTCTTTGTAAAAAAAACCTTGAATTAAATAATTTGAAAAAATATAATTTTTTTCCTAAATTATAAAATTCATCGCAAAAATTCTGATTAAATTCTTTATGAAAATTAAAATATTTTCAATTGAATTTTCATTAAATTCCTCAAAAAATTCAATTATTTCCAAAAATTTTTAATAAAATTCTTAGCAAGATTTCAATTATTTTCACAAATAATAAAATTGTTCATAGTAATTCAATTTAATAAAATTCTTCGCCGAAATTCAATTACTTTGCAAAATTTTGAAAAAATTCTTAATAAAAATGTTCGCAGGAATTGAATTATTTTAAAGAATTTTAATAAAATTCTTTGAAAAAATTGTATTATTTTGAAAACTTTCAATAAAATTCTTTGTAAGAAAAACCTTAAAATCAATTTCAAAAAATTTAATTTCTTTCCTAATTAATAAAATTCTTCGCAAAAATTCAAATTTAGAAAAATTCTAATTAAATTCTTTATGAAAATTGAAATATTTTCAATGCAATTTTAATTAAATTCCTTAAAAAATTCAATTATTTCCAAAAATTTTTAATAAAATTCTTAGCAAGATTTCAATTATTTTCACAAATAATAAAATTGTTCACAGTAATTCAATTCAATAAAATTCTTCGCAGAAATTCAATTACTTTAAAAAATTTTGATAAAATTACCCGCAGGAATTGAATTATTTTCATAAATAATAAAATTACTCTCAGGAATTGAATTATTATCATAATTAATTAAATTATTTGCAGGAATATAATTATTTTAATATTTAATAACATTATTTGCAAAAATTTCATTATTTTGAAAAATTTCAATAAAATTCTTTGTAAGAAAAACCTTAAATTTATTAATTTGAAAAAGTAAAATTTTTTTTCCTTATAGTTATAAAATTCATCGCAAAAATTCAAAATTTGAAAAATTCTGATTAAATTCTCTTTGAAAATTGAAATATTTTTAATGCAATTTTAATTAAATTCCTTAAAATAATTCATTAATTTTCAAAAATTTTAATAAAATTCTTAGAAAGATTTCAATTATTTTCATAAATCATAAAAATTTCCATAATAATTCTATTTTTAAAGAAATAATAAAATTCTTTGCAGAAATTCAATTACTTTGAAAAATTTTGTTTTGAAAAATTTCAAAAAATTCTTTATAAGAAAAAGATTGAATTAAATAATTTGAAAAATTAAGTTTTTTCCCTAAATAATAAAATTCATCGCAGAACTTCAATTATTTTGAAAAATTTCTATTAAATTCTTTATGAGAATTGAAATATTGTTTTAGATTTTAATTAAATTTTTCTCAAGAAATCTAATTATTTTGAAATAAATGGATAAATTTCTTTATAAGAATTCAATTATTTACAGATTCATAATTGTAAAAGAAATAAATAATACAAAAAAAATCCTTTTATATGAAATTATTATTTATTTATTATTTATTATTTACTATTAGTTAATTAACTCGTATGCAAAAATTAAACATTGACTCAAAATTTCCATACTAATTAAAACATAGAAATTGAATTGCTAATAGACTAATAAAATAATAGAAAATAAATATTTATGTTGTTTATCAATATTTGATGTTAATTTTGTATCTGAGGGTGATATTGACATAGTTAGTGAAAAACTACCCCCGGCTAATCTAATTGGGTCACTTCTATCAGAGTAACTCCATCAGGCAGAAATATATTTAGTTTTTATTCTTTCTAATGAAACTGTTAAATTTAAATGACGTTTAAGCCACTTCAACCTACATTTACTTCTTTTTTTTTCATCATTATCACAGAAAAGCGTAGGTATTCTATTATTACTCATAACAAAGAAATGAAAAAAATTTCGTAATATTCAAGTTCTATTATTAAAACATAATTAAATTTAAGTTTTGTAAAAACGTACAAGTTAGAGTGCTAATTATAAATTTTCAAAAAAAAAGAAAAAAGAAAGAAAAGCAGAATACACGAAAGATTAAGTTGTTAAATAAAAAATTAGAAACAAAAATTTTAATTAAAATTTGAATAAATGAAAAGAAGAAAAAATGAATTCAAATTGATATTAAGAGAGAAGAAAATGTAATTTAAATAAAAATATTGAAGAGATGTTAGTAATAAATTATTACTTAAGAAGAAGAAAGTGCTCTTCAGTTTTACTTCCTTGCCTTTATCTTTTCTTTCTTAAAAATAAAAATATATTAAAAACTGAAAACCTTTCTTCCTTTATTTAAACATTAAAGCAGTGCTTCTTGAAAAAAAATAATAAAAATATATTGTCTATAAGTCTCATACTTTTAAAGCAGGCCAATTTTGAACTTTCATTTCCTTAAGAATATTTAAAATCGTTAAGAAAAAAAGAGTTTTATAACGCGCAGGAAATATTAAATTAAAATTCCGAAATTAAAATTAAAATGAATTTTTTTATTCAGAAATTGTAATTAATTTTTTCATTAAGAAATTGGAACTAAATTTTTTATAAAGACTTGAGAATTAAGTTTTTTTCATAAAGAAATTAAAATTACATTATTCATAAAAATATTAGAAATTCTATTGTTTTTAAAGAAATTGAAATGAAATTTTTTACGAAAAAATTGGATTCATAATTGAATTGTTTACAAAGAAGAAACTTTTTATAAAACAAATTGGAGTTAAATTACTTATGAAGAAAATAGAAATTAAATTTTTGAAAATAAATTCTATATGAAATGTAGTATTAGAATATAATTTAATTCTAAAAAAATGTATTTCTCTTATTTTTATCTGTTCATATAAACGAAACCTCTTATAAATTCTGTTTTCAGGGCAAAAACGAAACTTAATTCAGTCTGTTTTGTATCCTTATCAAGGAGTAAACTAAATTAACATTTGAATCTAGATTTATGTAGCTTGAAAACGAAACTCAATTAAACGAAATATTTAGTTTTCGTAACAGAAATGTTAAGTAGTTTTAAAGATTATTCCGTAAAACGAGAAATTAGAATTTAGCTAATTCTTGTAAAATAAAGTGAAATAGAAAATATTTGTTGGTTTTAATTTTCTCTCAATTTAATCGTCATTAGTTTTTTAAAGGTTTTTTTTATTAAAATTTTCAAAAATAATTGAATTCATCTGAAGAATTTTATAACTTATAAAAATAATTCAATTCCTACTACGAATTTAATGAACATTTTTGAAAATAATTGAATTGTTTCGAAGAATTTAATTAAAATTTATGAAAATAATTAAATTCTTTCGAGAAATTTAATTACCTAATAATGTATTAAAAACAATTAAATTCTTTAAATTCTAATAAACAAAATTTGTCATCATTTCTAAAAATAATTGAAGTTTTTCTAAACGTTTTATTAAAATAAAATTGTACTAAAAATAATTGAATTCCATCAGAAAATGTTATTGAAACTGTATTAAAAATAATTGAATTCTTGCCAAAAAATTTATTCAAATTTAAAAATAATTTTATTGTTTCGAAGAAAATTGAAATTTTTTAGAATAATTTAGTAAAAATTGTATTAAAAATAATTAAATTCGTACAGAGAATTTTATTAGGTACAATTTTTGAAAATAATAGCATTCTTTTGACAAATATAAGAAATTTTAAAAATAATGCATTGTTTCGAAAAATTTCATTTTAATTGTATTTACGATAAATTAAATTTCTGTAAAGAATTTTATAACTTAGGAAGATGATAGAATTTTTCCGAAGAATTTTATTTATAAAAATAATTGAATCCTTGCCAAAAATTTTATTATTTATGAAAATAATTAAATTCTTGCGAAAAATTATATTATTTATGAAAATAATTTTGAATTTTTCTAAAGAATTTTATTACAAATTCTCAAATTAATTAAATTGTTTCAAATAATTTTATCAATATTTCAGAAAATATAAATTTGTAATAATTAATTAGTTATTAAAAATTTTAAAATAATTGAATTCTATCAACAAATTTGATTAAAATTGTATTGAAAGTAATTAAATAATAAAAAAATTATAAAATTTATAAAAATTCAAATTTAATGGTTTTGAAGAAAGTCTCAATTCTTTCGAGGAATTTAATTAAAATTGAACCAAAAATTAATTGAATTCTTTTAATGAATTTATTAAAATTTTTTTAAATAATTGAATTCCAACAAGAAATTTTATCAGAAATAATTGAATTTTCTAGAAGAATTTTATTATTTATGAAATATTTGAAAGATTGCCAAGAATTTTATTCAAATTGTATTGAAATATTAAAAATAATTGATTCCCTTAGAGGAAGTTTAATATTTATGAAAATAATTGAAATCTTGACAAAAAATTTCATATCTTAGAAAATAATTAATAATTTATTAGTTAATAAGTGAAATTTAAAAAATTTTTAATCTGAAATCATTCAAAAATTAAAGTTAATATTTAAAAACAAAAATTAAAAAATTTGCATAATAGTAAATTAAATACCGCGTTTGTATTTACTGGTAAGAAATAAAAGCAAAATTTTGATATGACTGTAAAATATTCGAAAAAAGAGCAAAATTTCGTTTTTATATTTTTTTTTGTAAAAGAAGGAACGTTATTTTTTAAAGAGATTTGTTCTTTTGTTTCTATCAAAAGAAGGGTTGTTAATGTTTTCCCAAACTCGTAAAGAATCGTTTTAATTTTGTTCTTTGTTAGGGGGAAAGAGTCCTTCCGTTCAATAATAACGTCAACTCGTTAATCTCCCCGAAATGTGTCACCAATTGTCATTCAAATTTCACGAACGTTTTTAATGCTCGCACATTACAAGAATCAAAAAAGAAAAAAAGAAAAAAAAAGAGCACATGTAAAACTGGGCATTTAACTCGTTCAAATAAAAGCCAATTGTCTAACAATACCTGAGTACAACAGCAGCAACTGGTGGTCTCCCCTGTGCACCCTGACGAGATGAGTGCGAATGGAGAAAAGCCGGCACGTGGAGCCTCGATCTCGGATAAAGAGGTCCATGGGGAACCAAAAGAGTGAGATACTCGTCCGTTTTTAGTTCTTTATAATCCTCTCGATTTGGCGTTAGGGTCACGCTGCCTAAAGGCGTGACCGGTTGTATTTGCACCCTCGGCTGACAGAATAACGATGAACTCGAATCAAGTACATGAGGCAGTGCTCCGTCTTCATTGTTCCTTGGCTCGAGGACCGAATAGGAAAGTTGAACTATTCGTGGCAGTGTTTTTGGTACTTTGATTCGACCCGAGGCATCTGGTGGTGGTAATGGTGGCCACCAATTTGCTGGAATTGTTATTTGCGCGAGGCAAACGCCATCTTCACCATCGGGACTGCAGGCGGCTGTTAATGGTCCATTTTTATTCGTCGACGATGATGATGATGAGGAGGAGGACGATGAGGATGATGACGAGTCCTTTGATGTTGTCGAGCTCAACCTGCTGCTACCACCGTTTAAAGAAGCGTGCAGCACGACGCAGACTCTTTGATGACGACCCAGAAGCAATTGTCTTCTACCGGTTGACTCGCTTCCCGCATGGAACAATACCCTGGACAGAGAAGAAGAGTTCTTTATTTTCAGCCCGAGATCAAGATTATGCAGTATGCACTTTGTTGCCCTATTGTTTCATTTTTCTCGCTCACTCACTCTCTCATTTTTTAATCTTTCGCAAACTTTAATACTGAAAGATGAAATTTTCAATACGAAAATCCATTATCATTCCTTCATGAAAAAAGACATTTTTAAAAAAGATAAAATTTTCTTTTCATCAAGAATCGATAAAAATCTTTTTTCAAAACAAAATTTTATTTTATCTTTTCCTGATATTTTTCAGATTACCAGAAAAAATTTTGAATTCTTCCCTTATTTTAAAGAATATTCTGATTCAATACAAAAATGATTAGATACTCAAAAAAATTCTCTAATACATTTATTTACGAATTTCTTCAATTGTAAAATTATTCAAAAGCAACAATAACTTAAATAAATAATTAATAGGTATTTAAATAAATATTTAATTATTATTATTTTTCGATAGAAATTAAAATTCTTCAAAAGATTCAAAAATTCAAGCCGTTTGAAAATCAAATATAAGAATATTGTTCCTATAACTTCTTCAGAATTATTTCCGTCATTTCAATTAAATTATTATTTGCTAGAATTTTTAACTAAAATCTATCTTTAAATCAATTATTTTTTATGACACAATTTTTTTTTTTAGAATTTTCAAAAGCATTTGTTTATAATTCAATTTTACGAAATAGAAGGAAAACTTTTTGGAAAAAAAAAATGAATTCTTCAAAATTGTTATTTAAACGTATGAAAAATTCAGATTTTCCAAATATTTTAATTTTAAACCATTTCAAAATTCAATTATTTCTAAAAATTCATGCTATGATTATTATATATAATAATCGTCGTGATTCCAGATTTCCGGATCTCTGTCCACACTTGAAGTTAGTTACAGTTATTCTTTTGTTTTTTATACGTTTTGATAGAAAATAGAAATATACATATACATTATAATAATCGTAAGTTTCCTTTCCGTTAGCAAATTATCTGCATTCATCTGCATTCTTTCCTCTCTTTTATGGGATTTAGCTTCATTATTTTTGTGCTTTTGCAAAAAACTTTACTTATTAAATTGTCTCGACTCTTTGGTAAAAAATCTAAAATTATCAAAAATTCAAAAAATTTCGAAAAAAATGTTTTTCTTAAAATTCAACATTTTTTCCTCTCTTTTATAGGATTTGGCTTTATTATTTTTGTGCTTTTGGAAAATACTTTACTTATTTAATAGTTCGACTCTTTAGTAAAAAATATAAAATTATCGAAAATTATCAAAAATTCAAAAATCCGAATTTCTTAAAATTTAACATTCTTTCCTCTCTTTTATGGGATTTAGCTTCATTATTTTTGTGCTTTTGGAAAATACTTTACATATTAAATTGTCTCGACTCTTTGGTAACAAATCTAAAATTATCGAAAATTATCAAAAATTCAAAAATCCGAATTTCTTAAAATTCAACATTTTTTCCTCTCTTTTATAGGATTTAGCTTCATTATTTTTGTGCTTTTGGAAAATACTTTACTTATTAAATTGTCTCGACTCTTTGGTAAAAAATCTAAAATTATCGAAAATTATCAAAAATTCAAAAATCCGAATTTCTTAAAATTTAACATTCTTTCCTCTCTTTTATGGGATTTAGCTTCATTATTTTTGTGCTTTTGCAAAAAACTTTACTTATTAAATTGTCTCGACTCTTTGGTAAAAAATCTAAAATTATCAAAAATTCAAAAAATTTCGAAAAAAATGTTTTTCTTAAAATTCAACATTTTTTCTTCTTTTTTATGGGATTTAGCTTCATTATTTTTGTGCTTTTGGAAAATACTTTACTTATTAAATTGTCTCGACTCTTTGGAAAAAAATAAAAAATTATCAAAAATCCGAAAAATTGAATTTCTTAAAATTCAACATTTTTTTTCTCTTTTATACCATTTAGCTTTATTATTATTTGAATTTTTATTCAAGAGAAAAAATGGAAAACTGAAAAAATTTAGAATTTTTTAAAAATTACAGGCCTTTTCCATGATTTCCCTGATTTCCAGAAGCCTTTTAAAAATTCCATACCATTTCCATGATTTCCATGATTTCGTGATTCTGTACGAACCCTGCTTTTGTCTGACTTTCTTCTAAATTATCGAATTCAGTGATTTCTGGGGTGAATTTGGTTAAGTTGTAAAATGATTAATTTCTATTTGAATTCGTTTTTTTTGAATGTAGAAAATCTGATGTTAATTTAATTCTTTTTTCGTTATGCACGGCAAAAAGTATTTAGCTGGATGAACTACAGATTTCACTTTAGTAGCGAAATTTTTCAGTGCTTCAATTAATACTTTCGTTATTCTAGAGAAACTTATCGCTATTTCAAGTAAAACATTTTTCAGTGTGTAATAATTATTATTTCTTTAAAAAGTATTTAATTTAAAATGGCTTTATAAAATAAGCAATGCAAAAGATGACCCAGATACTAATTGTAATTGTTCTAGCCATAGTTTAAGTCTAGTAATGTAAATTCTATTTAAATTGAGACCATTGAGTGAAATTATTTGAATTTTAGTTAGTTAAATCTCTTTGTTCTTTGGTAAAAAATCTAAAATTATCAAAAATTCGAAAAAATTCAAAAATCCGATTTTCTTAAAATTCAACATTTTTTCTTCTTTTTTATGGGATTTAGCTTCATTATTTTTGTGCTTTTGGAAAATACTTTACTTATTAAATTGTCTCGACTCTTTGGTAAAAAATGTGAAATTATCGAAAATTATCAAAAATTCAAAAATCCGAATTTCTTAAAATTCAACATTTTTTCCTCTCTTTTATAGGATTTAGCTTTATTATTTTTGTGCTTTTGGAAAATACTTTACTTATTAAATTGTCTCGACTCTTTGGTAAAAAATGTGAAATTATCGAAAATTATCAAAAATTCAAAAATCCGAATTTTTTCAAATTCAACATTTTTTCCTCTCTTTTATAGAATTTAGCTTCATTATTTTTGTGCTTTTGGAAAATACTTTACTTATTTAATAGTCTCGACTCTTTGGTAAAAAATCTAAAATTATCAAAAATTCGAAAAAATTCAAAAATCCGATTTTCTTAAAATTCAACATTTTTTCCTCTCTTTTATGGGAATTAGCTTCATTATTTTTGTGCTTTTGGAAAATACTTTACTTATTAAATTGTCTCGACTCTTTGGTAAAAAATCTAAAATTATCAAAAATTCGAAAAATTTCAAAAATCCGATTTTCTTAAAATTCAACATTTTTTCTTCTCTTTTATGGGATTTAGCTTCATTATTTTTGTGCTTTTGGAAAATACTTTACTTATTAAATTGTCTCGACTCTTTGGTAAGAAATGTGAAATTATCGAAAATTATCAAAAATTCAAAAATCCGAATTTCTTAAAATTCAACATTTTTTCCTCTCTTTTATAGAATTTAGCTTCATTATTTTTGTGCTTTTGGAAAATACTTTACTTATTAAATTGTCTCGACTCTTTAGTAAAAAATCTCAAATTATCAAAAATTATTAAAAATTATTAAAAATCCGAAAAACTGAATTTCTTAAAATTCAACATTTTTTTTCTCTTTTATACCATTTAGCTTTATTATTATTTGAATTTTTATTCAAGAGAAAAAATGGAAAACTGAAAAAATTTAGAATTTTTTAAAAATTACAGGCCTTTTCCATGATTTCCCTGATTTCCAGAAGCCTTTTAAAAATTCCATACCATTTCCATGATTTCCATGATTTCGTGATTCTGTAGGAACCCTGCTTTTGTCTGACTTTCTTCTAAATTATCGAATTCAGTGATTTCTGGGGTGAATTTGGTTAAGTTGTAAAATGATTAATTTCTATTTGAATTCGTTTTTTTTAATGTAGAAAATCTGATGTTAATTTAATTCTTTTTTCGTTATGCACGGCAAAAAATATTTAGCTGGATGAAGTACAGATTTCACTTTAGTAGCGAAATTATTTAGTGCTTCAATTAATACTTTCGTTATTCTAGAGAAACTTATCGCTATTTTAAGTAAAACTTTTTTCAGTGTGTAATAATTATTATTTCTTTAAAAAGTATTTAATTTAAAATGGCTTTATAAAATAAGCAATGCAAAAGATGACCCAGATACTAATTGTAATTGTTCTAGCCATAGTTTAAGTCTAGTAATGTAAATTCTATTTAAATTGAGACTATTGAGTGAAATTATTTGAATTTTAGTTAGTTAAATCTCTTTGTTAGGTTATAATAATTATTTCTTTAAAATTTTTTAAATTGTTTAAATAAGCAGCCCCATACAACATTCCCGCGCGCTTGCGCGCGGATAGTTTGGCTAGTGCTTTTAATATTTTTCGAAGAATTCAATTAAAATTGCATTAAAAATAATTGAAATTTCGAGCTGAAATTTATTATTTAGAAAATAATTGAATGTTTGTGTAGAATTTTATCAAATTTTTTTTTAATTAATTGAATTCTTATAGAAAATGTTATTAGAAACAGATTAAAAATCATAGAATTGAGTAAAATTTTTGAAAATAATTGAATTTCGATATAGAATTTTGCTATTTATAAAGATAATTGAAAATCTTAACGAGAATTTAAAAATTTTTTTGAAAATAATTCAATTTTTGCGCAGAATTTTATTATTTTTGAAAATAATTGAAATTATAGAATTTCGAAAAAGATTTTTGCTATTTATTAAAATTTAAAATAATTGAAAATCTTGACGAGAATTATTAAAATTTTTTGAAAGAAATAATTGAATTTCTAGGAAGAATCTCTTTATTTTTAAAAATAACTAAAATTTTGTGAAAAAGTTTATTCAAATTATTGGAAATTATAAAACGGGAATTTTAAAAAAATGATTGAAAATAATTGAATGACGATGAAGAATTTTTCTATTTATAAAAATAATTGAGAATCTAGGCGAAAATTAAAAAATTTTTTTTTAAATAATTGTATTTATACGAAGAATATTTTTATTTTTGAAAATAATTGAATTCTTGTGACGAATATTGATATTTTTGAAAATAATTAAAAATTAATTGAAAATTTTTTGAAAAAAATAATTGAATTCGTACGAAGAATTTGATTATTTGAAATAGAAATAGAAATTTTGTCAAAAAGTTTATTTAAATTAGTGGAAATTATTTAATTTCAAAAAAGATTTTTGCTATTTATAAAAAGAATTAAAAATCTTGACGAGAATTTAAAAAAAAATGATTGAAAATAATTGAATGTCGGCGAAGAATTTTGCTTTTCATAAATATAATTGAAAATCTTGAAGAAAATTAAAAAAAAAATTTCAAATAATTGAATTTATACGAAGAATATTTTTATTTTTGAAAATAATTGTATTCTTGTGGTGAATATTGTTATTTTTGAAAAAAATTGAAATAATTGAAAATTTTTAAAATTTTTTGAAAATAATTGAATTTCTATGAAGAATTTTATTATTTTTTTATACAATTGAAAGTTTTAAAAAGTTTATTAAAAGTATTGAAAATTATTGAATTGCGAAAAAGATTTTAGCTATTTATAAAAATAATTGGATATCTTGACGAGAATATTAATAAAATGATTAATAATAATTAAATGTCGGCGAATTATTTTGCTGTTTATAAAGATAATTGAAAATCTTGACGAGAATTTTTAAAAATTTTCGAAAATAATTGAATTTCTACGAAGAATTTTACTACTTTAGAAAATAATTGAAATCTTGTGACGAATATTGTTATTTACGAATACAATTTAATTTTGCAAAAAATTTTAATAAAATTCCTGAAAATAATTGAATTTCTGGGACGAATTTTGATGAATAATTTTGAAGCAAAATTATCCATTAAATAATTTATTCACAATAATTTCTTGATAGCTCTTCAAGAATTAAATTATTTAAAATAAATTATTGTCAAAACTAAAAAAAATTTAATACTTTGTATTAAAATTCTCGGTAATTTAAAAGTTTTAAGGCAAATCAAAAAAGGTCACCAAAATTTTGAATTTTAATTTAATTTGTTTCCAGTTCTTTTAATAAAATTTCCTGACTTTTCTCTGAATTCCATGACCTGTGGCAACCCAGTATCATCACTAAAATCCTTAAATAAAAAAAGTGTTTGAATACAAAACTTTATTTCCAATTTCGAAACAAACGAAGTGCAGAAATTCTTCATGAATCAATATTGTCGTGTGAGAGAATAAAATATTAAAGAAGCTTTTAGTCAATTTTTAATGGAAAAGTTATTTAAAGTACCAAAAAAAGAGGAAAAAAATAGGGAATAAGAAAACGAGAAGATTTATCATCGCGACCAATAAGAATAAGAAGAGAATCCAAAAGGGAATTCTCGGTGAAACGAGAAGATTGGTGAAATTTCAGTGACTTGAAGTATCTCGCAGAGTATTAGAAAAATTCAGAAAAGTAGGTGTTACTGGCTGGATCGATAAGTCTAAAAGCACTTGCATCTCTCAGATTTAGGGCAACCGTATATCGTAAAATACGTAATAACATGGAACATGTTATGATTCTCAAAGGTACAATCGGATTCTCAGTTTTTTTCCAATAAAAATGTTACTTTACGAAAAAATATTTGTATATATTATACATATATATATATAAATATAATATCAGAATTTTTATCCATTCACATAATTATAAAAGCACTCAAATAAATTAAATTTGCCTTCTAACATACACAATGAAACATTCTCTCTTATTTTTTTCAATTTATTATCTTTTGAAATTAGAGCAAGGTTTCAAAAAAATGAAAAAGTACACAAAAAAAAGAAAGAAAGAATACGATAAAAATACAAAAGAAAATTGTAGATAAATCTCGAAAAGCATAAGGTGAAATACATTACCAATAAAAATCGCAGAAATGAAAATGAAATGTAAATATAAAAATAGAATAAATTCTGGGGAATAAAAATTTTAGACTCTAATAATTTAAAACTTTATAGGGTTGCCACAAAAATTTCATCTCTCTAAAAAAGATTAAAATAGTTCAAAATAAAATTAGTTATACTATGTCAAACTTTCCTCGATTATTTTCAAAAAATTCAATAAAATTCTTTAAAAAATTCAATTATTCTTACAGCAATTTTAGAAAATTGCAAATATTAAAAAAAAATTAACTATTTATAAATAATCAATTATCTTTAAAAATAGAATGAAAAGCTTTAAAAAATTAATCTAGCGAACTTCTCTCGATTACTTACAAAAAATTTCAATACTTTTTCTAAAAAAATTCAATTGTATTTAATAAAATTTTGGAAACTTCAATTTTACTTTTAGATTTTCAAAAATTCTTTTGGACACCAAACATTTAATTTTTTGTAGTAATTCTAGGAGTTTGTTGTTTTTTCAGTTTTATTGAAAAATTCCCTAACTTTTCCCTGATTTCTCCGATCAATTTAATTTTTCCTGTCTTTTCCCTGAATTCCCTGATTTTCCCGACTTGTGTCAACCCTGTAAAGATGAAGAAACAAAACATTGAAAATTTAAAACACTTCCACCTCGACGATAAGTTAAAAAAATCGAAAAACTAAAACATCGAAATTTCTGTTTTAAATAATTTTGAATTTCATGTTTTAAATATAAATTTTTCCATTGTATCGAAATTTGCTTAAGATAGAACATTTTTTATTGGTTCTCAATATAAAAAATAACAGAAATTCGATAATTATTGAAAATTTCATAAAATACATAAATTCTGATAATTAAAATTAAATTAAATTAAAAATCCAAATTTAGATTGACATTATTTTGAATTTACGAATGAAATTATCAATTACCAGACAATTTATTTTAAATTTAAATAAACTATGTATTTCATGTTTTAAATAATTTCATTTTCAATTATATGTAATTTTTTCCATAAAACAGAAATTTTGATAATTAAAAATTTGATATTATAAAAACTATATTTAATTTGAGAATTTTATTTCACATTATTTAAAAGTTAGTATTTTCATTAAAACAAAATTTTTATTTTGAATTTTTACGTGCGTGAAGTTTACACCTTTTTATGATCAGTGATGAAATAGAAAAAATATTTTTTATGTAAAAAACAATAATTTTTGTTTACGAATTTTTATTCTTTTTATGTTTTCAATAAAAAAAAATTGTAAACATTTTTTAAGACAAAAATTTGAATAGAAAAATATTCTTTTCTACTAAAGTTTAATTATAAATGTTGTGAACTTCACCAACTGGAACTTTTGAATTAAATTATCAATTTTCAATTATTAATCAACTTATTTTCAGTCCAAATAAATTATTTAATGTTTCAAATAATTTTATTTTTAATTACATATAATTTTTTCCATATCGGAACCAAATGTGCTTAAAATGGAAAATTTTTCGATGAATCTCAATATACGTAAATTAATAGAAATTCGATAATTATTAAAAATAACATAAAATGGAAATTTTTATAATTAAAAATTTGACTTCATAAAAATCTACATTTAATTTAAGAATTTTATTTCACATTATTTAAAAGTTAGTATTTCTATTCAAACAAAATTTTTATTTTAAATCCAAATAAATTATATTATATTTCAAATAATTTTACTTTCATTAAATACAATAAATTTTTTCCAAAGCGGAAAAAAAGTTGATTATCAATCAATTTATTTTGAATTCAAATAAATTATTCTATATTTCAAATAATTTTATTTTCAATTAAGTATAATTTTTTTCATATCGGAACCAAATTTGCATAAAATAGAAAATTTCTGATTTAATTTTAATACCAAAATTAATAGAAATTCATCAGATTAAAAATTCGATTTCATGAAAATCTAGTTGGATTGAAATTTCTCATATTGGAAGAAAAATTACTGTAGATAAAAAAATTCCTCAAAAATAGAAATTCGATCTCATAAATTATGAAAATTCAAACAAAATGTATTTATATTTATGCGTCTAAATGCGATAAACTGAAAAGTATGTAATTTTTCATTCGTATAGAAATATTTAAAGGAAGTACAAAAAAAATACAAAAACACGAAGAAAACACAAAGAGAAAAGATACAAAATAAGAAAAAAACGAAATAAACAAAAAGAAAGAACAAACGAAAAAGAAACAACAAAAAAAAAGAAAATAAAATGATAAATGGCAAAATAATAATACAGTATCGGATCGCCAAAGACAAAAAAAAAAAAATACGTAGAGAGAGAAAGATAGGAATTGATTAAAATAACTTGTTTTGTGAAAAATTGATTATACCTGAGGACCGGTGAATCACGTGCAACTGTGTTGCTCACCAGGTGAGCTGACATATCCAAATGCCTCGTTCCAAGTTCCTGGGCGTCTAACAATGCCCGGCTCATCGCCAGCGATGATGTGGTTGTATTATTTGGTCCTCTCCTTGGATCTGGTAACGGAAGTGTATCGAGGGGATCCGGTACGATGTATCTGGCCGGAACAGTTTGTTTTGTACTGAAAGGGCCGTAGGTCGCTCTCACTGAAACCGGTTCGCTTGTCTGGAAGACAGTGAATTTGTCGATGGATAAAATTGAACCTGGAGGCGACGCCGCCGTTACCGTTGATATTGGCGTCATCGTTTCTTGTCGCGACGTCGACGGATAATACTGTCTCGGCGAATGTTTCAGAAAAAATCCACCATCCTTATTTTCAAAATGCACATCAACCGAGGCCGCAACATCTGAAATTAAATCAAAATTCATTAGTATTACTATTAATACAATAAAATATTCATTAACATAAAATCAATTTTTTTTTTTGAATTAATTAAATCAATTTTGCTTTTTGATTTTAATTATTCAATTTGAATAATAAAGAAATTTCAATTATTCAATTTGAATAATAAATAAATTTTAATTATTCAATTTGAATAATAAAGAAATTTTAATTATTCAATTTGAATAATAAAGAAATTTTAATTATTCAATTTAAATCGTTTCTATTTTGAATTATAAATAAAGTTAAATTAAGGTAATTTAATTATAATTAAATATTTATCAGTGAAATGAATTTTCGATTTTTGTCCAAGTTTTTTTTAAAGTAGTTTGGATAATAAAATAAATTCGAGTAATTATTGAGAGACTTATTTAATGGAATATGGTCGAGTGTTGATTTTCAGCAATTATAATGAAGATGTCTTGTTTATTATCGCGACTCTCTCTCGCACAATTTCAAGATGTTTAATGTGATCTTGTTTGCAGTTCTGCACAGAGAATCGTAAGTACGCACTTAAAGACCATACGTAACACATAAGTTGACTCACAGTGAGATGAGAATTCAAGTGGTTCAGGTCAAAGTGGCACTAGTTTTAATGAACCAAAGTTTCGAAAATTTTTCCTGATTCTTCGAAAAGGTGGTCGATCTACAAACATAATATTCAGTTATATAAATATTTTTCAAATATTATTAATCTTTAATATGGATTTTTAAATATTTTTTTTAATCTTTTATTTAATTTTTATTAATTTCCATTTTTTTTATTTTTATTTATTTACTTATTTATATTTTAAATATGCTTTTAAATTTTTATATTTTTATATTTTTATACTTTTATATTTTCATATTTTCAATTTTTGTATTTTTAAATTTTTATACTTTTATATTTTCATATTTTCAATTTTTGTATTTTATATTTTCATATTTTTATATTTTCATATTTTTGTATTTCATATTTTTACATTTTTACATTTTTAAATTTGTTATATTTTTACATTTTTTATTTATACTCTTTTATATTTTAAATATCTCCTTGAAAGTACACCTTTAAAAAATTATTTAAAAAAAAAACTCTCCTCGAAAAACTCCATAAAAAATAATATTCACATTAGAAAATTGAATTTCCAAAGTATTCTCAATATTTGCATTTCATTTTGAAAATTAGTTCCGCGAGAATGTTTGCAGCATCGCATCTGGAAAATGTTTACTCTATATCTAAAATGAAGTGTATTATAAAATAATATTAAAAAAAATAATTGAAAAAAACTAGTTACTTTTTTTTCTCATTGCCTTAATTAAAAAGGATAACATTCGTTTGGCAGAAAAAAAGTGAGAAAAAAATGTTTATTAAAAGTTTAGCAATCGCCTGAGAAGAAAAGGATTGTAATTAAAAGTTAGTAGAGTGTTGAAACAATATTTTTAAAATGTTCGCACCTTTTTGAAAAAAATATTATTTTCCAATACACGGGAACAATGAGACATAAATATAGTTTGAGACTGTATAAAAATAATAATAATAGTTAAAGGAATTAGAAAAATTATTTTTAAAATTTTGCAATCAATCACAATGAATACTTTAATCTTTGGAAATTATCCAAAAAGATCAATCATTTAAATACCGCTTTATTTATATTTTTGTTTTTTAATATTTAAATTAGAGATTTAGTATTTATTTTAGTATTTTTCAGTAATTTAATGTATTCTTTAGTATATTCTAATATTTTTGAGTATTTTTCAGTAATTTAATGTATTTTTTAGTATTTTCTAATATTTTTTTAGTGTTTTTTTAATATTTTCAGTGTTTTCTACTAATTTCCTGTATTTTTTAGTGTTTTACAGAATTTTAAATAATTTTTAGTAGTTTTTTAAACCATTTTTTAGTACTATTTAATATTTTTTTGTTTTTTAAAATATTTTTTAGTATTTTCCAGTATTTTATAGTATTCTTCAGTATTGTTTTGAATATTTTAAGATTTTTCGGTATTTCAAACTATTTTTAAGCATTTTTTAAATAATTTTTTAGAATGTTTTAATATTTTTTATTATTTTTCAGTATTTAAAGTATTTTTCAGTAATTTCTACTTTTTTCCAGTATATTTTAGTGTTTAACAGTATTTTAAATAATTTTTAAATATTTTTCAATATTTTAAAGTATTTTTCAGTAGGTTTACGAATTTTTAAAAAATTTTCAGAATTTCAAACTATTTTTTAGTATTTTTTTTACATTTTTCAATATTTTCCAGTATTTTAAAATATTTTTAAACATTTTTTTTTAGAATTTTTAGGTATGTTTTAGTTGAAAAAACTTTTTTTAGTACTCTTCAGTATTCTAAATAATTTTTAAGTATTTTTTAATAATTTTTACATTTTAAAAAGTTTCTTTTAGTATTTTTTAATATTTTCCAGTATTTTTTAGAATTTTTTCTGTATTTTAAAGATATTTTAGTATTTTCAAGTATCTTAAAGTATTATTTTGTAGTTTTTAAAATTTTTAAAGATTTTTCAATATTTTAAAACATTTTTTAATAACATTTTTTTTCAATTTTTTAATATTTTTTAGTTTAAAAAACTGTCTTAGTACTCTTTAGCATTCTAAATAATTTTTTAGTATTTTTAAATAATTTTTTAGATTAAAAAATTTTTCTTTTTAGTATTTTCTACTATTTTCCAGTATTTTTTTTTAGAATTTTACTGTATTTTAAATATGTTTAGTATTTTCAAGTATTTTACAGTATTATTCTGTAGTTTTTTCAATTTTTGAAGATTTTTCAGTTTTTTAAATGTTTTTTAGTGTTTTTTTTTACATTTTTCAATATTTTTCAGTATTTTAAAACATTTTTTCCAATTTTTTTTAAATATTTTTTAGTTTACAAAATTTTTTTAGTACTCTTCAGCATTCTAAATAACATTTTAGTATTTTTTTACCATTTTCCAGTAGTTTTTAAAATTTTACTGTATTTTAAAGTATTTTTAAAACATTTTTTAGTTTTTTAAAGCAGTTTTTAGTATTGTTCAGTATTTTAAAGTAATTTTTAACACTTTTTAAACACTTTTTTAGTATTTTTAAATATTTTTTAAGATTTTTAGTTTAAAAATTTTTTTCTGTATTTTTCAATATTTAAAAATAATTTTTAGTATTGTCTACTATTTTTCAGTATCTTTAGTATTTTATTGTATTTAAGGGGATTTGAATCTTTATGACCTTACATTTTAAAAAATTGCTACGTGACGTCATAAAGGTTTAAATGTTCCTAATTAATTTTTAGTAATTTTGTTAGTATTTTAAAGTATTTTTTAGTATTTTGAAGTATTTTTTACTATTTTTTAGTAGTTCAAAGTATTTTTTAGTATTTTTAAAGATTTTTCTGTATTTCCTACCATTTCTTAATATTTTTCAGTATTTTACAGTATTGTTAAGTATTTTTTAGTATTTATCAGTATTTTAAAGTATCTTTTAGTATGTAAATTAGAAAAAAAAAATTCAAAAATCGCCTCTTTGTTTCCTAAGTCTTTGGGAATTACATAAATAGGATAATAAATCCCCCTTCTCAATAGAATGTAGAATGACGATAAATGTAACAAAGTTCGTTATTCGATTGTTTAATCATAATCCTCTTAATATATTGCGACTATATATAGAGAAAGCTTTTATGTTCGAGAAAGGACATTAAACGATCAATCCTATTATAGAACAAAAGGAAAGATAAAACTGGTCAATCATATAAATATATATATATAGATTTTGCGAGACGGCGTTTTTCTGTCATAAGGAATATTGGCACATAGTCTAGTTCATTAACGTGATAACAATATTCTTTCTGTCTACGTATATGTATATAGAGAGAGAAAAACCGCGGGGACGCGGAAAAAAATTACAAAGAGCTTTTCATATATACAAAGCGAAGGAGAGTAGAAAAAAAATGAACAATTAAAATCGTTGGGAGCAATTAAATTGATGCCGGTTCGATGGCCCTCTGCTTTAATTGCTTTTCCAGGGATTAGTTTCGTCAGAAAAATAAACAAGCTCTTCCGGAACTCAAATTAAAATTTTCACGATTCTATAAAAGAAAGACGTTTTTTTCATTTAAATGGTTAGTCAAGAGTTAAAGTTAAGCTTATTTAAACGGAATGAATATTCCTTTTTAAAACAATTCTTTAAGACACAAGTAAAAAATATTCTCTGAAAGAAATGTGAATAATTGTTTTAAAAAAAAATGTGAAGAAATTCTTTGAAAAATATTACAATAATATAATATTGATAATATTAATTAAGCAAGTATTTTTTAATTATTTTCACTTATATTTGAAATTTTCGAATTTTAAAATGTATCAAATTAGTTTTGAACAATATAGTAATCGTAGAAAATTTTTTATCCATTGGCGATTTGTTTTTGGTATTTTTTTGTCATAGTTTCACTCAATTATTTACAGTTTCTTTCAACTCCAATTTATCAATTTTAATTTTGGGATAATTTTATTCACTGCCTTTTGATTTTTGGTTTATGTAGTTTCAGTCACTGGCGATTTCATATGGTCCAGTTTTGTCATTTTTGCTGAGATTTAGACGATTTCTGGTAGATTTATTACTTGGTAGTTTTTCCATGATTAATTAATGTCAATCACTTGAATCGTTGAATATTTTTGACAATTAATCCAGTGATGAATATTTTTGGAACTTATTCTAAAAATTGCTTCTTGGTTAACATTTTTAAAAGTTGTTTTTCATTGAACATTTTTGCAATTTATTTCTTGTTAAAGTTTTCTGAATTATTCCAGCGTTGAACATTTTTTAAATTTATTTCTTGTTGAATTTTCCTGAATTATTTCAGAGTTGAATATTTTTTGAAAATTATTCCAGTGATGAATATTTTTGAAAATTATTCGTTGTCTAATATTTTTGAAAATTATTTCAGCGTTGAATATTTTTGGTAATTATTCCTTGTCTCATTTTTGAAAATTATTTCAGCGTTGAATATTATTGGTATATAATTATTCCTTCTCTCATTTATTATAATTATTTCAGCGTTGAATATTTTTGGTAATTATTCTTTGTCTCATTTTTGAAAATTATTTCATCGTTGAATATTTTTGCTACATAATTATTCCTTGTCTCATTTTTGAAAATTATTTTATCGTTGAATATTTTTAGTACATAATTATTCCTTGTCTCATTTATTAAAATTATTTCAGCTTTGAATATTTTTGCTACATAATTATTCCTTGTCTCATTTTTGAAAATTATTTCATCGTTGAATATTTTTGGTAATTATTCCTTGACCAACATTTTTTAAAAATTATTTCATCTTTCAACACTTTCGAATATTATTCCATCGTCGAAAAATTTTTTTTTCGAAAATTTTTCCAAACCTTGAAAAATGGTTGCATTTTTATCAAAAACTGACATTTATGTATATTTGTGAAGAAACTGAATTTCTCCTCCAAACGTTGAAAATCTCTTCACTGCTAGAGTTGCGAGAAAAGATTCTTGATAGTTGTAATCGAGTGATTTCTCGAAAGATTGGTTGCAACTTGCAAGTGTATTTGAATCTTGATATAGATGACAATTTATTTTCTAAAGGGAAGCACGTCGAACCACTGATGTATCATTGATCTGCCTTCATCCAAATCGTACACGACACATCTCCCTCGATATCTGTTGAAAACATTTTGTCCATTAAATTCTAACTCTATATATAATCCAAGATCGATTTATCGAAAGATTTCTTACTCAAAATAAATCAAACAGACTTAACTAATAGCCCACGTCAAAATTATCACGAATTCAATAAGATTAGTCCTGGCTGACAAATTTCTTAACACACAAAATTCACTTTTCATTCTAATCTCTTATTGGAATTTTAAATTCTTTTCTTAAACGATAAAAAAAATGATGGAGACAAGGGAAAAAATTTATTTAAATAATAAAAATAAATGAAATAAATAGAGTAAAAAAAATATAAATAAGATACAAAAAATAAATAAAAAATGGAATGATAAAAATTTAAAAAAAAATGTTTTCGAAAATTACAAGTAATCAAGAAACAATATTTTTCTTTAAAAAAAAATTTTTTTTTTAGTCAAAGGTAATTTCGAGGAAATTAACAGGGTTGCCACAAAAATTTGACTTTGTTTTTTCCTAATTTCGAGACAGAATTTCGCAATTTTCCGCAATTTTTTACCCAAAACTCTTTTCTAAATCAATTATTATAAATAATATTTGAGAAACTTCTTTAAAAATTCAATTATATTCAAGGAAAAAAATTATCCAAAATATTTCTGAAATCCTTTTTCATTTACAATTCAATTTTATAAAATTTCAATTATTCAAAAATTTTTCAATTAAATGTATATTCCAAAAATTACAATAAAAATTGTTCAAAAAACTAATTTACACGGAATTTCAAATTAAATTTTTTTAAAATTCAAATTTTCTCAAAGTTTAATTTAATTTAATTAAATTTTTAACTAATTTACTAATTAATTATTATTGTTTAATATTTTCCAAAATTTTTAAAAATTATTTTCAAGAATTCAATTATTTTCATAAATAATAAAATTCTTCAAAGCAATTCAATTATTAAATATTAAAATTTTCTTCAAGAATTCAATTATTTTTATAAGTAATAAAATGATTATCAGGAATTCAATTATTTTCTATACAATTTTAATCAAACTTCTCGAAAAGATTCAATTCTTTTTAAAAATTGGAATATAATTTGTCTAAAAAATTCAATTATTCTCAAAAGTTTTGATAAATTGTTTTATAATTCATTTCAAAAATTTAAATAAAATTCGTTGCAAGAATTCAATTATTTTTAAATTTTTAATAGTTTTAATAGAATTCTTCAAAAGAATTTAATTATATTCAGAAATTTTGATAAAATTCTCAATAAAAATTCAATTATTTGCAATATAATTTTAATAAAATTCAATAATAATAATTATTATTATTAAGGAACACGATTATTTTAAAAATTTTAAAGAAATTTTTTCATGAAATCCATTCACTTAATAAATTTTAAATTAATATTATTTCAAGTTTTCCGTTAAAAAATTATAGAAATTCTTCAAATCTTTTCTATTAAGTTAAAAAAATTTATCATTGTATAGTTTTGAACGTTTAAAAGAACGACGATATTTTTTTTACTTCTTTAAATTTGTATTTTATTATAAAAATTATTTTGAACATAAAAAAATGAATTGTTACATAACTAAATAAATATTTAATTTAAATCATTTTCCATTTTAGTATAAGCAATTTTTGAAAATAAATTTCTTTCATTTGAACGTTGAAAACATATAAAATTTTAATAACATTTTTCGCAAGAATTAAATTATTTTCAATGCAATTTTAATAAAATTCCTCGAGAGAATTCAATTATTTTTAAGAATTTTAATAAAATTCTTCGAAGGAATATAAATATTTTGAAAAATGTTGATTAAATTCTGCTCAAGAAAGAATTCAATTATTTCCAATACATCAATTTTTTAATTCAAAATATTCAAAAAGAAATATTATTAAAAATACCGAAAGTCAGAGTTTGCTTATCTTTTATATTTTTTTATATTTATTTTATTTTATAATATTTTTTCTCAAAAGGTACTTTTATAAAATTCCCTGACTTTTCACGTTGCTAAAGTTCACAACGTTTAAAAATAAACGATTTAGAATAAAAAATATTTTTCTATTAAATTCTTTGTCTTAAAAAAAATGTTCACATTGCTTCTACATTGACAATTTAATAAAGAAAAAAATTTGTAAAGAAAAAATATTGTTTTTCGCTTAAAAAATATTTTTTCTTCTTCTCGATAAATAAAATAATAATAATTTTTCAATAAACGTTGCAAATTTTACCCTCACGACTTTCCCCAGATTTCTCTGACCAATTTTACTTTCCTTGAATTTTCCCTGAATTCCCTGACCTGTGGCAACTCTGATTAATGAAAAAAATGTAAAATAAAAAGAAAAAGATAAATAAAATTAAAAACTAGAAAAAAAATTGGAAGACTAGAAAAAATCAAGAAACAATATTTTTCTTTCCTCGGAGCAAATAAAGTTTCTTGGTGAAAAAGCAATTTGGAGAAAATTAATGAAAAATGTTACAGCATTGTATCTCGTGTTTCCGGGAGGGATGACTGTTGTAAATAGAGAAATATAAGATGGTAAATTTTATGAAATGGGGAGCATTACCTTGAGTATCGTTTACAACCTCGTATCGGATGATCTTTGCGGAAGCACTTAGTATCCAGAATGTTGAAGTAAAGAATTCCCATTTTGCTACCAACTTTATCCCTTGATTGTTGAAGACAATTGTAAAATTTCTCTTCACAGGAGCAATGCACTCTAATAATTGAAAAATAACACAAATATTTTCTGACAACTGTAAAATCTCTTTCTCTCTCTCTCTCTCTCGATTTTTCCAAAGAGAAAAAGAAAGAGAGAGCTTTTATTCTCTATAAAAAGAGTTTCAAAAATTTTTCTGTTTATAGACAAGACCTATAGTATTATTTTTACTGCATTGCTTTTCGCTATATTTCGAATTCAGGACAGGCGAGAGAATTCGACATCGATTACCCGAGGGGTGTACAACACTTTTGTATTCTTCTTCCCTTTTAACTCTCCTTTCTTTTATAACACTCAATGCACTCCATTCCCTTTGGATTTTACAAAAGCATTGTATATAGAGGGGCGAGACATTAATTCGCAACAATGTAAAAAAATCTTTTCAATATAAATATAATAAAGCAAAAAATTTCGGAAAAAAAAAATTTTCCACGTTAATTAAATTTGGTAAGAAGCGAGAAATTTGTGAAAAATTGCAAAAAGAGAAAATTACAAAAGGAAAAGAGTACAAAGAGAAAGAAGTACGAAAAGAAGTTTTTAAATTATAGTTTATATTTCAATTAATATTATTTATTAATTTTAGACAATTAAAAAAGAGTAAGAAAGAAAAAAAAAGAAAAAAAGGGTAGAAATAAAAATGGTAATAAAGGGTAACTTCATTAAAATAAAAAAGAATTGCATAAAATCTTCATAAGAATGACTTTACCTTCTTCAATTATTTCTTTCTATTTGTGTTTTATTTAAACTTTGCTTAAAGAAACTTTCACGAAACTACGAATAAGAATTCAACATTTTTTTCTTTTATTTCTATAAAATCTAGTAATAGAATGATTAAACATTTTTTTTCCCCAACTAGGTCAATTTTTACTCCGCAACTATATATTGTTATTTGCTCAATTGAACATTCTATATGTCCACAATTAGAATTGTTATTTTATTAAAACTATTTAATTCCCAATGCGATTGATTTTCACAGACACTACAAAAAAATGGAACTTGTTGGAAAATTTAAAAAAAAAAAAAGAAAGAAACTAATTTATATTCAAATATTGGAAAAAAATTACGTGATGACAATTTTTTTTTCGAGGAGATGTAAAACAAAGCAAAATAAAAAATTCCTTTGGGAATGAAATTCTCAATCAAATTGATTCTATTAAAATATCGACAATTCACACAAATTTTTGAAATTTGTGAATGGGAGGATTTTTCAACAAGTTATCCTTTTTTTTAATAGAAAACGAATTGAATTTGAAAAAAAAATAAAACAAACAAAAACAATAGGCAATTATTGAAAATTTTTTTTTACAAATTTAGTTCTATAGAGGAAAAAAGGAGAAAAATAAAGATAAAATAAACAAAAACAAAGGGAATTTTCGGCAAAAATTATTTAAAAATATGATTCTAAAGAAAAAAGAAACGGAAAAAATGAAATAAAATAAATAAAAACAAAAGATAAATTCAATTATTCAAATCTTGAATAATTTCTAAAAACAAATATTTTATTACTCGTCATTTATTTTTTCAGAGGAACTAAAATTTTTTAAATTTCAATCTCAAACCTTCTGCAAAAATATTTTTGATAATAAACAAAAAAAATAATTATTTAAAAAAATTACAATTGCAATACTTTCGGAATTCGTTTATTTTTTTTTACAATGTTTAACTAAACTTCTTCTCTAAATCAATTATTTTCAATAATTTTCCGAAAGTTCTTCGAGAATTCAATTATTTAAATACTAAAAATCAATTTTTTATATTAATTGTGCAAGTGTAGATTTTTAAAAATATTTTAAAATACTTTTTGGTATATAACAGATTTTTTTACTAAAATATAATTGAAAATTATCAAATAATTCAAATTTAGTACAAAATTTAGAAAATAATTGAATCTTTTTTGAAAGAATTTTTAGGAAATGGTTAAAAATTAATAATAAAGAAATTTAATTACAAATTTTGAAAATGATTTTAATAATAATTTTTTTGCAGATATTTGACAAAAATATTTAACTGAATATATGGAAAAAAATTGAATTTTAAAATATTATAATGAACAAACTCTAAGAAGTACTTTATTAAAAATTATTTTAATATAATTTTTATTAATTTTCATTTTTTAATTTTAATTTGAAAATTTTTCATTAATATTTTTGAGAATTCAATTAATTTCAAAAGTAGCAATTAAAATTCTTTAAAATTTGATTTCTAAAAATTTTAATAAAATATTTAACAGAAAATCAATTATTTTCAATTACAATTTTTACAAAATTTTAATTGATTTAAATACTTTTTAATTATATATTTCAAAATTTTAATTATCTACCTTGAAAAAATTTTACTAAAATCAAACGGTTATTTGATTCATAACTGATTTCTTGTCTAATATCAAATAAATATTTATTAGTATCAAATAATATTTTTTAAATAAAATAAATTGTATTTATTTGAACCAAAAATTTTAGTATTTGAAACAAATACTATTTAATTAATTCAAACAAAAATTATTTGATTCAAGTAAATATTTATTTGATAATAGATAAGTAATCTTGAATTAGATACAATTCAATTGATTCAAATAAAAATTATTTAATTCAAATTACCGATTTCTTGTTTATTATCAAATAAATTTTATTTGAATCAAATAAACTTTTATTTTAATCAAATAAACTTTATTTAAATCAAATAAATTTTATTTGAAGCAAATACCATTTAACTGATTCAACTAAATATTTATTTGATTCAAGTAAATATTTGTTAACAAACAAGAAATCGGTAATTTGAATTAAATAAATTTTTTTCAATGAAAATACTAATAATAAATATTTTAATTCCCCTAAAAAATTGACTAATTATTCAATTATAAATTATGCTAATTATAATTTTCAATTATCCAAATTTTGAGTAAAAAAAAATACAATAAAAACCTTGTAAAAGGCGCCAAATTGGTGAGATTGTATTTTGTCTCGGTAGAATGAATAACATCATTACAATGATCATGATCTCGACAGCATGCGTCCGTTTTTGCGTATTTCCCAAGGTCATTGTAGTGGAAAGCCACATTTCCTTTTCCGCACCATTTTGTGCCTGCACACAGGATATTCACATATGTACATCGTACACAAGTCGTAACAAGTTTGTGGATCCCATTTCACGTGCAGACAGCTATCAGACGTATTGGACCTTCTCAAGAGACTTGTGTGATATATGTACTTTTACATTGGAATGTTCAATTGAAATCGAGTCTCTTGAATATTTTCTCTCTCTTCCTCTCTCTCTCTCGACATTTTTCGCGCAATACTTTTTAAAAGAAATTTCTCTCTTTTACACTATTCAACGAACACTTATTTTTATTCTCTTCAATATATAAATAAATAATATATATGCAATTTTTTACCTCACGTCCATAATACAATTAATTTTTAAATAGTATGCGGTATTCAAAAATTTATTCCTAACGTCTGGGTCTGGGTTGATAAGATAGTTTCATAATTTTTGTAATATATGACCCCAAAAGTTTGGAAGGTTCAAATAAATCGAAATTTATTTATTTTTTTCTTCAAATTTAATTATTATCGTATAATTTAAAGAAAATTCCTTGAAAGAATTCAATTATTTACGTTCAATTATAAAGAAATTCCCCAAAAAGAAATTAATTATTTGAAAAAATTTTAAATAGCTATGAAATTCAATTATTTTCAGTACAATTTTAATAAAATTCCTTGAAAGAATTCAATTATTTTAAAAAATGTTGATAAAATTATTTACAGGATTCAATTATTTTCATAAATAATAACATTTTTCACAGGAATTTTCAATTATTTTCACTGCAATTTAAAGAATATTATACTTGAAAGAATTCAATTATGTACTTCCGTTCAATTAAAATAAAATTTCCCAAAAAAATTTTGATTATTTAAAAAATTTTTGAAGTCTAAAATTCAGTTATTTTTACAAAAATAAAATTCCCCAAAAGAATTTAATTACATATTTAAAAAATTTTTTAAATCCATAAGATTCAATTATTTTTGGAAAATTTTTATAGAATTCCTTGAAAGAATTCAATTATGTTCGTTTTATAAAATTCAATTATTTTTGTACAATTCAAATAAAGTTTCCCAAAAGAATTTAATTAAATGTTTTAAAAAAATTTTTAATCTATAAAATTCTCTTTTTTTTTTGCAAATTTTGATAAAATTCCTTGAAAGAATTCAATTATTTTTGTTTCATAAAATTCAATTATTTTTGTATAATTTTAATAAAGTTTCCCAGAATAATTGAATTAAATGTTTAATAAACATTTTTAATCCATAAAATTCAATTATTATTTTTGCAAATTTTTATAAAATTTCTTGAAAGAATTCAATTATTTTCGTTTTATAAAATTCGTACCTAAAATTCAATTATTTTTGTACAATTTTAATAAAGTTTCCCAAAAGAATTTAATTAAATGTTTAAAAAAAATTTTAAATCTATAAAATTCAATTATTTTCATAAATAATAAAATTCTTTGAAAGAAGTCAATTATTTTCGTTTTATAAAATTTAATTATTTTTGTACAATTTTAATAAAGTTTCCCAAAAGGAATTTATTTAAATGTTTAAAAAAATGTTTTAATCCATAAAATTCAATTATATTTACAAATTTTAATAAAATTCTTTAAAAGAATTCAATTATTTTCAAAAATTTTGTTTTAATTTTTTACCTTTGAGAATTCGAAAGAATTGAATTATTTTTATATAAAGTTAATGAAATTCTTCGAAGGAATTTTCAATTAATTTCAATGAAATTCCAATAATTATTAAAATCATTAATATAATTGTAATTCATTAATATTTAATTCAATATTTCTCATAAGTAATAGAATTCTATTAATTGTTAAAATAATTGAAAATTCTTGTGAACAATTTTATTAACATTTTTAGGATCTTTTTCCTTTATAAGGAATTCAATTGTTTTTAATACACTTTTAATAGAATTTCTTTAAAGAATTCAACTATTTTTAAGAGTTTTAATGTAATTCTTCGAAAAAATTAAATTATTTTCAAAAATTTTGATAAATTTCTTAATAAAAATTCAATTATTTGCAATAGAATATTTTAACTGAATTTCTTAAAAGATTTCCATTATTTTCAGTACAATTTTAATAAAATTCCTTGAATGAATTCAATTATTTTAAAAATTTTAATAAAATTCCTCGAAAAAATTCAATTATTTTCATAAACAATAGAATTCCATTAATTATGAAAATAATTTAATTCTTGCGATGAATTTTGTTTAAAATTTCTGAAGATTTTTATCCTTTTTACGGAACAATAGAATTCCATCAAAGAATTTGTTTAATTTAATAAATTTTAATACAATTCTTCGAAAGAATTGAAATATTTTCACAAATTTTGAAGCATTTTTTTTGTTACTTGTTTACAAATGTAAAATAAAATAATTTAAAAAAAAACAATTATTCTTTATGAAAATTCAATTATTTTCAAAAATTCCAATAAAATTCTTCGGGAGAATTTAATTATTTTCACAAATTTTAATAAAATTCTTCGAAAGATTTCAATTATTTTCACAATAGGATTTCTTTTAAGAATTCAATTATTTTCATTGCAATTTTCATAAAGTTGCTTGAAATTTTTTTTATTTGCGTTAAATAATAATTGTAAAGACAATATAAAGTAAAATTAACATTAAACATTAAATTCAAAACATTTATAAAAGAGAAAATTTCCCAAATAATCAGGAAACAAAAAAGCAAACAACTAACTTCAAACTTCGAACAGAAATCCGAAATACAATAAAAAAGTCTTTTTAGTTTTATTTCCAATTTGAAAGTTTCGAAATAAAAAGAAAAGGGGATTTTTTATAATTAATTTCAGTTTTTACTTGTTATTCATATTTCAACTTTTGTTATACACTAATAGTCTTAAAACGAAAATACGTATTACGATTGTAGATTTTTTTTTCTTTCTTTCTTTTTTTTTTGCAAAGACTTTTTTTTCTTCTTATTTCTGTTTGTTTGAGTTTTAGAAAGTCCTTTGAAAAAGGGGAACTTTGTGAAACTTTATTATTGCGAAAAGTTTTCATTGCAAGATGATGGCTAGACTGTAAAATTCCCCTTTTTCTATCTATCCTCTCCTATATATTCCTCCTTCAAAAACTTATTTCCCTTCCTTTTGAACAGGTACATGGGGCATAAAAGTGCATAAAATTTATGTTCAAAGTTTTCAAATGCAAAATTTGCAAAATGCTCAAAGTTTAAGGTTATTTTCAAATTAAAAAACGATTTTGTTTAATTTCAATATTCTAAATTTAGATTTGAAATTTTCAAGAGAGAGAAAAATAGAGAGAGAAATTTCATAATTTTATGAAACAGAAAAATTTTCAAAAGAAAATTCCAATTTTTTATTTTTTTAGTGAAATTTTACAATGAAGATAAATTTGTCTCACCTGGATAAACAAAATTTGTACCAATTACTGCAGGTCCATTGAAATAATCTTTAATAAAATTAATCTCAACTGAAGAAATAGATGTGAAGAAGAGATAATTGAAACTGAGAAGATTAAATATGCCTGACATTTTTTTTTTATCGAATTAAATTAACTTCACAACACTCGAGATGGAAATAAAATTTTGAAATTTTGTGTCTCTTGTATTTATACACGAATCTGAAGGTGACAATTTAGCCTTCTAAAATGTCAAAGATTTTCTACTTTTTTTTATATATTTCTAACTCTTCAAAATGCATAACCCAATTCTTCTTATCTTCAAATACACACCGGTTGACTTTAAAAAATGTGACAAAGAAAGAAATAAATAAATAAAACGACAAAATTAATTCACCTCTAAAAATGATAAAAAATATGTTAAAGAATTAAATCAAATGAAAATTCATTCATTCAAAAAGCAAAAGAATGGAAAAAAAATATCTAGAAATTTGATTTGAGAAGAAAAATTACCATGACCTTTCTCTGATTTCCAAATTCAATTATATTCAAAACTTCCGTAATAATTTTGTTAAAAAAATAATAAAAAATACAAATAAATATTTGTAAATTATTTTTTCGTGTGAATTAAAACTTTTTAAATTTCAAATCCAATCTTCTGATATTCAATTATTTGAAAAATTTTCAATTATTGCAATTCTTTCGAAATTCAATTATTTTCTATCATTTAATAACTCAGAACTTCAATAATTTTGTTAAATGAATAAATATTTAAATAATTGTAATTCATTTTCAGCCATGAATGAACATTTTTTAAATTTCAATTCTAATCTTCTGAAATTAAATTATTTTTTAAAATTCAATTAATCAAAACTTCAATAATTTAAATAAACAAATAAATATTTAAATACTCGTAATTATTTTCCCCCGTGAATTAAAATTTTTTAAATTTCAATTCTAATCTTCTGAAATTAAATTATTTTCCAGAATTCAATTACTCAAAATTTCAATACCTTTATTAAACAAATAAATATTTAAATACTTGTAATTTATTTTTTCCCAAGAAAAAATTTTTTTTTAATTTCAATTCAATTTTCTAAAATTTAATTATTTTTAAAAATTTCTATGGAATTGCAATTCTTCTGAAATTCAATTATTTTTACAATTTTTATAAACTTCTCTAAATCAATTATTCGCAATAATTTTCAGAAAGTTTTTAGAGAATTCAATCCTTATTAATAAAATCAGATGTCTGTCTGTACATTGCTTAAAACTTCAAAATGTTAACATGATTAGTTATTATGGACATCAGAGATTCCAAAAATGTTCTTAAAAAATGTAATGTATGTATGTATGTATGTATGTATGTATGTATGTATGTATGTATGTATGTTTGTCTGTCACAAAAACTTTGTACCCCAATCACACAAAAACATGTGAATCGATTTAAGTCCAACTTGGTAGGTTATTAGGTATTGACCCAAGGAAGGTTTATAAATTTACAGATTTAAAAAATATTAATTAGAACGGGAGATATTCAATTTTTTCAAAAAATTCAAAAAATCGAAAATTTCAAAATTTTTTATTTTTCATGGATTGCTTTTGAAGTTTATATACTTGAGTATTATATGTTATTTAGTCACATTATAGCATAACTTTGCAAAAAATAAAGTCCTATAACTAATATGTAAGTATAAAAATGTTTTCAAAAAATCGAAAATTTCAAAATTTTACATTTTTTTATGGATTGCTTTTAAACTTTCTATATTTGAGTATTACATGTTATTTGGTCACATTTTAGCATAATTTTTCAAAAAATACTATTCTACAACTAAGATGTAAATATAAAAATATTTTCAAAAACTTGAAAAATGGAAAATTTCCAAATTTCACAATTTTTAATGGATAGCTTTTAAACTTTCTAAAAATGAATATTATATGTTATTTAGTCAGATTTTATCATAATTTTGCAAAAAATACTATCCTACAAGAAATATAAAAAAATTTTCAATATATCAAAAAATCGATACTAATTACTATATGAAGTATAATTCAGTAGTATTTTTGGAGTCTCTGATTAATATTTTGATGTCAAAATAGTGCAATTCAAAATTATTTATCAAATCAATCTAATATTTTCAAGAAGTTCAGAAATATTGAAAATGGAAATTTTTTATGATTAAAATGATTTCGCAGGATGTCAAGAATTGTAAGTCACCTGTGATACAATACAAGCATATTATGCCACTAGGCAAAAACTTACATGTTAAAACGTTTTTTCATTTTAACTCTAGATTTAACTTTAAGAGATGTTTTGAGCAATGTAAAGACAAAAGTTAACACGGTGTCTATTTTTGTTTAACAAAATTCCCTGCTTTGTCCAAACTTTTCACGGTTTATCTCTTTTTTGTCAAATTTAAATTTACTTGATTTTATCCATAAATAAATCTACAAATGGCTATAAAAATTTACTTATTTTATGAAAATACTGTTTCTTAAGTTCATATAAATATAGATTGTATTACTTGCTGTCGTACAGTTTTCTGTTTATACTAATACATTTAACTGGGTATCTACCAAACGGGAAAAACTGTAAAAAGCTGGGAATATGCCGAACCGGGAATTTTCCTATCAAATTAAGAAAAAGTTTCATTATATTAATTCGCTTTTAAAAAATTGCTTTTTACTTCAATTTTTATTGATGTATAATATTTATGAAAACAGACCCGAGTCAAAATTTAAGCCCTACTTTCAGCCTAAAATTTAGGTCTTATGTTAGGTTTTAGCAGTCGTAACGTACACTGTAAAAAATTTGGGGATTTTTCCCTGAGGTTCCTTGTGGAATATTCCACAAATTCACGGGGAAAAGTATTTTCACTACGATTTTGGGGAATTTTCCACAAATTAGTGAAATTTTGAACAAACTTGGGGAAAAGTGATAAAATATTAGGGAATTTTCTACAAAGCGAAGGGGAAAAAATTTTTCACTACAATTTTGTGCAATTTTCCACATAATAGTGAAAATTTCAACAATATTATAGGGAAATTTGTATATAATTTTAGGGAATTTTCCACATATTAGTAAGAAAATGTCATTTTATGAAAGCTTTGTGGAATTTTCCCAAATTTAATAAAAATTTCCACAAAGTTGAAAAAACTTTTTTAAATTTTATAAAATGGGTTAATTTTTACTAAATTGCATGTACAAAATTATTAACATTTTTACAAAATGTATGATTTAGGGGCTAAAAAATTAATATTTATATTACAGTGAAATGTTTTTTTATAATACTTCATTAAATTAATGTTTTAAACAAATGAGCTTTGTCTAATTTATAATTTAAATAACAATTTTTACTAGAAAAAGCATTTAGAAGAAATGAAATTAATTAAACTTTACAATTATTATAATTTTAATAATTTAATAATTATATAATAAAAAATACTTTCACTATGAACTACATAAATTTTTTGTTCTACTTATAGTAAAAATTTTATCTTAAAAATACAATTAATACTTTGGTAAAAAATTTTTTAATAAAGCATGTTTAACAAACAATTATAAACTATTTTTCACTTAAAAAAGCATTGCCATAAATAGTTAGGTTTATTAAAAGATATATACTATGGGGGGCCTTAAAATTTTTTTGCTCTTTGTCAAAAGTATAAAATGTTTTGAAGCATTTTCTCATTTTGAAAGATTTGGCACATCTGGTTTGTCTTTGGATGACCAACAATACCTAAGGGTTTCTCGTTGCAAGGGGACGTATTTTATGAGTTTCTCGCAGGACCCGTTTTTTTCTTATAAATTTATTTAGCTAGAATGTTTGAGAAATTCTCAAGAAGTCTTCTTCGAAAAGTCTTTCAAGATGATTTTACATGTTAGTTGCTTTTCAGCCTTCGTAAGAGTAAAACCTTGAGTGAAAAAAATATTCAAAGTTATTAAATATATAGTGATGGTTATATGTATAATAGTGAAGTGGACAATTCGACAATATTTAATAATATTCTAGAACGATATTTAAGGATTATTTAAAAATTATTAAAAAGGTAAATAATATTTAAAGATATATTATAATTATATTGTAAGTGTAACATATTGTATTGTAAAGTTTTTTAAAACTATTTTTGGTTTTATCAAAAAATTTAGTTAGTTATTCATATTTTGCCATATAATGTTAATTTAACAATTGACTTATAGAATTCAATTAATTTTTAATATTTTAAAAATAAAGTAGTTTAGGTATTTTTTATATTTTAATCAAAATAAAAATTTTTTAATTTATTTTAAAAATATATAAATAAAAATATGAAATATAATATTGAATTAGAAAAGTCATAACCCTATTACTACTATATATTCATAGTTTTTGGTAAATATATTATTGTTCAATCTAATTTTTATGTATTTTTTTGTCAATTGTAAAAGGTAAATAATAATTTATTTTTACAGTATGTTGTTGGACAATCAACCCCCTAAAGGCAATATAAACGGAGAACTTTCGCATTACACAAAGACTATTTGCGATCCGAAAGCAAAAAATTAATTATTAATGTTGTAAAGTTCAGATGTAGTACTTTTAATTGAAGTACTTATCGTTCACTGACAGTACCTAATATAATAAACAGTATTTAAAAAATTTGTTCAAGATTTATTCAACCTTACAAACCAATCTTCCCAAATATGAAAGGATAAAATTTACTGAAAAATTCTGTACTATTTTACAGTAAAAATATCCCAACGTTCGAAGAGAAAAATTCCATAATAAGTAATTTAAAAGAGAAATTTTCTAAGAATTTACAAGAAAAATTTTCCAAGGTTGCAAAGGGAAGATTCCCCAAGATTTCAAAGGGAACAGTTCCCAAGGATGCAAAGGGAAAATTCCACAAGATTTTAAAGGGAAATTTCCTCGAGTTTCTTGGGGAAAATTCCCCAAGATTTCAAAGGGAAAATTCCTAAAGTTTTTTGGGGAAAATTCCCCAAGATTATAAAGGGAAAATTCCCCAAGGTTTTAAAGGGAAAATTCCACAAGATTTTAAAGGGAAAATTCCTCTAGTTTTCTTGGGGAAAATTCCCCAAGTTTTCTTGGTGGAAATTTACCTTTTTTGGTTAAAATTGCGTCACCAAGATTTTGGGGAATTTTCCCCAAAAATTTTTTACAGTG